TGTGTGTGTGTGTGTGTGTGTGTGTGTGTGTGTGTGTGTGTGTGTGTATTAGGGAATATTCTTAGGACCATTTGACTTGATGCTGCCTGTGTTGATTAGATATGATTGTTAACTTTCTGATATACTTAAGATACACTTGTCTTTGTTGCTACAGAATCATCAGCCAGCAGTTGAACTTTTGTGTTAGCTTTGATGTAGATTTTCAACATTTATGCTTGATAGTACTGTAGTGTGGTTTTGGATTTTGGATTTCTTTTCTTTTCTTTTCTTTTCTTTTCTTTTCTTTTCTTTTCTTTTCTTTTCTTTTCTTTTCTTTTCTTTTCTAACTCTCTTCTCTCTTTTTTTTAGAGACAGGGTTTCTCTGTATGGCCCTGGCTGTCCTGGAACTCAGTTTGTAGACCAGCTGGCCTCAAACTCACAGAGATCCACCTGCCTGTGCCTCCTGAGTGTTGGGATTACAGGCGTGCGCCACTGCCTCATGCAGTTCACACTCTTAAATACTGAGCTCTCTCTAGTTCTAGTAAAGCAGATTTTTAAAAAGTAATAAACTGATATAGTATCAAAAAATAAAAAATTATTTAAAGAAAACTAGCAAACTCCCTTGCTGTACTTTTAATTTTTTGAATCTTGTGTCCTAAAAGCAACACTTTTTTCTTTGGTTCAATAACTTATTACATGTTTTATTTCTCATGTATAGAAGGTGATTATTGTTATTTCCATTTTTCTTTCTTAAGTATAAGATCATTAAAGTAGAAACTTTTATTATTGTGGAACATTATACTAACAGGAAAAACAGGAAGAAAGTGAACTTCGATCTCTTCCATCTCCTTCCCCTGCTCACTTGGCTGCTTTAAGTATTGCAATTGTTGAATTATCGAAAGAACAAGGAATAACTGATGATGACCTCAGAGTCCGCCAGGACATTGTGGAGGAAATGTCAAAGGTTATAACATCATTTTTACCAGGTAACAGGACCATTTTATATATTTAATTCCTAGAATCAAAAGATACTCCTTTACTTCTTCCTGAACTAGGGTAAATTTCTTAATTCATATCCTCCTCTTTGTTGTTGTTTCTTAAAAGTAGGTGAATTTGAGTGTCTTAGGAATGATCCTTTTTGTATATTGACTTTGTGTTTGTGAATATGGGTGCTTATTCCTGGGCATGTAAATGTGGGATCAGAGGATAGCTTCCTTCCTCCTACTGTGTGGTAACTACCTTACGTCTGGGGTCTACCTCAGGGCCTCAGGTGTCAAACACCTGTGCCATCTCACTCTTCAGGAGCTGCTTTTATTAAAGTATCTACTTTTAATAACACAAGTTGTATGATTTTTAGTATGAGAAAAAGACTTTAAAATGCCAAACATGGGTAGTTTCTAACTGGTCAGATATATTTTACATTGGTTTATGAATATCATTGTTTCTCTTTAAAAGAGACTTACTTTACCATAGAAATATGTATGTGTATATGTACACATGTACCAGGTTGCTGCAGGGGCCAGAAGGTTTTAGATCCTTTGGGTTACAGGTGTTTGTGAGCCTCCTGAGAAGGGTGCGATGAACTGAACATGGACCCTCTGTAAAAGCAGCCAGTGTTCTTATCTGTTGAGCCATCTCTTCAGCCCTTGTGCACCATTGAGTTCTTAGTGGATTTTACAAGGGTTTTAAAATATTATTTTCAGTATAGCCATTCTAACATCACTAAGTAAAATTCTTATTGCTTAATGTTAAGGAAAAATTAAAGACTCGAGAAAATTTCAAGATGTTAGGAATTCAGGTTTATTGTATACGTTTATATATAGGCTGCTGTCTGTCTTTTCTTTTTTAATGTTGTGGTAAATGCACTTTATTTTTTGTTCTTTTTTTTTTTGAGACAGGATTCTCTGTGTAGCCTTGGCTGTCCTGGACTCCATTTGTAGACCAGGTGGTCCTTGAACTCATAGAGATCCTCCTGACTCTGCTTCTGTGAGTGTTGGGATTACAGGCGTTTAAAACCACCATGCCCAGCTGAGGTAAACGTATTGAAATAAGACTTAACTTCTTAACCACCCAAAGAGATGTTGGGGAGTTGATCATTTATAGCTACATACAGTCCTACTTTGAGATTCACAAGAAATAACATGGAAAAATGGAATTTCATTTTCTGTTATTTCTCTAATGTTTTTCTGCCTAAGTAATGCATTGAATACTGATAGAATTCTTGAAAAGTAATTCAACATTATTTTAAAAACAGGACCTACATTTTTTTATGATTTTAATGATATAGCTAACTTATACATTTTTAAGTTTGAAAAGTAGACAATTGAATTTGAATGTTAAGTTTTGAAGAAACTGACTCTGCCTGATCAGTTTCAGTTCTACATGCTATTTTCTCTTGCTGTTTGGTGTGATCTTTTGAAAGTATGCCTTATATTTGTAATAACACATATGGTAGTCTGAGAAAGACCTAGGTAGCTTCTGTGTATCTTGTACTAAGAACTCTTGATAGCCACAACTTTTTTATGTTTTAGGTTTGCAGCATCACTTGACTTGGAGTTTTTTTGTGTTTTGAAAAATCATTTGTATTGAATGTCTGATTTTTTTTTTTTAAGATTGGTTCTTACATAAGATTCTAAGAATATTTTCTGACAGTAGCTTGGCTAGGTGAATGAATGTTTTTGGATGGGTTCTAAATGAGCTGTTTGATTTTGAACACTAAACTTTTATGGTAGTTTTTTCTTTTGTTCTTTGTTCTTGTACCCATAATTGGGAAACATTTGTTGTTGTTTTATAGATCGGTTAGAAAGAATATCAGTTTTGTGAAAATCTTTCTGCCAGAATGAAAAGTCATGGGATGGAAGTAATATACAGTTTTCCACAAGTTTTTCTTTACTTGTTTTGAAGTATGTGTGTATGTGCTAGCATGAGCTCATGTGTGTGCAAATGCTGATAGGTTAGAAGAGGCTGTTGGACACCCTGGAGCTGGAGTTGCAGATAGTTGGAGAGCTGCTGTTGGGTGCTGAGAATTAAATTCTGATCTTCTGCAGGAGCAGCAACTGCTTATAACTGTCGAGTCATCTTCCCAGTCCCCCCCCCCTTTTTTTTTAATACTCATTTGCAGTTTTATGGTTTTTTTGTTTTTTTCCTTTATTCCAGAATGTTCACTGAGGTTGTATGGTTCATCTCTGACGAAGTTTGCCCTGAAAAGCAGTGATGTTAATATAGATATAAAATTTCCTCCCAAGGTAAGTAATTAAAAAAGAACCTTCCGTTTATGGTACTTAATTAGTATTTGATAATATTAATGGGTTATCTTTAGAGAATGGGTAGGAGGAGAAAAAAGCTTTGGGTTATGGAGTATTACCATGAAGATTAGACAGTATTTTTAAAGGTTAGTATTGCATTTCTAATAGGGAGGAACAACAACAACAACAACAACAACAACAAAAAGCCAACAGAGGAAAGAGTGGGTATTTGAGCTTATTGACTAGTTATTACTTCTGATAAGCAATGTTCAAAAGATTGAAACCAGAAGGCTGGCTCTAAAACTTGACCGAATAAAAACAGATTACTTGATCTCTCTAAACATTGTTTTCCTCAATTTAAAAACAGAGCTAAAATAGCCGGGCACAGTGGCACACGCCCATAATCCCAGCACTTGGGGAGGCAGAGGCAGTTCCATCCCTGGGTTTGAGGCCAACCTGGTCTACAAAGTGAGTTCAGGACAGCTAAGGCTATATAGAGAAATCCTGTCTCCAAAAAACAAGCAAACAGACAAAAAACAAGAACAAGAAAAGAGCTAATAACATTTTTTTTTCTTTAAATTTTATTCACTTTATAACATTTATTCACAATATAACATTTATTTATTTATTTTTCTTTTTGGTTTTGGATTTGGATTTTTGAGACAAGATTTTCCTATCTACTCTGGTCTGGAAGTCAGTATATAGTTCAGGCTGTCCTTGAACTTAGAGTAATCTTCATGCCTCTGCCTCTTGAATGCTGCTTTTATAAGCATGCACCACCACATTGGGCCCTGGGCTGGTGTTTCTAAGCCTGAGCCACATTCTGCTGGAGTAGATTGTCTCTGGCTCCAGATGAGGAGTAATGGTTCTAGTTTTGAGACAGAAATCCCCTGCTTCTGCCTACCAAGTGCTGGGATTAAAAGTGTGCTCTATCACACCTCGCCTAGTTTTCATATTACATGAGATGAGATGTCACCCTGGTAAGTGACAGTACTCAGTAAGCAGTAATCATTAGGTAGAGTTACATCACAGTGTCAATGATACTTATCGATAACTTGCTTAATTTTGTCAAATCAACCATTTAAAATTATCAGGCAAGGGCTGCAGGGTGTCTCAGTGAGTAAAAGTACGTACCCAGCAGGTGGGTAACCTGAGTTCAGTCGTTGGTACCTACTTCAAGTTGGAAACAGAAGGGACAATGCATGTTGTCTTCTGACCTCTCCATGTGGGCAGCCCCCCCCCCACAACACAGACAGTAATACAATTCTAAGAGTTATCAGGCAAAATTTTATGTTTGTCTCAGTTGGGGTTACTGTTGCTGTGATAAAACACCATGACCAAAAGCGCCTTCGTGTGGAAAGCGCTTATTTCATTTAACAGCTTGTAGTCCGTTGTCCAGGAAATCAGGGCAGGAACTCAAGGCAGGTAGGAACTGAAGCAGAGGCCACGGAGGGGTGTTGCTTAATGGCTTACACCTCATGGCCTGCTCGATCTGCTTTTTTATAGCACCAAAGACCACAAGCCCAGGAGTGGCACCACCCACAGTAGTAAGTGGGGCCCTCCCATATTAATCAAGAAAAAAAAATCCTGCAGCCATGCCTACAGGCCAGTCTAGTGATGATATCTTCTTACTCAGAGTTCCTTCTTCCTGAGTGGCTTGAGCTTGTGTCCAGTTGGCATAAAACCAGCCAGAACCATGTTTAAAGGTTTTTTTTATATATATAATTTATTTCATATTATTTCATGTGCATTGGTGTGAGGGTATCAGATCCCTTGGAAGTGGACTTGTAGACAGTTGTGATGTGGGTGCCTGGTGTTGAACCTGCATCCTTTGGGAGAGCAGACTGTGCTTGTAACCACTGAGCCACCTCTCCAGCCCCTAAAGTCTTTTTTTTTTTTTTTTTTAATGCTTTCTTTGCTTAAAGATGTTTGATTTGAATGAAAGTTTGACATTTAAATTTCTAGTCATTTCTAGACATTTGGCAAATTTCTATTTTTTTTTTCTGAGTAAATACTTCTGCAATTGTTATATTCTACTTCTCGAACAAGATTAGCTGACATAAAAATAAAAATACTACTCTGATTTTATTATTTTAAAGTAAAAAATGATTTTGTTAAATATTGTTCTTGAATCAAATCAATTTCTGACTAGCGTCCTGCTGCTTGTCCTTTGTTTTAATGAAACTCTTTAGATGACTCATCCAGATCTTTTGATACAAGTGCTTGGAATTTTGAAAAAAAGTGGTAAGTTCCTTGCTGTTTCTTTTATGAAAATTTATTTTCTAAAAATATGTGCACTGTGTTGTTTACATGTGAGAATGCATATATATGTGTATATTCAGTAGGTGTATCTGGAAATGTAATTTACCTATTGGTTAAGTGTATATATACACACACACACACACACACACACACACACACTATATCAAAGTTGATAATTAAAAAGTATTTTTTAACACAATAGTCGCTTTTTATCTGTAGAATTTACTTACGTACTTTATTTCAGTGCTAGGGGTAGAACCGAAGGCCTTGCACTAGGCATGTTCTGTTGCTGAGCCACAGTCCAGTCACTATCCCAGTTTTGCTTTCTGTTCTTTCAGTTAACCCACATTCAGTCGAATGTTCGAAAATTAAGTGGAACATTTTAAAAAGAAGCAGTTTTTTTCTTTTTAAAATTTTTCTTGAGACAGGATTTCTTTGTGTAGCCCTGGACGTCCTGGACTTGCTTTATAGTCCAGGCTGGCCTCAAACTCAAAAAGATCCACCTGTCTCTGCCTCCCAACTGCTGGGATTACAGGTATGCACCACTAGCTAGGCCCAGTGTAATTCTGTATTAAAAAAAAAAAAAATTAAGTTGTTTTATGTGTATGAATGTTTTACCTGAGTGTCTGGTCTATATGTACACTCTGTGTGTTCCTTGTGCCTGCAGAGGCACAATCAGAAGAGGGTGCCAGATCCCCTGGAACTAGAGTTATGGATGGACCTGAGCTATCTTGAGGGTGTTGTGAACTGAACTCAGGTCCTTTTTAACAACAGGTGCTCTTAGGTGCTCAGCTATCTCTTGAGCCCTTCCATTTCCAGGAGCTCCATTCACTAATCTTTTAGTAGCTGCCTAGTTACCAGTTTATTAGATGCTCTTCAGAGTCAGGTACAGAACACAGTCTACCTTCATACGACTTACGTTGTAATTGTTCTATTTAGTTATTCCTGCTAATCTTTTACAGTGCTAATTTATTTATTAAAATTTGTTATGCATGTATGATTAAGAAAAAACTAGTATTTATAGGAATCGATACTGCTTTGAGTTGCAGATATTTAATGGTATTTTAGAAAGTATCTTTGTAGGTAAAAGGGAACTACTATGTTATGGGCATTTCATATATAAATGAAGACAAACAGACCTGTCTTTATTTATAAAAAAGTCAGTGAAAAAATTTGAATGAGATACCAGAATTAGAAAGAGATGAAGAATAAAGATGTGTATACATGCTTTATTTCCATTTGTCTTGTTTGTTTGAGACAGGGTCTCTCTCTATTACCTTGGCTGTCCTGGAGCTCCATATATAGACCAGGCTGGCCTTGAACCTGTAGAGATCCACCTGCCTCTGCCCCTTGAGTGCTGGGATTAAAGGCATGTACTACCATCTCCCAGCTCAGTTTAGTAGAGACATCTTAATGCCCATTCATGAGCTTCCGGTTGGCCATTATCCTGGGAAATTAGTTTATAAGGAATCATATAGAGATATTTTAACAGAGTTATCTAATTACACAAAAACTTAACGGTATGTTATAAATATGAAGTAGGCTTATGCTTTTGCCTCTTGAGGCTCATTGAGAAGTGTTCAGCCTATTATAACTTAAACTATTTTTTTTCACCTGAGAGATCATCTTAAGTCATATAATGTAGGTTTAAAAGCATCTGCGTTTTAAATTCTATTTTACTCAATATCCTCATTATATCCTCTAGAAACCTGTGATCTGTAAGATTTGTTTTCATATTTGTGTTTCAAACCCCTATTGAGCTTTTTAAGTTACTGGCGTATTCGTTGTACAAAGTATTTCTGATATAACAGGTTTCCAGTATAGATTTTTAAATCAGTAATCCCATCAAGGACTGCTGAGAGGTTTTTCATTGAGTTTTTTTTTTTCCCAAATGAAATGTCGATCCATTTATTTTAAAATGGATATTTATTTTTAATTTTTAAGAAAATTTGTTTTCTATACCTATGGATTTTTGTTCTCTCCTTACATCACATGGGTGGTGGGGATTGAACTTTTCCTGCCGGGCAAACTTGTCAGACCCTGAAGCAAGCATTTATGACAGGAGATCTACTTTGGTGGTAGACATATGCTTCTCCTCCCCCTGTAATGCCTCCTCAGAACCTTCTATTAGGCAGATTTGGGAAATATAAATTGAGTGAGGCCAAGAGTTCTCCTTGAGTGGAAAAGCAGACTTGTACTTGTACTTGTCCCTCAGAAGTAAATGATGTTCCCTTCTTGATGCACATCTGTGAAATGTGTGTATTACTTGCAAGTGTTCAGACTTTTAGGGACGTTAGAAGCCCTTTCCTTTTAAGGTGCTTCTAACTTTGAACAGTATTTGAGACCATACTGGTGCTCTCACAGATGACTCCAGGAGAGGTAAGAGATTAAGGGTTCGTTTCCATAATGAGAAGAGTGAGTTCTTCTATTCAAGTAGTGAGTGCTTTTAGAATGAAAACTGTAACTGTTCATTATAAATGCATAGAGATGTTGACATTAACTTACTTCCCTCTCTTACTAGAATTATATGCAGATGTGGAATCTGACTTTCATGCGAAAGTTCCTGTTGTGGTGTGCAAAGATCAGAAAAGGTTGGTAATGAAGAAAATAAGGTATTTATAAAAAGAACAAACCTTGCCTGAGATAGCTCAGTGGGTAAAGTGCTTGCTGCACAAGCATGAGGACTTGAGTTTGTATCCCCAGCACTGAGATAACAAGCTAGTAATCCTACTCCTTGGAAAGATAGGGAGGTCCTAGGGGCTTGTTGGGCTGCCAGCCTATCCAAAGTGTTGAGCTCCGGGTTCAGGGAGAGACCCTGTTTTAAACAAGAAGGTGGAGAATAATAGTCAAAGACACTGCACATGGACCTCTGGCCACCACACACGTGTGAATATATTTGTCTGTGTCTACACACACACACACACACACACACACACACACACACACACACCCAGGACCAGCAAGATGGCTCATTTGCCACCTAAACCTGGCAAACTGAGTTTAACCCCTTGTATCCCATGTAAACCCCTGTTACCACACACACACACACACACACACACACACTCACACACACTCACAGACAAATACACACAATAAAAAAAAAATCAACAAAGTACCAAATTTGTGGCTCTGGAGTTATAAACATAAATTAAGAAATAGCTACTCTGATAAGGTTTTATTATGTTATAATCTAAGGGCTCGTGGGGTGAGCTTATCCTGAGACATGCATGGTAAAAACAGAGAACCAACTCCTCAAAGTTGTCTTCTGACCTCCATTTAAATAGGCAGGTGCATGTGCACACACAAATAAAAAATAATGGAAGAGATCTTTTTACAGTCTAGTTGTTTCATTAGCATGACTCATTGCCTTTCTAGTCAGATGTCTGTAGGACTGAGCAAGTAAAATAACCTTTGAAAAAGGAAAACTTACCGGGTATGGTGGTACATGATTTTGTACCCGGCGCTGGTGAGGCACAGGGCCAGCCTGTGTACATAGTGAGTGCCAGATCAGCCAAGGCTACACACTGAGGCCTTGTCTCGAAGAGAAGGAAGAGGAGGAAGAGGAAGTGAAATAATACTTGAGATCATCATGGAAAAAAAAAATAGATGTTCTTCTGTTGATTAAGTTGTTTTTTCTTGTAGTCTAATATTTTTCTCATTCAAGCTCAGAAGGTTCTATGGGGATCTAGTTCAACTTCCTTATTTGGGATTTAAAAGCATTTATGTATTATTGAATGTCTTATGTCTGGACCTTTGTGTCCCATGACACATGTGTGGCAGTCAGAAAACAACTTTATAGTGTTGGTGCTCTTCTCTAAAGCTTTGCATGGTTTCCAGGTTGGGCTTTAAAGGGTAGAACTGAGGTCTTCAGGCTGATTTGGCTAGTTACACCTTCTTATAGCCTAACTTCTTTATTTCCTAAATTGAAAAATTGAGACTTGGAGGGGATAATAAGCATTTGTACAAATTTATATCATTCAAGGCAAAATCAATACTGGAATATAAGCATTTGACATCTGTTAAGTCAAAACAAAACAGTGTTTCCACATTGTATTAAATTGCTGGCATGTAACAGACCGCTTCAGATTTATTCTTCTTTTTGCCACTCCCAGTCCACTATATTCCTTTCCACTTAAGGTAGCTCCTGTTCTCACTTCTACAAAAGCATGACTCATGGATTAATAGGTAAATTATAATCTTTAACTTGAAAGTAACAGTGAAATTATGAAAGCTTGAATAAGAAATTAAAAGTTGAGAAGTATAGCTAGGAGGTTTACTTTGCATCATGTACAAAGCAGAAAAGAATGGACTAGGGGAGAAGTATGCCCTATTAATTGACACTGAAGATGTTTGTGTTACTGCTAGCTTGAGCTTGTAGTCTTACCTTGGGCTAAATAACAAGATCCTCTCCTTATATCCTCCCAAAATGTGGGGTGATAAGATGGCTCCAGGGATAAAGTTGCTTGTCCTTAAACTTGACCAGCTATGTTTGATCTTTGGGACTTGAAGCAGAGAACCAACTTTCACAAATTGTCCTCAACTTCCACATGCATATCATGGCACACGTGTGTTCATGTGCAATAAAATAAACAGAAGAAATATTGTACTGTGACTTAGGACAGTTATTTTTTTATATCTGATTGTGGATGCTAGGAACTAAGCTGGGGTCCTGCAAGAGCGTGATAGACTCTTAACTGCTGAACCTTTTCTCCAGTTCTATAGTAACTTTTTTGGTTATTAAAATATGGTGACCAAGACTGGATCTTGGTGATGCATGCCTTTAATCCCAGCACTCTGGAAGGCAGAGGCAAGGTGGATCTCTGAGTTCAAGGCCATCCTGGTTAGTCTACAAAGCAAGTACAGGAAAGCCAAGGCTACACAGAGAACCCTGTCTCAAAAAACAAAAAAACAAACAAACAAAAATAAAGAAAAACTGACAGAGAAAGGTAGCCTCTAGGTTTTTGAAACATTCTGTTTTTAAAGGTATTAATGCAATGAAATTTGTTTCTCATTCACAGTGGTTTGCTTTGTAGAGTGAGTGCAGGAAATGATATGGCGTGTCTCACTACTGACTTACTTGCTGCTCTTGGCAAAGTTGAACCGGTCTTCACTCCCTTAGTGTTGGCCTTTCGCTATTGGGCTAAGGTAAGTGGAAGAGAAGGAAATAAGTCAGCCTTTTCTGACATATAAATTATAACATGTAGGAGAAAATAGTTGTCTGCTCCACACAGAAAATTGTGTGGCAGGTTTTATCATGGACATTAAAATAAGGTTTCATAGGCATGTAGAAAGTTCCCTTATCAATCCCCTAGTCGATGTTTGAAACTGTTGGTAACACTGAGCCATTATACATACTGCTGTTTTCTCTTTATTCACATCTGTGGTGAATTTATTTTATAAGTAAAAAAATAATAAAATAGAACATTTATGATAGAGCAATGCATTAAATTATTTGAAACTTCTAAATTGTTCATTTTGGAGTTTTCCACTTAAGTCATGTACATTTTTTTCATTTTATTTATTTTATGTTTACAAGTGTTTTTCTCACATGTGTTGTCTTGGATGCCTGGAACCTGGGGAAGTCAGAAGTGGGCATTGCAACCCCTAGGCATTTGAGTTGCCATGTGGGTGCTGGGAATCGAACCAAGACCCTTTGAGAGGACAAGTGCTGTTCACCTCCCTTTAATGAATCATCTCTTCAGCCTGCCTTTATGTGTGTGCGTGTGTATGTATGTATGAATGTTTATATGTTTTTTGTTGTTTTTTGAGACAGGGTTTCTTTGTGTAGCCCTGGCTGTCCTGGAGCTCGCTCTATTGATCAGGCTGGTCTCTAAATTATAGAAATCCACCTTCTTCTGCCTTCTGAGTGCTGGGGTAAAGGTGGTGACTGCCCAGGTAGCGAGTATTTATTTTTAAAAACAGTATTTTTGATATATGTCAGTTCTGAAGAATGAATCCAGAGCCTCATTCATTCTAGGCAAGGGTTCTGCCACTGATCTACAACCTGAGCTCTCCTATCAATCTTTTAAAACTACAGTTGAATAAGGAAAACTAAAAGTTTAGAAAGTAGAGCTATGTATAATGGGCACCATGATAATAAATTATTGTTATATATATGTTGGTATAATGTTCTTGTAAATGTATACAATTTACCCTTGTTCATTCAAATATTGATTTTTCTATTCCACTATCTGGTTTCAATCCAGACATTTCATTGTGCTGCTTATTCTAAGTATCACCTGTCTCAAGTTTGTATAAACATGCCACCATTTCTTCTCTATATCGTCAGTAAAACAACCAGCCACAATGCTGATCAGTGGAGAGAATAGGGTGGGACATCCTGGTCCGGAGGGGAGGAAAAGGAAGTGAGTGGGTGGAGAGGAGAGTGGAGATTGGAGGAGAGGACTTTAAACCACGAGGAGAGATAGACCGGAAATAAGAAATGACTAAAAGCAAGTATAATGGGTAAAATCTGAATGGTAGGAAACTATGCGGGCTTGGACGTTTAGGAAGGAGTGATCATTGCCCAGCATTTTGCTGTAAGTTAACTAAATAAATCCTAGTCTTTGTGTGGTGATTTGGTTATACAGATGGTTTAGGAATAGCTGCTGTTTAAAAGTTAAATCAATAATAAATATTAATATTCAACAACATGTATATATATTTGGGTGGTATTTGCCTTTAATAAAAGTGCTTGGGAGGCAGAGGCAGGTGGACTACACAGAAAAGCCTGGTCTAAAGCAAATAACAGCAACAAGAAAGGACATGTTCTTTACTATGTGTGTGTGTCTGTGACTGTGGGTCCATAGGGGCCATGGCATGGATGTAGAGGTTACCAGTCAGCTTTTGGGGTTTTTCCCTGTTTCACTGTGGCTTCCAAGGGTTGAACTCGGGTCATCAGGTTGTGGCAAGGGCTTTTAGTTGCTGAACCATCTCCTTTATTTTGCAGGTTAAGGGTTTTTTTTGGAAAATTTATTGGAGATAATTTTTTATTTGAGAAAATGTTATTGGAGATAATTTTATTGTGGCCTAATTCTTTTGAGAGCTAAAATAGTATCATTTTTATTGCTTTTTTTTTCTTTCCCTTTTGGTCTTTTGAGACAGAGACTTTCTATGTAACCCTGACTGATGTGGAATTTGCTTTGTCTTTCAAGCTCATCTCAAACTTGAGGCAGCCCTCCTGTCTCTGTCTCCTAAGTTGTGCAGTTACAGGCCACTGTAGCTGGTGTTTACTACTTCAGGGGTTCTTTTTCTTTCCACCCTTCTCCACACTTTTCTTCCACCCTTTCAGCCTCCTAACACTAGATAGAGAAAAACATAAAGGGGAACAGGGGTAATGTTATTGTTAGACTACTTCTGCTTGTTAGGGGCCATGAGCTCCTTGGGGCAAATTTGATCTTCACTGGCAGGACAGCTGTTTTCTTCTTCTAGTTTCTTCTTTGCATATTACAACCTAACAAACCGCAACCAACAGCATCCAACCAGCAACCAGCTTCTTGGCTTCCTACCATTTATATATCCTCTGAAAAGTCCCCAGATAAAATCACAGAAACTATCTGCTGCTGGCATAACCACACCTCTGCTAGGGCACGAGGCAAATAAATCATAGTCATCTGCTGCAAAGCAGCCCCTTATCCTCACACCTTGGATTAAAACAAAAACATACGCTTATAATAATTGTTTTTAAAAGAAACCAAAATTTCAAATTTCTCTCTACATTTCCCTCTTTCTGTTTTAAGCCATTAATTGTGCTATGTGTAGTGGAAAGTTATAAACGAAGACATTTTCCATGAAATAAATGCTTTTCGGATTAGTGTGCTAAGACCTCTCTTGCTCAGTTGTAATTTTTATCAGTTTTGATGACATCCACAGCATTTCATTTTCTGTGGAAATATATGCAAATCCACGTGCCCAGAGCAGAAGTTTCACTGGCTTCTCTTCTGATGTTAATACATTCTTATATAGTATATAGGCCTATTTAATTCCATAGTTTTTGTTATAACCTGGTGACTCTGCTGCTGTTGTCTGAAATGGCTCGTACTTTTTGCTTCAGGACCTTGAGCCAGGCCTTGGCAGTTGTGTTCTCATGTACCTTACTTTTCTAACTCATTATAAGAAACCTAGAAACCTAGAAATAATTGCTGTTGTATTTTCTACATGTTTCTTTCAACTTAAGGTTTTGAAACATTTTTGGTTTTTTTGAAATTTTACTAAGTCTCATTATTTTACGTAGTGAAAACATGATTTGGGGCTCAGAAAAAAATTTAACATGATAAATTTTTCTTGTATTACTGATACAAAATCATAGTTGATTGTTCCCTGGCTTGTTAATTATTATTTTATATATGTTACTGAATATTATACTGTACTTTAATTATAGTATCATTTCTAATTCCAGAGGAGCAAATTAGAAGGCAAGCAAATGCCTCAATGCATAAAAATACAAATTTGTACTTTAATAAATAAAAGTGTCATAATAAAATAATATATATTTTAACTATAATAAAATTTAATTATTACTATAAGTGTAAATAAATGTTTATTTATTGTAATAAATATTGTTGTAAATAAAAGGAAAGATTTGTCAGTGTCTTTGGCTGCTCATTTGGAGAGGAGAATTTGAGCAGCATTCTCCTCTGGAAGAGACTCCGTCACCAGACATTCACCCTTACAGTTAGGGAGAGGTTGTCCCCAGAAACCAGTTCTCCAACAGCACACAGTATATCCAGAGTTGAGCAGGACGAATACACTACCTAATTTTAGCACTTGGCCATCTAAGGCGGAAGAATTGCTAGTTCAGGGCCAGAACTAGCCCTGTTATATAGTGGGTTATATAGTGAGGCCCTGTCTCAAGTACAACCAGAATTGGACAGGGAAGAGCTTGCCACCCAACTCTCCACCCAACAACCCCTGCAGATATGTTGTAGCAATCCCGGGAAGCATTTTATTTGAACACTAAGCTTATACACTGAGGACCTGCTTCACTCTGGTACCTAGAATAGTTAATGAATTTTGGAATGTGAAAGAGAAGGTCTTTGGATTAAGTTGGAGATTCCCCAGGTTCACACAGCTGATCTGTGTTGGGCGGGCATTTGTCACTCAGGTAGAGATTCTGCTGAAGATGAATCATGGGGTTCTGTTGGGTTTGGGCATCCTAGTCTTAAAGACAGGGCAGTCATAATCTCCCACGCCCTATCCCTACTTCTTTTTCTGCTCCTGTTCCTCCTGCTGCCATAATCATTGGGATTGGGTCTTGTATGTGACACGATGGGGAAAAAGCTGAAGTGGGATCCTTTGAGTCACAAGGGGTCTGGGGGTAGCAGAGAAGGCAGAGGATGAAAGTAGAAGTTCCCTAAAAGTGATGGTGTGGAGCTGAGGGCAAGAAAGAGTGTGGGAACAGGGACCTTCCAGGTCCGATGCTGGTGGTGAGGTGCTGTGGCCTGATGGCAGGGCAGGGACACTCATGCTTTGATGCTGCACATGGAGGTGGCTGTGATAGCCACCTCTTTCTTTGTTGGGGTTGTGGATGAAGTGGCATCTCAAGCCATAGGAATAGTAGCTCTGAAGAGTACAGCTGTGGTATAGAGTTCTGTCTTATACTTGGATTGGCAGTTGGCTGGTGTAGCTCACCTAGACTCTAAGGAACACTGGCACTTAGCCCGATAGTGACAGTGTTGACGCTTAAGAGAAATTCCGTCAGAGTTGAGTGCTGTAGCAGGAGGAGCTGCTGGCAGGGACTGGGATTGGGGTTATATAGCCACAGTCTTGCTAACAGGCTGGTCGAGCTGCTCTTTAGGTTGGAAGAGACCCCAGACAGGGTGGAGCAAGAATTTATGCCTCAGAGTACTGAGGACTCAATTCATTATGCTCAGATAGAGCTCTCAGGATGCAGCAACAGGAGACCCTCAGAGATAGTACAGACACATGGTGACATCAGTTACGCAGTTTGGGTTGAAAGTCTGAGGACTAGGGTCAGCTCTGACATGTTTTTTAATAGTTAATAATGCATTCTTTGAGGTCTGGTGATAGGTAGTTTTATAGATAAAACCTCTTAAATCAAGGTAACAACTATTTGCTTTTATCATTCGTTAATTCTAGTCAGGTTAGCTAATTTTGTGAAATTTTTAAAAATTGTGTGTAAAAGTTAAGTTGCTAAATTCTAACATGAGTTTTGCTTGTTTTTTAAATCTTGATTCCTTTGAGGGTCTCTCTGTTACGTAGCTCAGTCTGTCCTAGAACTCCCTCTGTAGATCAGGCTGCCCTTAAACTCACAGAGATCCACCTCCCTCTACCTTCCAAGTGTGGGATTAAAGGTGTGTGCCAGTGTACCTGACCTTATTTTTATTTCTAAGTAGTGTTTGACATCTAAAAAGAGATCATTGGTTTTAAAAGGTTTTTTCCCCTCGGGTGTGTTAGTACACACCTATGTGTATGCAGGTGTGTTAATGTTTGCAAGTTCAAGGCTAGGCTATACAGCGAAACCCTCCATCAAAAAAAATCGGGTGTGTGTACACCAGACTAGTAACATGAGCTAATATATTCTTAATGCTGAGGTTTGAGATTATTTCTTAGGTTTCATCATTGTTTGGACTTTTATTTTATTTTTTTTTAAACACAGTGAAGAACAAGCTACTTACACGATGAAAATTGAAAGCTAAATGCTAGGACTTTTTCCTCTTGATTTTGCAGTTGTGCTATATTGACTCCCAAACTGACGGTGGAATCCCTTCTTACTGCTTTGCTTTAATGGTGATGTTTTTTCTTCAACAAAGAAAACCCCCTCTTCTTCCTTGCTTACTTGGAAGTTGGGTAAGCTTGAGTTTGCTATGTATGTGCATGTAACATATGTATATGTATATAGTTCTTGTTAAATGTTGTGCTCACACATTTTAAGGTGGAATTCTGGTTTCTCTATCTTTTCTTTTCTCTTTCTTTTTTTTTTTTTTTTTAAATAATTTTTCTACTACCAATTTGGAATGCCTTTTTATATAGATTGAAGGCTTTGACCCAAAAAGAATGGATGACTTTCAGCTGAAGGGCATAGTAGAAGAGAAGTTTGTGAAGTGGGAATATAATTCAAGTAGTGCAACTGAGAAAAACTTAATTGCTGATGAAAACAAAGCTAAGGCAGACCAACCAAAAGATGATACCAAGAAGACAGAAACAGACAACCAAAGTAATGCCATGAAGGAAAAACATGGCAAAGTAAGCTTTTTGTTTTTGTTTTTTATTTTTGACTTTTCTATCTGTAGAATTTATGATACCTTCAAGTGAAACTATTTGACTAGGAGTAGATTGACCTCTTGGCCTCATTTTCCTCATCTGTAAAGTGAGGGGTTGATCTGGTTTAGTTTTTGGAACTAAGATTATCTAATAAATTTATATGTATTGTTTGAGTTGTTTCAAGGTAATTCTGTTTCTTTTTCATTTAAACCAGTTAAATTCATGTTATGAGTAACTTTAAGTATATTGTGGACTTTGTGCCTAGATTGCGTGGAAGAATAAAAGTCTTTTGCTCTATGAAGGGATGGCTATCTTATTTAATTAATTCAGCAGCATTTATTAAGGACCTGCTGTATTTCAGGCATTTTCATGAGTGCTAGGCAACCATATGTATATGTACATGGATTGTGTCCCTCAGAGGCTTGTACTATTCCAAGAATATAGATGTACTGTTTGAAATGATTGCTGTTTAATACTGAATTGTTAGAGTTTTGTAGTTCCTTGGATTTATCTCAGTAATCCCAGTTCATGATCTTGTTTGTAGTTTACTGAGAAGACTGAAACAGTGAAAAGAGGCCTACATACTTCCATCATCTATACTCAACATCCTGCCTTGCTACCTCTTTTCCTAAAGAAACGTTCGTGTTGTTACCTAAAGGCATGTTCTCCATTGCCTTCTGAATTATTGCAGAGTATTTATTACTCTAGTAGTTTTCTTCCCTTTCTAAATTACTAGTTTTTCATTGTTTATGGAATCAATCAAGCATTCTTTTATTTCTCTCATTTAAAAAAAAAATGTTAAGTGCCTGATTTCCCTTTGTAGTTAAACTAAACAGAATTGTTTATATTCACCATTTCCTATTTTTCTGTCTCCTTAACACATTATCAGTCTGCCAAAACATACAATCAACTTTTTATTTTGTTAACTTTCATGGTCACTAAAAATTATCTCTTTTGATAAAGTAACATTTTCCAGTTGTTTATTTATTCGGAATAATTTCAATATGCCACACCTGCCAATGCTGAGTCTTTTTCAGTTTCTTTTGCTGATTTGTTCTTTTCCTCCGGTTGTTTAATGTTGATGTGCTATAAGCTTGGTCTGTGACTTCTCTCTCTTTTTTGATTTGTCTACTTCTTGTGGTAGGCGATTCTGTCTAGTCCTTTTGATTTTAAGTGCCATCGTAGTATGACAAGTCCTCTTGAACTCTGTAATTCTATTTAACTGCATATTCAGTGTCTTTTTTAGGTATTGTAATGTGTCAAACTGACCTTTGGATCTTATTTTCAAACTTGAAAATTGTCATGTCTCATCAGTTTAAAGTACTCTGTCCTTTCAAGCATTCAGCCTAAACCTTAAGAGGCATCGCCTTTGTTCCTTTCTGTCATGAAAACCCTATGTCATGTGTCAGGAAATCTTGGATCTTGCTGTTTTTACTTCAGAACATCTCCAGAATGCCGTCACTTTCACCGCCTACTGCTAACCATCTTGTCCTGGTCACTGTCATTCTGGCTTGGATTTGTACCGTGTCTTCTTCAGATAGCCCCAGTATGTACTCTGGCCTCTGATCTATACTCAGCAGCACAGTAATCTGAGTGGTTGTTCAAAAGTTAGATCAGGTATTACCCTTGTTTGTCCTTACACAGACATGTTTCAGTTGTTTCCCATTTCATTGGTGTAGGAAAAAAAACACATAGTCATTAGATCAGTCTTCTCTTCTGTTTCCTTCTACTACACTAACTTTCAGTGATTTCTCTCTTTTCCTTCTTGTGATGCTGAAAATCACTTCATTTTCTTCTTAAAGATAGTCACCCTTTGTGCTCTATACTTTTATCTCTTCCCCTGCTTACAGTGCTTCTTTTCATCATGTCAGGGTTTTTCAACCAAACTGATTCTGATACTTGTTTAACACTGTCCACTTTTCCTCTTTCTGTGCTCCCATCCCCTTTGTTAGGTTACACTTTTTCTTCGGTGACACTTAGCTGCTTCTCATTAACTGTTCAATTTACCTATCAAGTGTGTTTGTCTTCTTTTCTTGGGAAGAAAGCTCCATGAAGGCAGGACCTTGGGTTCTTTAGATGTTATCCCAAATCCCACCGTAGCATTTCATCCCTCTGTTCTGACAGTCTGTTGAGAAGGGCCTCATTGTAATTTGATGGTGGGGTAATGTAGTGCTGTCCAACACAGACGCAGCAGCTGGGAGTCTCCAGTCAGATCTGGGCGCTGTATGTGCTTCGGAGAATTGGCAGTGCAGGGTTAGGTTTTAGAAGTGTGAATAAGGATGCTGGGCATTATGTGTTATAAATGTGAATTTTCTTCATTAGGATATTCCTAGCACAAATCCAGGAATATAGTAGGTTCTAAAGAAATGTTTGCCTAATGATAGATTTCTTTTAATTTTTGAAAGTAAATTTTGCAGCAAGAAATTGTAATAACTTGACTGTGCATGAGGTTCACTGTAAAGAACATTAAAAACTCTAAAGGACAGGTGTGGAGCTTGTCATTCTAGTACTTGGGAGGTTGATCTTTGGTTAGACTCCAGCCTGTGTAACAGATGAAATCCTGTGTCAAGCCCACACAAAGAAAAAAAAACAAACAACAAAAACGTCACAGACTGGCGTGTACCTCAGTGGCAGTGCATTTGCTTAACATTGATGAGCTTTTGGATTCCATTCATGGTGTTCTCATCCCCCAAACACATATAAAAACCCCAATCCTCAGTCCAAATATCCCAGATCAGTTATATCAGATTCTTGGAAATGGTGTGGAATTTCATGCATACCTGGTGATTGTAAGGTACAAACAGTTGTAATCACTGGCTTAATGAAAAGAATACAGAATTCCTTGAATTTCTGTAATTCAAACTGACTGTTTTTTTAATGCTTTCTTTATGCTTGTCTTTGAAAACATATATACTTAAAATATCTTTTTCTGATTAACAATATATTGATTTTATAGTTTTGAGGAACTTGAATGAGAAGTATTTTCTTTTCTAGTCTCCTTTAACATTGGAAACACCAAATCAGGTATCCTTGGGACAGTTGTGGTTGGAGCTGCTAAAATTTTACACACTGGATTTTGCTTTGGAGGAATATGTCATATGTGTACGGATACAAGATATTTTAACAAGAGAGAACAAAAACTGGCCTAAAAGACGAATAGCCATTGAAGGTGAGGTAATAAGCTGTGCGTGTGTGAGCTGTTGTATGTGTGTGCTCCTCATTTACCACTGTTTTAAGTTTAGTGCTTAGGTAAGCTAAAGAGTGTGATAATTGATACCGATTAGGTAACATAAAACCTAAGCACATAATCATGCCAAAATAAAAAGCTAGATGTAGTTGTTCATACCTGTAGTCATAGCACTTGGGAGGCTTAGGCAGGAGAATGCTGTAATGAGTTTCAGTTCAGCTTGGGCTACAAGAGTCATACTCATAGCCAACTTTGGGCAAAGTGCAGGGAATCTTATGAAGGAATGGGGAGATGAAAGACTTGGAGGAGACAGGAGCTCCACAAAGAGCAATAGAACCAAAAAAAAATCTGGGCCTGGGGTCTTTTTCTGAGACTGATGCTCCAACCAAAGACCATGCATAAAGATAACCTAGAATGCCTGCACAGATGTAGCCCACAGATCAGTGTCTAGGTCGGTACCCCAGTAAGGGGAACAGGAGCTGTCTCTGACATGAACTCAGTGGCTGGCTCTTTAAACCCCCCACCACCACCCCCAATAGGAGAGCAGCCTTACCAAGCCACCAAGGAAGACAATGCAGCCAGTCCTGATGAGACCTGATAGGCTAGGGTCAGATGGAAGGGGAGGAGGACCTCCCCTATCAGTGGACTGGGGGAGGGGCATGGGAGGAGATGAGGGAGTGAGGGTGGGATTAGGAAGGAAGGAGGGAAGGGTCTACAGCTGGGATATAAAGTGAATAAACTATAATAAATAAATAAATTAAATTTAAAAAAAGAAAAGAGTGAGACCTTGGTATAGAAAGGTACTTCAACAAGAAATGGGTACGAGAATGTGAAATGTTTCAGTGACAGTGGTTTATAGGGAAAGCAGAGTGACGCAGCTTTTAGTGCTTTCTTGATTGAAACTAGTGTTTTTGAATTGAATGTAGCTAATCTCTTAAAAATTACTTTTTTCCCAGATAGTTTTTAATCTTATGGAAAAAACAAACAAAACAAGGCGCCACATTTGTTTTTCCTTTGTTCTGTCTTTAAGAACTCACTAGGACCTTCATTAGAAAACTTTGGGAAAATATACTCTGTTGATAGTCTAGTAGTTATGGCCTGTTTGTGTAAGCATGGAAATATAATGTAAATGCTAGTAAAGACTTAGCCGTTGATCATTTTCTTTTTTACTAGATCCTTTTTCAGTCAAGAGGAATGTTGCGCGGAGCTTAAACAGCCAGCTTGTTTATGAGTATGTTGTGGAGAGATTCAGGGCAGCTTATCGGTATTTTGCCTGTCCTCAGAGGAAGGACGGAAGTAAATCTACAGTGGAGTTCAAGAAAAAAGAGAAGGGAAAAATAAACAATAAGAAACCAGTGAAGTCTGATTGTATGACAACAAACTGTTGCGTTCTTCTTGGGGAAAACACAGAAAAAGTAAATACAGAAAGAGGCCAACCTGCTAAATGTGATAAAAAGGAATTTACATCCCAGAGATGTATTGTTGACAATGACAGTTTGTTGGTAAATGAACTAGGTGTGGCTGACCATGGACAAGATTCATCATCTCTTTCTACTGCCAGTGAAGGCAGTGAATTAGAGCAAAAATCAGCTGAGAAACAAGGTGACTTAACACCTTCAGAAACTTCTTTAAAGAAAGGACTCAGCCAGTGCAATTGCATTGGGTCCCCTGATGGAGCTGAATCTGCTGGAACCGGCTGCAGATCAAATTTAGCAACAGAGAGTTCACATGAGATTGTGTGCGACAACACACCTGCTACCTCTTGCAACTGCAAAGCTACAGAAGTTGCCTCTGACCTTATTGATGATGATAACCTCCCCTCCCAGGAATTACATTATGTGTTTGATAAGTTTATTTTAACCTCTGGCAAGGTAGGACACAGTAAGCAATTTGTGAAACTTTGTGGTTATTGTATGACTGTTGACAGTGTTTAGATTTATTAACAGTAACAAAATAGCTTCTGATGTAGTGGCTTGTGTTGGAATGATATTTTGGTGTGTATCTGTCTTTTAGTCTTTATATTCTCTTCTTATAGTGGCAGCTGAATAGAGCATATAAAGTGTAAGAATGCATCAGTACTATTCTAGTAGCTGATGTTCTTTATATAGGAAATTATTTATCTGCTGTTACGAAAGTCAGATTAGCAAAGCAGTGTGTGTATGTATATATTTTTCTGTTGTTGTTTTATTTTGTTTTTTCAAGACAGGATTACTCTGTGTAACAATCCTGTCTCTGTAGACCAGGCTAGCTTTGAACTCCCAGAGATCCACCTGCCTCTGCCTCCCAAGTGCTGGGATTAAAGGTGTACACCACCAGTGTGGCAATAAAGCAGTATATATTTTAATGTTCTGTTTTTATATACATATATAAAAATAAATAAAGTTATTTTTCTTTTTGAAAAGAAAACAAGGTATGAAATTTTAATGATTTTTCCGTTTTGGTGGGAACATGTAACTATACTGCTAAGTTGTAGTTGAAACTATGAACAAGAGTCAAAAAATGGAATACCTAGATTATGTTCTGACAGTGAAATTTTTGGACTTTTTAATACCCTTTGTGAGTTATGAAGTACTCCTGTTCTTTTAAAGTGAAAAAATCTTTACTTAAAGTCTTTAGAGTGTACAAGGTTCTGCAGTGAATAGAAAATAAAGAATGATATGTTAATAGTAAACTACATTTTTTCAAGTGCAGTTACATAACTAAAGTATGTGCAGAATGGCAAAATGAGTAGTGTAGTAGATCATTGGAGAGGGGGATGAATTGGAAAAATCACTGTCTCGTTTTATCAATAATTACTTGTTGACAAGCTTTAAGCTTGTTAACCTGTTTACTGCACAATCTTTCTTTTTTAGAAATGTGTGTTGTTGGGCCTGGGGAGATGGTTGGGTGGGTATGAGCACTTGCTGTTCTTGCGAGGATCCACTTACTGGCTCACCCTGTGTCTCCAGTTCTAGGGAACGATGTCCTCTCTGACCTCTTCAGGCACTGCGCACGTGGGCCCCAACATGTGCACCAGGTGCACACACACATAATCCAAGATAAAATTTAAAAAACCTTTTTTACGATAAGATCGGATTTTAAAAATTTATTTTCATTTTATATGTATGGGTATTTCACCTGCGTGTGTATCTGTGCCCCACTTGCATGCCAGGTGCCCTGAGAGGCGAGAAGAGGATATTGGCTCTTCTGGAACTGCAGTTAACAGTTGTGAGCTGCCATGTGGGTGTGAGGTAGCGAATCCAGGATCCTTCATAAGACCAGCCACTGTCTGAACTGCTGAGCAATCGCCCAGCACAGTTTGATATTTTGAAAGGGTATAGATAATCCACCCCAAACACATACATACATACATACACACACACACACCCTCCCTACCTTGATGTGTTAGAGATAAGTTAACACTTATGAAATCATGATCACTCATAATGTCACAAATATATTCACCATCTCAAAAAGTCCTTTCTTCCCTTTTCCCCCTTTTACAGTAAGTTTAATCCCCTAGCAAACTTTTTAAGATTGTAATAAAGTATTAGTTATAAGCCTAGAAAACCATAGATCTCTGGAACTTGTTGATTTGTGTGAATGAGATCTTAAACCTTTGGCCCCAAATTTTTTTTTTCTTTTTTTCCTTCACTCAAGTTGTATCTCTTTATTCTGCATAAGGATACATCTGTTGCATATTATTCTGGTCACAGTAGTTAGTTATAGAGACTGTTGCAAAGACTTAAGTAGCAGATTGTTAGTTAGCAAGACTTCTGAGAGAATTACGGTTTATACTTCTTCTATATCCCCCCCCCCCCCCAAATTTAAACTAAGTTAAGTACCATATCTTTAGTTTTACTTTACTAATACTCTGTAACTTAAAAATAAGTCCATTGTGGCTAGGTGTGCCTGTAATTCCAACACTTGGAAGGCTTAAACAGGGAGGTTGTCAGTTTGAGACCTGCCTGGACCACATAGCCAGTTTTGAGTACCACACAGCCTGTCCTATAAAATAACACTGATTTTCAACAGGAAAGAATTTTTGCTCCACATGTATCATTTAAAACACAGCAGACCAGAATTCTCTGAAAAACTGGTAACTGGGCATAGTTGTACATGCCTTTAATGCTATCACTTGGGAGGCAGATCCAGGTGGATCTCTGTGAGTTGGAAGCCAGCTTTGTCTACATAGCAAGGCCTAGGACAACCAGACCTATATACTAGGACTTTATCTCAAAAAACAGAAAAGAAAAGCTAGTAGAAATTCCTGTGGTACTCTTAATTACATATCCACATAATTTTAATTATTTATGGTGTTAGGATTTCCTTTGAAGTTTTCGTATAGAATCTGTTGTTTAGTTTTTTAATTTTACATGTTTGAGTATTTGTCTGCATGTATGTATGTGTGTATCATGTGCACTTGGTGCCTAAGGAGGCTGGAAGAGGCTGTCTTTCCTTGGGACTGGAGTTACAGATGGTGTGAGCTGTTTTGTGGGTTCTAGGAGTCAAATACAGGCCCCTCCAAGAGCAGTCAGTGCTGTTAAACGGTGAGCCACCTTTCTATTCCCCTTTGTATAACTTGAATCGGCATTTATGGCTGTGTCAGTGTCCAGGCTAACATTGGAGGAGCTCTCATCATTAGCTATACATAATGATGAGAGTATAGCGATCGTCCTTAATCGTATGTGCTTTTGTAACTCATTGGCATAACTGTTTACTGTTTGACCCACTTGTCTGGTGTTCTACTGGAAAATATTTAAAATGATGCTATAGAATTTGGAAATTGAGTGAGTAGTTCCTAACTGATTCATGATATAGATAGAGCTAAGTTTTAGATAGAGCTCAGTCTCCAGAGACCAAAACCGTAATATAATTTTACACACTAGCTGCAAGAGGATTTCTTGATTGAAATCCTTGATTTCTGAAGATTAAAAATACTTGGAAGAATATGAAAGATGCAATTTAAAATTCCTTTGTGAGTAACTTTATTAAAAGTCTCAGGAAATTAAAACTGCAAGCTAGGAACTATGGGTGTAGCTCAGTTGATAGAGTACTTATATATACATGGCCCTGAGTTTGATTGCCAGCATTGCCTTAACCCGGTGTGGTGGTAACCCAGTGTGGTAGTTCTCACCTCTAATCCCAGCACTCACAAAACAGGGATGGAGGATCAGGAGTCCTAGGTTATTCTTGGCTGTTTGGGCTCTTGAGACCCTGTCTTATAAACCACACAGAAATGGTCTAGAGAGATGGCTCAGCAGGTAAGTGCACTGATGCTCTTTCAGAGGACCTGGGTTCCATTCCCTGTGTACACAGTAGCTCAGAGTCATATGTAACTCCAGTTCCTGTGGATCCAGTGCCTTTTTCTGACCTCAGGGCACCAGGCATACAAGTGGTGTGCAGATAGACCTACAGGGAAAACAACCATATGCAAAAAAAGATAAGTGTTGGAGCTGCAGACAAATAAATAAATACAAGGTGTAGGTATTCTCTTGAGAGTTGATCAAGCATTTTGAATAACACAAACCTTTCGTATTGCTTGCTAATTCCTATATCTTGCATTTTCAAGTAAATTGTTTATGGTGTAATTCTGGTGGGAGAGGAAAGCAGTTAAAGCAAATTTTTATATTAATTGCATTTCATAACAGCTTTTTACAAAAATCTTCTGAATGAGTAGGTTATCTGAATTAGCTACATAGTGTTTGTTGCTGCTATAGTTTTGGATCTGCTTTCTAAGTGATGAAATAACTTAAAAGTTATTAGATTTTTTTCGACTATTATTTAGCCGCCAACAATAGTATGCAGCATCTGCAAAAAGGATGGCCATTCAAAAAATGATTGCCCAGAGGATTTCAGGAAAATTGATCTAAAGCCTTTACCACCAATGACAACCCGATTTCGAGAAATACTTGATTTAGTATGTAAAAGATGTTTTGGTAAGTGTTTGGTATTATAACTACTAAAAGTAGATTGTTAAAGATTGAATATTTTCTGATTTAAAAACTTTTTCAGTTTTACTAGGGCAGAATTTTTTTTTTTTTTTTTTAGTAATAAAAAAGATCAAACATAGTTATCTACTAAATGCTGACCTTAGGACACTGTCTTAAATGCTAACGAAAATACAATTGAGTCTATATGTACTAGTTTTAAGAAATTTACACTGTATAATTGAGTTATTTAATATTGTATTTATTAGTTCTTTATACTTACTGAAGAAAGATCAGTTAAAATGTAAACTAACTGGCATATTTCAAGCTCTCAATAACTGTGAGGCTAGTATATGGATGGATATTGCATTGGAAGGTCTGGGTAGAGAACATTTCTGTAAATTAGCGTAATAATAGCTAAATTTGGCAGTTTATGGTGGCACACCCTCTTAATCCTAGCACTGGGGAGGCCAAAATGTTACTGTTACAGATTTGAGGCTAGCTTAGACTCCAAAGTGAGAGGAGTTAAAGGCCAACCTTGGCTACAAAGCAACACCTTGTCTCAAATCAGTTAGGGGTTGGCTCAGCAGTTAAGGACATTTGTAGCTCCTAAGATCCAGGCTCTGTTCCCAGCATCCGCATGGTGGTGCCCAGCCAGTGGTGTGTGACTCCAATTCCAGGGGTCCAGGTGTGAACATGGTGTACCCAAATGGGTGTAGGCAGCACACTCATACACATAAACAAAGCAGCTACAAGTAGCTGGCATGGTCACTTGCTATTTCTCTTTGGTAAGTACTCAATAGTGGAATAACTAGATCATGCTTACTTTTTTATTTTATTTTTACATTATATATATGAGCCTGAATGTATGTTCACCACAGTGCGTGTGTGCAGTGCCATGGAGGCCACGAGAGGTTCTCCTGTCTCCTGGAACTGGTGTTACAGATGGTTGTGAGCAGCTGTGTGGGAACTGAACCCTTCTGGAAGAGCAGCCAGTGCCCTTTAACTGCGGAACCATCTTTCTGCTCCCACGGCATGCCATTGTCTTCATGCTCTTCCCCTCCTCTTCCTCTTCCTTTTTTTTTTTTTTTTTTTTTTGAGGCAGAGTTTTTCTGGGTAGCCCTGGATGTCCTGGAACTCGCTCTGTAGACCAGGCTGTCCTCAAACTCAGAGGTCCGTCTGCCTCTGCCTCCCAAGTGCTGGGATTAAAGACGTGTGCTCCGATACCCAGCTGATAGCACGTTTTCTCTCTCTCCCCTTCCCTCCCTCCCCCCCTTTTGGTTTTTTGAGACAGGGTTTCTCTGTGTAGCCCGGCTGTCCTGGTCTCACTTTGTAGGCCTCAAACTCAAAGAAATCTGCCTGCCTCTGCCTCCTGAGTGCTGGCATTACAGGCCTGGCTACGATAGCATGTTTCCTTAAGATGGTTTTATTAAGCTATAGTGTACTGTCTCTAATTAGTTACTTATTTCATTGTTTACTTACAGAAACCTTGTAGTTGTGGGTGTAATCCAATATAACTTGTTGGAGCTTCCGTGTCTGACATAACCTCATCACTGTGGGTTTTTATTAATTTTTTGGGTTTCTTTCTTTGGGAACCACAAGATATTCTAGGTTCATTGAGTATATTTTCTGACTTAGTACTAAAGTTGGATTTTTCTTGAAGGTCCTCTAATTTCTGTCATTGGAGAATAGTATTAGGATTCAAGAGGAGAGTACAAGGTGCTCTACTTCGTTGTTGTTTTGTTTTTGAGACAGGCTTCCTATGTAGCCTTGGCTAGCCCAACTCTGAGATTTGCCTGCCTCTGCCTCCTGAGTGCTGGGATTAAAAGTTTGTGCCACTACACCCATTATGCATTCTTAACATTATTGGACTGTTGTTGCTTTTACGCTCTTTTAGAGCAAAAAATACATGTGTAAGTAATAACCGGTGTAGGTGTGTGTATGTGTATACTTACTACAATTTTTTCTATATGCAGTCATTTATGTCAGCTGATTCTAAACATTTCAGAGAATCTCTGATTCTGAACCATTACATTCTTCATTCTCTGCTCTTCTTCATAAGGAGAAACCAGCTTCTTACAGTCTAGTATTAAAAAGTACTTAATTGTTGCGTTTTAGCACAGCTGTATTAGCAGCCTCAGAACTGTTGAACTAAACTCTTTGGAAACAACTTCATTCATCAGAGTTGAGTGTCTATATGTAGTTTCTTTTGGCCTTAAACTTACAGATTGTACTCATTGCATTTTTTTTTCTCTTAGATTGTTACTTTTTTGTTTTTGTTTTTGTCTCTATAGCCCCGGCTGTCCTGCAACTCATTCACTATGTAGACCAGGCTTACATTCATTTTCCAAATCACTGAGGTTCAGTACCTTTGCCCTTGAGTGAAGGCTTTTCATACATTTATAGCACAGATTCTTTCATCACAATCTGTACTCCATCCTGAAATCTTGTCATCTCATATCATTTTGTAAAAGTTGTAGACCTTAAAACAGTTTTATTTATTTATTTTTTTAGTTTAGCTTTCAAAGTAATGGGTTTCCATGGAATCATAAATATTTATTATCTGTACTTTGTTCTTGTTCACTTTGGTTTACTCTTGGTGATGGAGTATTCCCTGGTCTTTTGTGATGGTATTTAATAATGTTAAGCTAAACTTTAGAGGAATCAACCTAAAAGAAAAATAGGTTCATTTTGGCTCCAAATTTGAGAGTATTTAGTCTAGGACCTTTTGGTTCTGTCACTTTGTGCCTATGCCAAGGCAGTATATAATAGAAGTGTATTGTATAGCAGAATGATTCCTGTCAGCCTTGCTGTGCAGAGGGGAAGAGGAGGTAGATAGGATCCTAGTATTTCCCCTCTTCGAGGGCATGTTTCCTGTGAATGGAAGGCTTCATACTATTGTTATACCTGTTAAACATTTCATCTCCATAGCATCTGGTTTAAGATCATGTCTTTAACTACCAACCCATAGCATGTATGTCACCTGTTCTTGATGGACAGGATTCATAGCCCCAAACCAAAAAAAGAAAAACAAAACAAAAACCCCAACGCTGTATTTCATCTAGTTTTTCTCATCCCTATGGTACTCATATTTACCTTTTTATTATTATTATTATTACTATTTTTATTTAAAAAAATATTTTATGGGTATTTTGCCTGCAAGCATGTCTGTACACCAAATGTGTTCAGTGACCTCAGAGGCCAGAAGAGGGTGTTGGATGTCCTGGAACTTGAGTTACAGACACTTGTGAGCCATCTGGGTGGTTGGGATTGACCCTCAGTCCTATGGAATAGTAGCTAGTGCTCTTAAAGAGTTGTTTACTTATTTTATGTCTGAGTGCTCTGTCTGCATGTGCGCCTGCACGCCAGAAGAGGGCGTCAGATCCCATTACAGGTGGTTGGGAGCCACCATGTGGTTGCTGGGAATTGAACTCAGGACCTCTGGAAAAGGTGCCAGTGCTCCTAACCTCCAAGTCATCTCTTCGGCCTGTAGCCAGTGCTCTTAACCACAGAGCCATCACTCTAGCCTGATACATTTCCATTTATAAAAATAAATACTGATTTAAGTAAATGCATTATTTCTGGTACTACAGAATTTTGGGTATGAGTCTTTAGAGATGGGGTGAGGAGACAGTGTGCTTAAGACATTTGTATGATCCTGTTGGGAATGGAAAAGGAATGTAAATGAAGACTGGAAAACTTTAAGAACATCAGAAAATCATTTGCTAGTCTTTGGCAGGCAATTTGATATAGTAAATAGGTTAAATTAAGGTGAGGTGTCAAGACTACAGGGAGGTTGAATAGTTTATAGGGAAAATAGGATTTTTTTTTTTAAGTGGGTGCTTTGGTAACTGAACACTGTGAGATAGAGGAAAATGTGGGTGTGGGAAAGAGTTAAATGTCTGATGAAAACAGTATTAATTAGTTTCAAAAGGTAAATGAATATGGGGAAATATAGGGGAAATTATTTAAATTTTTTTCTGTTTCCCTGCCCTTTCTCTAGTGTCATTTATGGTTTTACCATCATAAAAGTAAATAGTGAAAATATTTGAGAGTAAAAATTTTAAGGTTGAAAACCTGAAGAAATTTTATAATCTATTCTTTTAATGTTTCCTTTTTTTTTTTTTTTAATATAGATGAATTATCACCGCCTTGCTCTGAACAACACAACAGGGAACAAATTTTAATTGGGTTGGAAAAATTTATTCAAAAAGAATATGATGGTATGTCACAGGCTAAACGTTGGCTGTTGTTTCTGTAATCACATGGCTTTGAGTTTGATTGATTTAAAATGTTTATCAACTGTTATATGATAAGTACTTTTCTAGTTTCTGTGGCTGTATCACTAAATGCTGCTCTCCTGAGTATATGTAAGAGGGTATAGCAGTCAGGTGAAATAAATATAAATATATTAATAAATAGTAAACGCTTGGGGATAAAAGAAGTGATAGCTTGTATAGTAAATCTCATGAGGCAGCATTTAAGTTGATCCGCACATATGAAGGAACAAATTGCACACATTTCCAGGGAGAGATCATTATGGAAAGAAAGGGTCGATACTAAGACTTCGATTATATCTGACATGTTTAAAGACCAATTGGGAGGCTAGTGTGATTGTGTCCAATGTGCAAGATAGGTTGTAATAGAAGAGCTCATAAAGATAGCCTAAAGATTATAACATTAGAACCTTCTGGACGTTGGTAGAAGGACTTTTAGTAAGAGCTATGTAGAATTTTAAATGATAGGATCTCAGTAAACACTACAGCTACAGCACTGTTCTAAAAGTACAAGCGAGAACGTTGCAGAGAGCTCTGACGTAGTGCAGGTGAAGCTCACCAGTGGTGGAGTAAGTGCTTAGTGTTGGGAAAACTGATAGGAATTGCTGCAGTGTGTGTGAAGGCGAGGACAGAAGGAAGCCGGGCATGCTCTGAAGGCTTTTGCTCCAAAATAGCAGGACAGTTTTTTAGCAGGAGCATAGAGAATCAAGAATTTTATGATCAAATATTTTTAGGAAAGGTTATTTATGGTTATATAAATATATAAGGCATATATTTATATAGTTATATAAATATAATGGCTCACTTGATAAGTGTTTGTTTTGTAAGCATGAGGACCTGAGTTTTTATTCCCAGAAGCAGTGTAAAAACACAGGACACAGGGGTTGGGAAGATGACTCAGGGGCTGAGAACACTTCTTCCAGGAAACCTCCATTCGGTTCTCACGTTAGTGTCTCAGGGTCTGTCTGTGTCTAGCTCTAGATGGTTCAACACTCTTTTGGTCTCTGCAGGCATGCACACGTGCTCTTGCACGTGTACTCACATTTGTAGTCCACTGGGAGGCATAGATAAGCCTCCTGTCCCTGCTGCTCACTGGGCAGCTATCTAGCCTAAGCGATGGGGTCCAGCAAGTATAATTCTGCCCTTTTCCTTTTAAATAAAACTCAAATCCAGTTTTATTTGATCATAATAGCCTCTTTTTTATGAATATATTGTATATTTGAACAATAAAGACTCACGACTTACAGTTTTTATATTGAGAATACTTTAAATAATATTTTAGTAGACATTAAGCAAAACTCATAAAAATATGAAACTCCTAGGCTAGTGAGATAACTCATTGGGTAAAGATGCTCAGCCTAGTAGTGACAATGATCCTTTAGACCCACAAGGTGACAGAGACAACCAACTGCCATGAATTGTTCTCTGCCCTCCACATGAGTTCTAACACATATACACATGTACAAATTAAGTTTTAAAAATTAAAAATACATGGACTGCATTACAAATTTACCTTTGCACAGAGGCCTTGCTTATGTCTGTATTATTCCAGTATTGGTTTATGTGCTCTGAAGTGAACACTTGTACCTCCTTTTATCCTTCTTAGTTATCATTGACATTTAGTCAATACATGCATAAAAGGGTTGTTTTCAGTATGTGATTTATTGTCTAACTACGTATTAAGGGCCAACGAGATGGCTCAGTAGAGAAAGGCACTTGCCACCAAGTCTGGTAATCTGAGTCCAGTTTTCGGAACAGACATAGTGAAAGGCGAGATGCACCCTACACAAATTGTCTTCTGTCTACATGTGCACATTGGCATGCCCTACTAATAAAGAAATAAATTTAAATGTGTAATTAAACCTTAAGTTACAGCTCATTTGAGAGAGTGTTGGTGAAGCACTCTCAAATGAGAATGAATTACTAACATGAGTTATATCTAGTAAATTAGAAAAATTAACCCTATATATTGAGGTGGTACTTTAAAAGTTTTTGAATGCTACACTGAAAGAACTAGTTTACTTTTAAAAGATGAGTCATCAGATATTGAGCTTAAGCTTTGATACTGGTTTTGAAGAACAATAGTAGGTGGTAGATAGTTTAGTGGGAAGAAGCTGAAGGTCTTAGTAATAACTTAGGCTGCCCGAGCAAAGTACTAAGGATCACATACATTTCTCATGAGCATCTAAATAGATGATGACACTGTTTGCTGAGAGTTGGTATATTAGTTGCTTCTCTTCTGGCTTTGCAATTAATGTTAAGAAAGGATGGAAGGATTTATTTTGGCTTACAGTTTCAGGGATTAGAGTTTCATGGCAGCAGGAAACAAATGGTTACAGTGTGTCCAGTTAGGAAAGCAGAAATGATGAATGTTCAGCTCAGTTTCTCCTTTTTATTAAGTCCATGGAATCATATCCCTCACATTACAGGTGGGTTCTATGTCAGTTAACGTAATCTAATAGTCTCTCACAAACGAAGATGGGATTATAGGAATAATAGTAGGTCTGAGCGAAGTGGGTAGTGTAGACATGTTGAATTTCGGAAATGTTGACGAAAAAGCAGTCAGCTGCTTGGGTGTGAGAACTTAGGCAAAAGGCCCTGGGCTTGGATGTTTTGGAATTAGTGCCTCAATTTGTGGATGATAGCTGACCCTCTGATGCACTCATTGCCTTGTCTCCTGAGCTTAGAAAAGGCAAGACTGTGCTTATTTGGTTCTTCCAAGAATGGATTCGGATTCCGCGATAGTGATCTGGATATTTGTATGACTCTGGAAGGCCATGAAAATGCAGAGGTAAGAGTTAGTATTTGGAAGGGCTTTAAAATTTTTTCTTTAATGGTGAATTTTTAAAAATTTTATGCCTGATATTTATTATACATCATATCATTTTTTTTTTTATCAGTGTGCTAATAGTGTTTGAGATGCAAAAGCGTTAACATCACTTTAGAAGATACTCAGACTCAGCTATGGTGTAAATCTGTTTTGTTAAACATTCAGACTTAAAATAAGTAAATTTACCATTCATGCTTTTTTCTGTCTGTCTGTCTGTCTGTCTATCTATCTATCTATCATTTTTTTGAGGCATGGTTTCTTTGTGTAGCTTTGGTTTTGTAGACCAGGCTGGCCTCAAACTCAACAGCGCTCTGCCTGCCTCTGCCTTCCTGAGTGCTGGGATTAAAGGTGTGCACCACCATGACCAGCTGTCCATCATATATTAATGTAACAGCTAGGTCTTTGAGACTTACAAGTGTCTAGTAAGGAATTTGGTAAAGAAATTAGTTTTTCATTAGAACCAACTAGGTGGCACTTCTCTTTGATAGTAAGCATTAATCTTGGTGCGTATGTTATGTATGTGAGTAGAAAATACAGGTAGTCTAATTTGTAAATGGATTATATTTTTTAAAAATTACAATTTGGGGCCACTGATATCTTTTCCATTCAAGCAGTATTATAAATGTTGAAGGCTAGAAACTTTATTTTGGGTGGGATGGGAAACTAATATTTACTGAGTTGCTGTATAGGCTTATCTTTTTTTCATTTTTAACCAACATTGAGGGAGATATTAATTATTCCATTTCAAAATGAGACTGATGCTTTGAAAGACAAAATAGGGGACTATTGAGATAGTACAGCAGGTAAAGATGCTTGTTTTTAAGCCTAACTACCTAAATTCGATCCTAGTATCGGCATGGTGCAAGGAGGGAACTAACTTCAGCAAGTTGACCTCTGACCTCCATTTGTGCCCTGGAGTTCCCACTTCACATAAACAAACAAACAAACATTAACAACATGAGCAAAAAAGAAATAAAAGAAAAACTGCTTTAGTATTAAAGGCGTTCTCTGCCACTGCCTGGCACTGCTGACTGCTTAGTCACAGGCTATGTTACTCTGTTGCGACTGTAGAGCTGGGTCATAGAGTAGTAGTCTGAGGCTGGGGGATGTTAAGGATCAGTCATGCAGACAGTTAAGACTTCCTTCAGAATTTGATTGTAGATTTGTCTAAATTCAGTGCTTTTGTTCCTAATCATTACAGTGTTGCATCTTACAGCTATATCTTGCAACCACGCTAGTTGGTTTTGTAGAGAGAATGACTTACAATAGCTGTGCTCTTTTGTTTTGTTTTGAATGTATAGAGCAGTGAAACAGTAAGTAAACAGAATAGACGTTCTGCTTGGGACCTGTGTTCAACAGGTCCTGCTGTTTTGGTTACCCAGACTTCTCTGGTAGTTTTTGTTGGATTATATCTGATTGAACACTTTTTTTTTTAATGTATATATATTTTATTTATTATGTGTACACTGTTCTATCTGCATGTACACCTGCACGCCAGAAGAGGGCACCATATTTCGCTATAGATGGTTGTGAGCCACCATGTGGTTGCTGGGAATTGAACTCAGGACCTCTGGAAAAGCAGCCAGTGCTCTTAACCTCTGAGCCGCCTCTCCAGCCTGGTGATCGACCACTCTTAGTATTGTTTTTTTTTTTTTTTTTTTTTTTTTTTTTTCCCTGCTTAGTATTTTATTCTTTTTCCTTTTTTTTTTTTTCCCTGTACAGTCAAGGGTTTCTCTGTGTAGTCCTAGAACTCACTCTGGAGACCGGCTAGATCCTTCATCTTCTTTTTCCTCTCCTGTTTTTATTTTAATTCTCTATGTTATTCTTTTTCTCCTACCTCTTATAGTTTTAATAAATTCACTCATTCAAAACCCAAAGAATGGATATCATAGATAATTTTCTGTTAAAACAAAAGTCTGATATTGAAAATCATTTTACTCTTTGCATGCTTTAGACTTCAGTCCAGGTGTGAATGACTTTGTGATCTTCCTAGAGTGCAGATCAAACTCACTTAGACTGGAGAAAGGCCCGAGAGTCTGCGTTTCTGCCCGGCTCAGGTTTATGTTGGTGATGTGGGTCTTTAGCTGTTACTTAGTTCACAAGGTTATACAGCTCATTATGACTAAACATTTTAAGTTATTAGTATTAAGTGCTTTGGTTAAAGTATAATTTACAGTTGGAAAAAAGAATTTTACTTTTTTAATTATTTTTCCAGAAATTAAACTGTAAGGAAATAATTGAAAATTTGGCAAAAATTCTTAAGAGGCATCCAGGTAAAATTTTGTATCTTACCTTTATGACAAAAAATACTTTGTAGCATTATAAAAATTAATTAAATTGCTTGAGTTTTTGTTTCCCCCACCCTCAGGTTTAAGAAACATTCTGCCTATAACTACTGCCAAAGTGCCTATCGTAAAATTTGAACACAGACGGAGTGGACTAGAGGGTGACATCAGTTTATATAACACACTGGTAAGTTTTTCATCGTAGGTCCAGGTAGAATTGTACTTTGTATTTTTAATAAAAATTGTTTTTAATATTTTTGATATTAAAATATACCTACATTTTTTTCTCTCTTCCTTTCCTCCTCCTTTTTCTATCCCCCTTGTTTTCTCCACAAATTGATGGTCTCTTTCTTTGCTGTGTATGTATATGTTTATACATATATATTTATATATATTCCAGTCTATCTGTCCGGCCTGCTCAGGTTGTATAAAGTTACTTGTATGTATATGATTTCAGAGCTGATCAGTTGGTCTCAGATAACCAGTTTGGGGTCTTCCCTGGGGAAGACCATTTCCTCTGTTCTTAGCATTCCTTAGTTGGCCTGTAGAGATTTCCCACCTTCATGTTAAGTGTCTGTTGGTATAGTCCTGTTCAGGTTTGTTCGGATGGCCATGTTGATGAAATGTCACGGATGTCGCTTCTCTGACATTTCTAGCAAATGTCCCGCTCCTCTGGCTCTTAAACTCTTCCTGTGTCTGCTTCTGCTATGATTTCTGAGCCTTAGGTTCAGGAGTTGTGTTGTACGTGGATCAGGTAGGACTGGAATTCATTCACATGGTTACTTTTTCTCTACGTTTGATTTGTTGTGGTTTTCTGTAGTGCTCACCATTTGTTACAAGGAGATGTTCCTTTGATGAGTAAGTCCTATATCTTCTCTGGGTAGATAGATAAATATTTAGAATATAGTTAGGAATTATGCTGCTTTAGTAACGGGGTTTTCTTCTAAGATTCCTCAATTCACTGGCCCCCAGTACCAGCTTTGATTGGCTTCTGGTTGAGCTGGCTGTAAGTCTGATGAGAGAAACATTGGGTACTGTCAAGGTATGTGTACCACTGCTGCACCCTTCATACGGTGTCATGATGGTCATTATTTTAGTTCATAGGCATCATAGCTGGATGGAAATATTGGGTCCTTTTCTCCCTTGGAAGCTTGCATGGAGTCTTCTGGTACCACAAAAGCTAGTCTTCGGGGAGTAGGTTTTCTGGTCAGAACTGGATTGGCTCTCCAGATACTTTCTGTCAGAAGAACGCGATGTCTTGAGAAGGTTGCCATCAACCTCTGGGAGGTGACCAAGGGCAGCTTCAGTAGCCTGTGTTTTGGAAGTCTCTTTGATAACCCTGACCAGAGAGAGATCAAGGGGGCTTTTCATGCCTGGTTTAGGGAGTTCATTTTTCATTACAGCTGAATACTATTCTCTCGTGTATATGTACTACATTTTAATTTTTCACTTAATAGTTGAAGGATTTTTTTTTTTTTTTTTTTCTCCTCAAGGCAGAATTTCTCTGTGTAATAGCCCTGGCTTCCCTGGACTGTCTTTATAAACAGGCTAGCCTTGAACTCACAGAGGTCCACCTGCCTCTGCCTCCCAAGAGCTGTGGTTAAAGACGTGCACCACTACACCTGGCTGAAGGCTATTTTTGTTGATAACTTGTTCTATCTAGTATCAATAGAGAAACAAGTAACATGGGTGAGCAAGTATTTGTGGAGTGGCATGTTGAATCCTTTGGTCATATACCAAGGAGAAGTATAGCTGCCTTATAAGGTAAATTTACTGGTGGGTTTTTGAGGGAAATCTGCATGTTGATTTCAAGAGTGGCTGTACCAGTTTGCACTTCTACCAGGAGAGGATGAAGGTTCCCACATTCTCTCCAGCATTTATTTTATTCTTGATTGTTTTGTTCATCTTTACCATTTCGACTGGGGTAAAACAAAAAATTCTAAAGTTGTTTTGGTTTGTGTGTTTCTAATTTTTAGGGTTGGTAAACATTTGGGGAATATTTCTTGGTCACCTTTATTTTTATTTCTTAAAAGAACTCTCTAAGCCTGTTGTGATGGTTCACACCTTTAACCCCAGCACTGATGAGGCAGAGGCAGGTAGATTTCTTGAGTTTAATGCCAGCCTGGTCTTCAGAGCAAGGTTGAGGACAGACAAGGCTATACAGAGAAACCCTGTCTTGAAAAACCAAAAGACCAAACAAATCAAACAAAAAGAACTCTGTGTTCAGATCTCAAGCCCATTTTTGAATGGATTTTTTTCTACATTTTGGATTCCTTATATGTTCTAAATATTAATCTTTTGTCAGATTTACAGATGGCAAATAATCTCTCATCTTGTGGGCTTTCTCTTCACTTGTTTATTTCTTAGGTGCACAGAAGCTTTTTAGATTTATGAAGGCCTCGGTGTTTGGCTCAATGTCCTGGGCAAGTGGGAAAGTCCTCTCGTATGCCCATATCCTGTAAGGCACTGCTTATGTTCTCTACTAGTAGTTGTAGCATAAGACGTTTAGGTCTTGGAGTTAGTGTTTGTGCAAGGTGACAGAGACTGGCGTTATTTTGCTCTTCTGCATATGGACATCCAGTTTTCCCAGCACCATTTGTTGAAGGTGGTGTCTTCTCTCCAGTTTATCCTTGTCATCTATTAGATGGTTACAGTTAGACATACTCATGTTTGGCTCTTCAGTTTTTGTTCCATTGGTCTACATGTCTTTGTGTGTGAGCGTGTGCCAGTACTATATTGTTTTTATCCTTATGGCTGTGTAGTGTTATCTTATGTTCTGGATCCTTCCAGTAACATTTTTGTTCAGGATGTTTTGTTTTGTTTTTTTTTTTTTTTGGGCTCTCTTGTGTTCTTTTGTGTTTTCATATGAAGTTCAGGATAGTTTATTTCTGTAAAGAACGAAGTGGAAATTTTCATTGGGTTGCATTGAATCTGTACATGATTTTTTGTAGAAATTAATTTTCACAATATTGATTTCATGTCTAGTGTGGTGTTCCCACTGTAGAAATCTCTCACCTCTCTGGCTAGGTTTATTCTGAGAGATGTTACTTGATTTAAGGCTGTTGTGAATGTGAATGTGCCTGTGATCTTCGCAGTATATTTGTTGTTGGCGGATACTAGTCGTCTGAAAAGGTGACAGACACGCTGCTCCGGCAGGAAGATAGCAGGGTCCCATAGATTGTGCAGTGGATATGCCGACTACCTCAGGAGTTTCCACAGATGGGGGAAACCTGACAGTATAATTTGTGATAGTGGTGGCACTGTGTTCACACTTTCCCTTATTAAATTAAAAAACATCGACAGATTATTGTTTAAAATTTTCAACTGATCTATGTAAGAAAAAAGTATTTTACTGTTTTGATACTAATTTCAAGTAGAATTGGTTTGTTTGACTAATTGGTGGGCAGTTTGAAATCTCGATATACTAATTGCAGTATAGTGTATCTTTTTACCTGATTAGTAATTTTAATTAACACATATTAAATGATTTTAAATATGTAATTATTTTTCAGGCGCAACACAACACAAGAATGCTAGCTACTTACGCAGCTATTGACCCTAGGGTCCAGTATTTGGGATACACTATGAAAGTGTTTGCTAAGGTACTTGCGAAGATGCGAAATTGTCTGTCCTGGTGTAGTACTTGTGATGTTAAAGTGAAACATACTGATGTTAGACTTGTGAAAGATAGTATCACTTTTATTATTTACTTTTTTCCCTTCTCTAAGATAGGGTCTTGCTGTGTTTCTTGAACCCAGGTGATCTTCCTGTTTTAATCTCCTGAGATATACCTGAACTCTTATTATATAGTTCTTTAATATATTTATGTTTTTAATTTTTTTTTTTTTTGTTGTTGTTGTTGTTGTTATAGGGTCTTACTAAATAGCTAGAGCTGTCCTGGAACTTGCTGTGTAGACTAGACTGGCCTGGAACGCACAGAGATCCTTCTGCCTTTGCCTGTACTACCATGCCTGGCTGGTACCTGAGCTTTTATAAAAAGATAGCTTCCAAGTACTCAGGGAGGCAGAGGCAGGAGGATCTCTGTGAGTTCCAGGCTAGCCTGGTCTATAAAGTGAGTGTAGGAGAGCCAAGGCTACACAGAGAAACCCTGTCCCGGAAGGAAGATAGATAGATAGAAAGATAGAAAGATAGATAGATAGATAGATAGATAGATAGATAGATAGATACATACATACATACATACATACATACATACATACATACATACATACATACATACATACATACATACATACATAGAAACCCTGTCCCGGAAGATAGATAGATAGATAGATACATACATACATACATACATACATACATACATACATACATACACACACACACATACATAGAAAGAATGAATTAAGGAAGATAACTGATCCACAAGCTCCCAGGAGAAACCCTGCCTTGGGAAACAAACAAATAAATAAATAAAAATTTAAAGAGGTGGCTGATTGACAAGCTCCCAGGATTTTTTTGTGTCTGCTGTTTAGTGCTGGGTTCATAGGTACATACAGTCTTATGAAGCTTTTATGTGGAAATTGGGAGGGTTGAACTCTGGCCCTCTGGCTTTTCACAGCAATTGTTCCAATCTACTGAGCTTTTATTTTCATTCAAAGTGGATATGTACTACTTTGTGTGGATAGTGCTAATACTTTCCTCCTAAACTTTACTGAGAAACTTACTTTTCATGTTTTGTTATCATAACTATTTCAATTTTAAAATCCGATTTCTTTTTTATTTTACACATTTTTGGAGGGTAAATACTAGGTCATTAAATTTGATTTGCTTCTGTTATTTTGATATTGCCTAACTGTTCTTTATAGAGTTTGTAGTATACATACTTTTAAAGAGTTGTTAATGCTTTTAATCCCAGTACTCAGGAAGCAGAGGCAGGTGGACCTCTGTGAGTTAGAGACCAGCCTAGTCTATATAGTGAGTGCCAGGCTAGCTAGGGCTGTCAAAAATAACAGTAGTAACAAAACTTGTGTGTATGAAATGTTTTGCCTGCATCTTTAGAGGTTAGAAGTCAAGTGTTGCGTGCCTTGGCACTAGAGTTGGATTTTGAAATGAGACTATTAATTTTTGCTTGTAATCACTATCTTTCTCAGCGCTGCGACATTGGAGATGCATCTCGGGGGAGTTTGTCCTCTTACGCTTATATCCTTATGGTGCTGTACTTTCTGCAGCAAAGAAAGCCACCAGTTATCCCAGTTCTGCAGGAGGTGAGTGTTCAAGAACATTGTAAAGCTCAGAGCACAGTGCCTGTCGCCTGTAGTTTCAACACTTGAGAGGCCAAAGTGTGAATATTAAGAATTTCAGGCTAGCCTGGGTTACATAGTGTGTTTCAGGACATCCTAGGCAACTGAGTGAGAACTGCCTTAAAAAGAACTATTACAGGTATTCTTGAGCAAACCGTGGATTTAAACAGGGGAACTTGCTGAGTTCATGATATCACAAGGATTTTTTCCATGAATTAGGAGTTGTTTTGTTTTTTTTTTTTTTTTTTTTTTTTTTTGTTAAAGTGAATGCTATAATTATAATAGTGAACCTTTTAGAAAATTTTACTATTGGAGTGTATTGACTGCCAGAAAAATGTGAGGTAACTGGAACTGTTGAGTATGTTCTGGAATATTTAAAAAGTTTGTGGTCTTAGAATATTGCAGATCTCTGAATTTGAGATCTGTGTAGTCTGCAGAGTGAGTTCCAGGACAGCAGGGTTATTTAAATTATCCCTGGAAGAAAATTGCAGTTATGTATCAAGTTCCTGTAGCTTAGCGCAACCTCATACTTATTATAGGCTCTCACATGGAAATACGTACGTTTCGTCTCTTCCTCCTCCTGCTTGATAATGAAGTTTTATGTATTTTATGTATTTCTGTGTGTGCTTTGACAACCTTGAGAAGTTTCCTTATTTTTTCTAAAGTCAAATTAGTTAAACATAAGAATGCACAGTGAAAGATTATTATGTTCATATTTAGCAAGATTTGGTGACTCAGTCAGTTTTTGTATTTAGTTTATGTTCTCTGAAAGAGGTGTAAAACAGTTCTTAATTTTCCATTTGTTTCTTCTATTCTGGGTACAGAGTGGATGAGTTGGCATTAGAGAAGCTCTAGTCTGTCTTCTTAGAAGTATAACTGTTTAGATGTAGGAGAGGAAACATTTGGAAAACCACTTCTGTGTAGTCCTGTTGTTCTTGAGCCTTGTGGCTCATAGAGATTCACTTGTCTCTGCCTCCCAAGTGTTGGGATTAGAATCGTGTGCCACTATGTCTGGCTGGAAAACCACATATTCTGTTCTCAAATAATCTACATGATGGAAAAGAAGAAATGACAAAATACTAAGCCATGTGACATAAATATTTGATAGCCACCCTTAATTTTCAAATAGTCTCATGATTGACGCGATTTTAGCATGTTAATCAAAAAGCTTCCCTTTTTAAACAATTAGTAGCAGGGAAATAAAAATTAAATATTTTTTCCTAGGTAAGAATTCCTAACTAAATATTATATTGGCACTATTATGTATTTGTATATAAGAGTTTTTGTGGTGCTGAGAATCAAACCTACAGCTTCATACAAAGTAGGTGAGTACTGTACCACTCATATTCCTAGCCAAAAAAAAAAAGACTATTTTCTTGTTATTTTTAAGATCACAGCAAAATTGAATATGAAGAGATTTTTTCATACAACCTGCATCTTGTTAGGCACATCCTCCTTCCCCATTATCAACCTTACCTGAGTAATACATTGTTGAAATTCCTGAATTTATAGTAACATATCATAGTCATACCAAATCCATAGTATACATTGGGGTTCTTTCTTGTTATATCATGTAGACTTGGATAAATACATAATTGTATGAACATTGTTATTACACAATACAGTGTTTCCTGAACTTGTCTTTGTCTAAACAACTCTTCCTTCCAACCTTTGTTAATCGTGGATCCTTTTAATACCTCCATGATTCTGTCTTTGCACAGACTATCAGAGAGGTGGGTCAGTCACACCCAGTATCTGCCTTTTCTGATTCATTATGGGTTAGCACCACATTAATATAGTGAACTGAGACCATTAGCCTATTGTAAGTGCTACATTTAGGCTGATGATTCTGGGGAGTAGAGTTCAAGGTTAATTGGCCCCTTTCTCTCTTATCGTGTTCCATGGGTGTCGTGGAGCAGGCTACATATATTATGAGCTAGGAATCGTACTCTGAAACTGAGGTTCCACAGTCCACTTGTAGTACCTGTCCACGATAACCTAATGTTGAAGACCAGCTTCAACAGTCAGGGTAGACTCAGGCACTGTTACCTAGAGTCTGTGATGGGTCGATCACTCACATTTTCTGAGGGTACAAGGCTTGATTTTCTATGCCGGAACTGCTTATAGCCAGCAAAAATAAAATAAAATTAAATTAAATTAAATTAAATAAATAGATAGATAGATAAATAAATAAATAATATAGCCAGCAAAAATAAATAAGTAAGTAAGTAAACAAATAAATAAATAGAAAATAGAAGAAAGAAAGAGGGAAAAGAATCTCACACACACCTTTAGACTTAGAAGATGAAGCAAGGCAGGCTCCAACAACCTTCAAAACTGTATTTTTTTCTCCCACAGCTTATATATCCCAGCAAAATCTTTCAGGAAGTATAAAAATTACAACGTGGTTATAGTCAATTTTTCTTCAAGTGAAGTATTACAATATAATGAGTATATATAGAAAAAAATGTTCAAATATTTTATGTATTATGGATGAAGAAACCAAATTTTTCTCAAGAACCCACACAGGTTTGTAACTAAGCGACCTGTTACAGATTAACAAAGTGTGTTGTGGTAAATTTAAAGGGTTTGATCTAATAAATGTTTATTATTAGGGTATCATTACTCCAGTGGTATTACCTAACCCGTTTCAGTCAAATAAAGGCAGACACTTGTTGTATGTTATAAAATAGACTTTACCTGGGGCATTGCAGATGTTAACTCTCAGTTAGTTTAAACTGTCTCCCAGCCCCAATCCTGAGCTACCTCCCATCCATGGTCCCCAAATACCTATTAATGTTTTCCATCTCCTCTATCCACACTGATCTGGCCATGTGCTCCCTTCCCACCACACTAACCCACGTTTTCTTTTCCTCTGTTTCTGTCTTCTCATCCTTCTCTCCTCCTGGTCCTTAGACCCCAGCCTGTGAATTCCACACTCCTCCTTCTGCCAGACCCCAGCTTCAGCATTGTTTATCAACCATCAGCTTTAAATTAGGTAGAGCAAGGTTTACACAAGGACAGGTATACATGAGAATGTGCTCCTTTGAGCAGGGACAAGATCTTGGGGCTGAGTAATTAACATTAAAATACATAGGACCAGTCTAATCCCCAACAAAAATGTAAGCAAGAAAGAAAGCAAGTGTAAGTAAGGAAGAAATTTTTTTCAGCCACTTTGTCTTTACCAGCAGACTGTAATTTGCAGTTACAAAGAATTACCTTAAAAAGTAGTCTTATAAAAATCTAAAAAGGATGACAGATCTAAACTTTTATGTAGAAAACAATCAAACAACCATTTTTACTTTAAATCCTCAAGGTACACATTATTCATTAACAGTTTTAAAATCATATCAGAAAGCTGAGGGTAAAAATGGGTACAAGAAATTAATCATCACCTTGAATACCAGCCCAGCTTCAGTGAGAGTCAGTCAGCCAGTGCTTGTTTATGCTATTGTTCTTGATCCCTAACCTCATAGAGTCCCTAGCTCAACTATTATTTTTCTTTCTCATTTATTTATTTGATCACTTTACAGCATGGTACCAGCCTCTTTCCTCCTTCCCTTCCATTCCTATACTCACATTCCCCTCCTCTCATGTTCCCCCCTCTTCTCAGAGAAGGGTAGGCTCCCCAAAGGGTACCAACCCATCTGGGCACATCCAGTCAGTAACAGCAGGACTAAGCACATCCTCTTCCACTGAGGCTGGAGAAGGCAGCCCAGCTAGGGGAAACGGATCCAGAGGCTGGCAGCAGATCCCATTGTTAGGGGACCCACATGATGTCCAGGCTGCACATCTGTTACTTATGTGTAGGGGGTCTAGGGCCAGTCCATGCCTGCTTTCTGGTTGGTAGTTCAGTCTCTGTGAGCCCAGGTCTCTCTGTATATATCCAATATGCTCCTTAAGTTCTAGCTGGAGCAATAAGACAACTGAACGAGACCAACGGGACAGAATTTGGAAAAAAGAAGTCAGAATATTCCTATTAGCAGATGTGATAGTATACATGACTGACCCCCCAAATTTTAGAGAACTCCTACAGCAGATAAACACCTTCAGCAAAGTGGCTATATACAAAATTAACTCAAAAAGTCAGTAGCCCTCCTTTATACAATTGATAAATGGGCTGAGGAAGAAATTAGGGAAACGACGCCTAGCTCAACTGTTAAGATGTACTTTTCACTGGGCAGTGATGGCACAGGCCTTTAATCCCGGCACTTGGTCGGCAGAGGCAGACGGATCTCTGTGAATTCAAGGCCAACCTGGTCTACAAAGCTTGTCCAGGACAGTCAAGGCTACACAGAGAAACCCTGTCTCAAAAAACAAAACAAAAGATGTACTTTTCTGAACTTCATATTGTTCTCTACATGAGAGCCATTAACAAAAACATTTTAATCTATCCTTGCTAACAATATATTTTTCAAAATTCAAAATTCTAAGGGTGGTGGTTGTTGCTAACAATCCACATCTCTAACTCCTTTCTCAGGGTGGTGGATGAGTCACTAACCTACTCTAGAAGCAATGCTTGAAAAAGATCAAGCACTATTAAGTGCCAGCAATACTGCCCAGTGAGGGGCCTGAAGGTAGAGTTTCTAGACAGCTCATAGAGAATGAAGGCTGTGGTGAGTGCAAGGGCACCCAGCTGTGATCCTCCAAAACAGCATGAAGTCCTCAGGACACAGAGTCCTCAGGGATTTGCCTCCCTGAGGCACACCTGTCATGTTTGTGCTAATTGGTGGGCCTGCACTGTTGAGTTCTAAAGTTGTTTTGCTGTTTGTCCTGCGTGGCTCTTGACAAATAATTTCCATAAAAGCATAATAAGATCTTCATAGCAGCATCTTCGTGATCAAGTCTTTAACAGATTAGCCCAGTTTCATTTCTGTACTATGCTAAAATATTCTATCAAGGTGCTGGAGAGATGGCTCGGTGGTTGTTCTTCCATAGGATCCAGGTTCAATTTCCGAACCCATATAGCCGCTGACAACTGTCTGTGGTTCCAGTTCCAGGGGATCTGATGCCCTTACACAGACATACATGCAGGGAAAATCACAGTGCACATTAAATAAAACTAAGTAACCAAAAAAAAAAAAAAAAATTCTAACAAAAATATAGCTTAGGGAGTTTTAGGCTTTAATTTTTTTTAAACCTACTTTATTTGGGGTTCCTTATCTCTATCTTCTCCACCCCAGTTAATCCCTTCCAACACCCCAGCACCAGGTAGGAGAGAAGGAACATTAGTGTGGACAGGGGCTGAGTTCTCTTTAGCTGCTGCCTGCTGGTTAGGGTTGTCAGGTTCCTTGTGGAAAGTCCAATCTTCGTTTCAGGAGATCTCCCAACTTCTCATCAAACTGCATCAGCAGCAATGAGCAGCAGCGTGAGGGGAAAGAAAGAAAAACATGTTAGGCAGAGGGCATGGTTTCCACCAGCTGAAAATGTTGCGGATGTAAACATGTTTTTGTTTGGATCCCAGGTGTGGGATGCGGGACTGATGTAGACGGTCCACAACAGCAAACTATTTGCCTGGTACAGGCTCTGAGAGGGGCTCTTTGCCAGCTGCAGATAGTTTAATTCTGAGGACTCTGCCGGAGCTGGGAGAGAAAAAGGGGACTCTGAGAAAAAAGAAAGCTGCTGGTGCTCCCCTCACGCCCAGGAAGATTATTGAGACACAATGCCAGTCCTCTGTAAGAGCAGCTTATGATTTTAACCACTGAATCATCTCTGCAGACCTGGTCTTTGGCAATTTTGTTTTTGTTTTTTTGAGACAGGGTTTCTCTGTACAGTCCTGGCTGCCCTGGAATTCACTCTGTAGACCAGGCTGGCCTTGAACTCAGAGATCTGCCTGCCTGCCGATTCCTCCCAAGTCCTGGGATTAATGGCATGCGCCACCACTGCGGCTGCAAATTTTTTAAAGTGTCATATATTACAAGGGGGAGATTGGATTCAGGGAGTGGGCAAGCATGAGGGTCAGGCAATGACTGGAAAGAAAAATGCCAATTAGCTCCAAGGAGAAGCAGAGAAAGGCATTTTGTGCCTGTGCAGAGGGCCGCACACAGTGCCGCTGCCTAGCTCAGCTGTGCCACAAGGAGAAGAAGCCTTTTCTTACCAAGTTAATAGTTCATAGAAGATTGTTTATTCTTATTGTTGTGGGGTTTTTTTGTTGTTTAAAATTTTTATTTTAAATTTATAAAGGTTTCCTATGTAGTCCTATGTATAGCAGACTGGTCTTGAACGTTGGTGATTTGTCTGCTTCTGCTTCTTGAGTGCTAGGAGTTAGTCCTGGACTACCATGCCCAGCTGTGGGGATACAGATTTTTGTGTTGTCCAGGTTTCTCTTGAACTCCTGAGATTATGTGATTCTTGTCAATTTGGAAGTAGTGTGTGCTGCTGTGCCTGATGTTACTTTCATTTTCATTTATGGGTACTGAGTTCTTTTTTGGAATCTAGTGATAGTAGTATGACTTTCTTCTTTTTCTTGTTAATGTGATAGATTATTTTTATTTTTATATGTTGAACCAGTCTTGAATACTTGGGGTATATCTTACTTGGTCTTGATGTATAAGTATTTTGAAACATTGTTGGGCTGTTTGTTTTTTTTTTTTTTCTTCTTCTTCTTTTTGTTTGTTTTTCGAGATAGGGTTTCTCTTTGTAGGCTTTACTGTCCTGGAATCACTTTGTAGACCAGGCTGCCCTTGGATTCTGTTGGGTTGCTTTTTTTAATATTATTAGGCATTGATTTAGATTTGTTCTTTTTTTTGTTTGTTTGTTTAAATGATACAGGCTTACTCAGATTTTTTTTTCCTTGTGTGCATTTTGGCAAAATGTATCTTTTTAAACATTAGTTTAGCTGGGTGTATCTCTCGTGCTCATAATTGAAGCCCTTTGGGAGCCTGAGGCAGGAGGGTAATGTGACACAGTGCCAGTCTGGGCTACAGAGTGGAGTTCCATCTCCTAAGACAGGCAGAGAAGTAAAGCCGGGGGACGTGAGTCAGCGTTTGCTTCACAGTGCCACATTCACCACATGTAGAGTGCCTGCCTGTAAGCCCAACACAGAGGAGATAGAGGCGGAAGGATCACAAGTTTAAGGTTGTTCTGGGCTATTTACTGAGTTTAAGAGCAGCCTGCACTATCATGAAACCAAGCAAGCATGAAAGAAAACAAACCAAAACAAAAAAACAGAAAGGAGAGAGAGGACTAGTTTATATAGGCTACTAAATTTGGGAATATAGAGTTTATAGTGTTGCTTTTTATTATTTATGGGTTCTGTAGTTTTTCTTTTTAAGTTAATTTATATTCCTGGTCTTTTCCTTGCTGGTAGTGATTGTGGGGTTCTTGCTTTGTTTTGTTGTTGTTGTTTTTTAACAAATGTTTGCCAATTAATTTTGAGGTTTAAGTTGTTGGATTTCAGCCTCATTGCCCTTCCCTGCAGTCATGGAACATTGCTATCTGGAAGCTGGAGAACAGGTTAATGGGCCACAGAGGGTGCGCATCCAGGTTCCAGATTCTGGCTTCTACTGCCAGCATTCCAGAGAAATATTTTACTTACCTGTTAGTGAGGCTTTTATTTCTGTGAAGAGATACCATGACCTTGACAGGGCTTAAAAAGGGTTTAGTTGGGGCTGGTTTACAGTTTCAGAGGTTTAGTCAGTTATTGTCATGACAGGAAGCATGTAGGCAGACATAGTGCTAGAGAAGGAGTGAGAGTTCTGTGTTTTGATTGGCAGGCAGCAAAAGACTGTGCCACCCTGGGCTTCACTTAAGCCTAGGAGCTCCACAGTGACACACTTTCTCCAGCAAAGTCATACTTCCTAGTGTTGTTCCATACGGGCTAAGCATTCAAACACATGAGTCTTTGCCTGCCTTGCCAGGAGCCAAATTGGGAAATTCAGAATTGTTTTTTTCTGATTCTAGAAGATACTGTCTCAGTAGGCCCATTGTCCATGTCAACTTTCTCCCTCTCATCTAAACTCACTCCATGACCTTTCCCCACACATGTTGAGTAAGGTTTGAATCTGTATGCTCTGTGTCCTCTCATGAGTATTGGCTTTTATTTCTTCTTTTTTGTTTTGGTTTGAGACTGGGCCACTCAACACAGCTCTCCTGGAACTTACAGTAGACCAGGCTGGCCTTGAACTCACAGAGATCTGCCTGCCTTTGCTTCCTGAGTGGTGGAATTAAAGATATACAGTACTAAGCTTGGCTTGGCTTTCATTTCTTAGTGTCCAGAAATAACCTGTATTTTTTTATTTTCCTGCCAACGGAAATATAGTCTGGTCTGGTCTGCAGGTTATAGACAGTGTCCAGGACATTAAGACACATGCTGGTAGTAAAGAAGACTGTTGGGTTGTCTTATTACCCTCATTGTGTCCATGAGCTCAGGACACAATGTTAAGCAACTCTCTGTAATAATGGATGCTCCCTATAGAACTTCATTTGTTTTGTTGAGAGAGGGTCTCGCTGTGTAGTTCTGGCTGCCCTGGAACTCACTATGAAGACCAGGCTAGCCTCGAATTCACAGAGTTCTGCTTGCCTCTTCTCCTGAGTGCTGGATTAAAGATATATGCCTGGCTTTCACTACAGAGTTTTAAAAATTTATCATAAATTAATTAGACCTGTCAAAGTGTGTGTTTTTATGTTTTTTCTTTTAGCAGCATATGATTAACATGAGTGGACCACAGATTTTATTTTTACAGTGTTCTCTGTGTGATCTCTCATGGATTAGTAAGCAAGAGCTAATTAATAGGGAGGATGTGTTACTTGGGCTCAGAACTTAGTCAGACTCTTTAGAATGAGCTTCAGTAAGCTGCCGAATCTCCATGACCCAGAGTTCATTATCAGTGCAAATGTAACACTATGGACAGAGTGGTGAGGCTGATAAAGTTCAAGGTTAAAAGCCTGTCTTAATAGACAAAGCCAAACAGAATGTAATAGTAGTGTTTTTAGTGTTATCATACAGAACAGAGACGCTGAGGTGGTACATAATGGGTGCCTGTCTGATTAGCAGGAGGTTCACAAGGTCAAGACTGGGATGTAGCAGTTCCAAACTACCCTGGCCACGTGATAACACACCTTTCTTCAAAAGTTAACACAGAAAAGCAAGCTGGGTATGTACTCACCTGTAATCCCAGCCCTCAAGAAAGCCAAGCCAGGGGGTCTCTCTGAGTTCCAGGCCAGCCAGGGCTACACAGTGAGACCCTGTCTCAAGCAACTTAGTGAATGAAACCCAGAAATGGAATGCCTTTTAACAGTAGATCTTAAAATAGGTGTTCATAGTGATGGTTGTTTTAATTATTCTCTTACCATATTTTGTTAGTAACAAAATTATTGTTATTGTTGGGAAAAATACGATTCTGTTATCCAACTTAAATGTTCCCATTATCTGTTTTTAAAATTTCTTTCACTCTTTGAGATTATAATATAATTACAGCATTTTCCTCTTGCCCTTTCTTCCTCCAAACCCTCCCATGTACTCTTTTTGCTCCCTTTCAGATTCATGGCCTCTTAAAAACATGGAATGATTTACAAGTTGGCTGTCATTCTTATGCAGAGGCCATGCTGATTTTCTGTGTCACTTCAGTTTTAATATATGTGCTGTTGAAAGAGAACACCCCCGTACTTGTTTTAACAGACTGTCCTTGTTGCAGTGACAGGCAATCGTTGGACCCAGTGTAATGAATTCTGATTGTTGTTGAGACTGAGAGCACTAGGCTGATAGGAACACTTTTGCTTTTACCCCTTTTTGCGTGTCACATGGTTTTCTGTGTCATGGTATTTAAGTATTGGCTACTGTCTCAAATTGTAGTTTCAATTTATGGTTATATTTAATAACATTAATTATCTCTGCCTTCATTTTGAATTAAATCTAAATTTAAATGGCTAGTTATTAAGCTTTTGTCTGGATTTTGTTTTGTGGTACTTTGTATTGATTCCAGGACCTTCTTCATGCTAAGCAAGTGCTATACCAATGAGCTATATCTCAAATTCCCTTATAATATTAGATATTTTATGAATTTATAGTTTTTATGTTAGGTTATAGATAATATATTTATGACAACCTCGCTAACTTGCTGTGGCTACCCTGTCATTATTCTTCTTCTGTCTACTGAGTAGTTGGGGTTTTGGGTATAATACCACACTATGTTCTGCCTTTTGAAGTGTTAGATTGTGTTGTAGTACTGGGATTGAACTTCTAGGTAAGGACTTTACCACCAAAATGAACTCTTCGCTCTTCGCAGGGTTTTTTTGGTTGATGATCAATAATACATTCAGGTCAAAAGGAACTTTCTTAAGCAGAGTTTTTTTTTGTTTGTTTGTTTTGTTGTTTTTTTGTTTTTTTCTGTTCCAGCAAATCATAAGTCCAAGAAAATTCTTAACATAACAATTAACAGTAAAAGAGATTTAGGAGTATTGTTATTAGTTGATTACATGAAAACTTATGCTTTCTTAAACTATATCAACTGGAAAAATAAATTTAATCAGAGAACCTTGAGGACTTTATGCCAAATGAGGTAAGCCAGTTAATAAAGAGACATAATATTTTATTCCAATTTGGTAATTAAAATAATCAAATTCATAGATAAACAAAGTAGAATGATAGATGGTAGTTGCCAGCAGCTGGGAAAGGGAAGCATGGAAAATAACAGTTAAACACATACAGAGTTGTATTTTTACAAGAAAAAGAAAAAAGACTGAATGGCTGTTGATGGTAGCTCAGTACTGTGAATGTACTTAATGCCAACGAACAAGTATTTTAAGATAATATATTTGGCTTTAACACAACTAAAAAAAAATAAAAATTTAGTATATGAGTAGATCATAAATATTATAATAGTAAAATAGACATGGGAATGGTCAAATTTCTTACACAAATGCAATTTTTTTTTTTTGGTACCAGGGCTTGAGCTTGTGTCTTCCATGCTAAGCAAGTGATACTAGCTACGGACCACATCCCTAACCTAACATCTAATCTTAAGTGATACATCAGCCTCTTAAATATTTCACTCTTTTTGAGTCGTGAGCTTTGGGCCTTGTACAGCTCCAGTTGTGGAGCTTTTCTGCATCCTTCATACCATCCTGGGATTACAGGAGCACACTGCCATGCCCTGCTTTCCCTGCAGATTTCCTGAGGCAAGTGCTTCACCAGCTGAGCCATCTCCCCAGTCCTCAAGTCTTTGCTTCTTCTGTTTGATAAAATACCAGAACATACACTGAACAGTTTTGGGTGACTGTATTTGTTTAAATTATATATAAGTATTCCAGAGCTACTTAATTAACTTAATCTTTGTAAGCTTTATCTTTAACATACAGAATATATTCAGTCAACAGTCTCTTTATGGTAAGCATTGGTTTAGTGAGCTTTTGTGCTTCACATATAGGCTATAGCTCTTTTGACCACAAGAATTTAAACCTGAGAATAAAATCTGAGAGGCCAGACATATAGGAGTGTAAGCTACTCGCCCTCAAATAAGGGCCACAATGGTTAACTTATTAAGTGATTGTAAACATTTCGGTTTCATTGTATTTTGCCCTCATTGTTGTATGTATGTTGGGAGAGGTATTGACAAGGAAAGAAAGCCATGTTATGTTTAAAATACTTATATACCTGGGCTGGCGGCAGAGGTGGTAGCACATGCCTTTAATCCTGGCACTAAAGCAAAGGCAGGCAGATCTGAGTTCAAGTTTAGCCTGGTCTACATAGTGAGTTTCGGGTCATTCAAAGCTACATAGGCAGATCCTGTCTCAAAAACTCACAACTACATAGGTAAATAAATAAAAACAAATAATAATTCACATCTGTTTTTTTTTTTTTTTTTCATGTGTGAGTTTTTTAAAGTAAGTTTTTGGAGGGTGGAGAGATGGCTCAGTGGTTAAGAGCTCTGTTTATTCTTCCCAAGGACCTGGGTTCAATTCCCAGCACCCACATGATACCTAACAACTGTCCCTAACCCTGCTTCCAGGGGATCAGATACCCTTCTGCTCTCCACAGGTACTGGACACACATGTGTTACACAGACACATGCAGGCAGGACAAATAAAATAAAAATAAATATGTCTGTTTTGTTTGTTTCGAGGCAGGGTTTCTCTGTGTAGCCTTGGTTGTCCTGGAACTCAAGTTGTCTAAACCTTCCCCGCCCCCCACCAATAATTATGTTTGGGGATTCTCAAGATGGCTTAAGCAGTTAAGAGTGTTTACTGCACTTGCAGAGGACTCAAATTCAGCTCTTAATACCCTCTGCGCCTACTTGCACAAAGACCTCTACATTAGTAAATATATAAACTACTTGTGTAGTTAATGTGAACTTTTATTTTTGCTGTGTTAACCTTATGGAGGTTTATGGGGATAATTAGCCTTGACCATTTGTATTTAAGCCTGAGACTGGAGATTAGTTTTTGCTGATTCTGAAGCAATACTGTGCACCTTTCCTTTGTGTGGAGTCATTTATGAACCTGTAGAAAAGCAGGTCACAAAGGCTGGGCATGTAGCTCACGTGGTGGCATACTTAGTGTGCTTGTCTAGCGTGCAGAGAGCCCTGGGTTTGGTCTAGTATTGGAAAGCAGCCATTGTGCCCTATTCCTGTAAATTCAGGACTCAGGAGCTAGAGGCAAGATCACAGGTCAGCCTGAGCTACCTGATGACACCTGTCTCATAAAATGGAAAGAAAATCACAAAATTGCTTGTGGTAGTCAATTGTGTCTGAAGCAATCCCTTTTTTTTTCTCATAAAATATCATTTCTTAGTCAAACATAGTGACACATGTCTGTTATCAGCTATTCTGATTACTGAGGCAAGAGTATTTAAAGTTTGAGACCAGGTTATGCACCTTAATTAGAAGGATTTATAATTTGTTTAAAAAGATGTCAGGAAAAGCTACCTAATTTTTTGTTAAACATACCCGATATTTAACTACTTTTTAGCCTTATCTGATATTAATAACATAAAAGGAACTAGGTAACAGTGATACTGTTTTTCCTTTGGATATATAATCAATATTATCTATTATATCTACATTTATAATTTTTAATGAAACTTGTTTTCATTTTCTTTGATTTTACTTAATCTTTGCCTGTATGTATGCATACGTATGCATACAAATGCATTTTGATAGGTTAAACAGTGTCAGATAATGTTAAATGTTTTTGGAGAGGCTGATAGTCTTAAGATACACTTTCTTAACTTGGTTTTACGTATATTTCATTAAGTACTTAGCATCAAGTTATAACATCCTAGTGTTTTTCCTGTAGATAAATTCTAAAGTGATAGGTATTTGTAGGTCTTTAGGTTAGATAACTTGAAACCTAATAATTATATTTTTTAATGCAGATCTTTGATGGAAAACAGATTCCACAGAGAATGGTTGATGGATGGAATGCTTTTTTCTTTGATAAAACAGAAGAACTGGTAATTTTTGTATAATTTTTATATTTTAGAATGCTCACTGATGTTAGGATTTCCATAGTTTAATAATTTTACTTGTTTTTTGTTTTCATAATTTTAATAATATATATCTTCTCTCTTCTTTGTTCCTACCCTCCTCTTCCTGTCTTTTTCTTTTCCTTCCTGTTTGTTTTCTTGACTGAAGAAAAAGCGTTTACCTTCGCTTGGAAAGAACACAGAGTCACTGGGAGAGCTCTGGTTAGGATTGCTTCGTTTCTATACTGAAGAGTTTGATTTCAAGGAGTATGTCATCAGTATTCGACAGAAAAAACTGTTGACCACTTTTGAAAAGCAGTGGACATCTAAATGCATTGCAATTGAAGGTGATTGTTTACATAATTGTTAATTCAAGAACACCAGAAAAATTGAGCAAAGAAAACTGATCTGAGTCAGCCTATTGTTTTCTGTCACTTAACAATTTTAAGGAATAATTCACTGACTTAGATAGTTGTGAATATATAGCATTAGACTCCTGTTCTTACAAAGTCCAGTCTATAGTGTAATACTTAACAATACTTATACAAATATTTCTCTTGTAGATCCTTTTGACTTGAATCATAACCTTGGTGCTGGTGTCTCTAGAAAAAGTAAGTTTTAAATATTGAGACTATGTGCTGTAAAAGTTCTGACTTAGTAGTGTCTAAATATTTTATTATCTTCTTTCTTCAACAGTGACCAATTTTATTATGAAGGCGTTTATCAATGGAAGGAAACTTTTTGGTACCCCCTTTTATCCACTCATTGGCAGAGAAGCTGTAAGTTTACAGTAGATGAGATTTTCATTCTTCTCTTTTCTCTTGTAGAACTCTGTTTTGACACATGGCAGTGGGAATGGGAGCAAAACCTCAGATTCAAAGTTTGCCATTCTGAATTACACAGAGAAGTTGGGAGTGGGTGCTTGCTGTGGCTCCGTTCAGAGCCTGCTGTCGCTGAAGTGTTCAGGGGTAGACAGCAGACACCACGCTTTCCTTCTTCTGAATTGGCTTGCTCTTCTTACACAGTGCTGTTTGGTCTCACTCAGCTTTTGCTTGCTTCCTGTTTGTTAGAAGACCAGAGGAGGTTTCAGTTTTAGAGGAAGAGACTTTGAAGAGAAAAAAAAATCTTGAGTGAGAATAATCACATTATTTGTTATCACATATTGAATGTCCTGGAGAACTTGTTTAGTCCATTGTTAGGAATCTTCTTTTCTATGGTGCAGTAAGAAAAGCAAGATTTTTACCCTTTTGGAACACTGGTTCTCATGTATGTTTGTTTGTTAGCTGCTTAGTGGGAAATAATAGTTATATCACAGATAATAAATAGGACATTTGAAAACACAGAAGTTATGAAAAACAAAATGACTTAGGAAAAACATTCTAATTTCATTAATACATTAATTGACATAGCAGTACACATTTAGTGACATTTTGCCTGGGAATTAAGGGAATTCTGAGTATTTCTGTGCATGTTTAATAGGAACCAGGCAGTGGAAGACCACAGAACATAGTACTATATAAGAGACCCAAGTTCACTTGAAATGTACTGATTTCATTTTATGAATAAAAGTTTTAGTGGTCCTTTACAATTTAATATATTTCAACTAGCCCCTAGTTGTATGTAGATTTAAAAATTGTTAATTTTAGTATTGTATTTAGTATTATTGTATTTTTATATATTCATAATTTATAGTGTATATTTAAATTATAAAATATATTAAATATATTTAATATATAAATCAAAATTTATTTTATAAATTATATAGTTATAAATATAAGTTGTTTATATAAATTATATAAAATTTAATAGATAAAATTATAACTAAATTATATAAAACATACTTTATATATTATAATAAATTATATATAACTTATATTGTATATTATGTTGTATATTTATATTGTATTTATTTAGTATTATATTGTTTAATATTAAAACTGAATGTTCTTTTGGTTCCTAGAAATTGGAACCTCTGAGCCTGCTAACCATTTAAAAAAAAAAAAGAATTTATTTATTATTTATACAGTGTTCTGCTTGCATGTGTGGCTGTCAGAATGTCAGAAGAGGGCATTGAACTCAGGACCTTTGGAAGAACAGCCAGTGTTCTCAACCTCTGAGCTATCATTAGCCCACTAGCCATATTTTTTAAAATCCTTTTATTTTAGTTTTTCATTTTTATTATTAGTTACATTTTATTAACTCTGTATCCCAGCTGTATCCTGCTCCCTCATTCCCTCCCAATCCCATCCTCCCTCTCTCATCTTCTCCTTGTCCCTTTCCAAGTCCACGGATTGGGGAGGACCTCCTCCCCTTTCATCTGACCCTGTTTTATCAGGTATCTTCAGGACTGGCTGCAAAGTCCTCCTCTGTGGCCTAGCAGGACTGCTCCTCCCTTGGGGAGTAGGGAGGTCAAAGAGCCTGCCATTGAGTTCATGTCAGAAATAGTCCCTGTTGCCCTTACTAGGGAAAATCAATTGGTTACTGAGCTACTATGGGCTACATCTGAGCAGAGGTTCTAGGTTATATCCATACATGGTCCTTGGTGGAGTATCAGTCTCAGAAAAGACCCCTGTGCCCCCTCTTACTCTATTTTTATATTTAGTATATGGTATTTCATAACTTACAGCATTTATTTTCTTTTGGACATTTGTTGTTATATCAGTATTATAACTTACAGAAACTACTCATTCTCTTTGCTTTCACTTAGTCCTTTTCACTTCTAAATAATGTTGCATATTTGTAAGAATGTGCAGAAATACAAGTATGCTGGGCTTGCTGGTTCAGAATTGTAATTTCAGCCTTTGGAAGTTGGAGGCAGTGGGAATAAAGGCCAGTTTGGTGAATATGTGGCCAGAAGAGGCCACATCAGGAGACCCTGTCTCAAAAAGCCGACACACACACAGAGGAATTTTAATGCAGCAACATGTTTTCTTTGACAGGCAATCACATCCAAAGACTTTTTAGGTCTATGAGAACTGGCTGTAATAGACACCTCCTTAGCACACACCATTAATCCCAAAAAATGAAAGTAAGGTCAATTTGAAAATTATGTTTAGTTGAGGGGCAGACAAAATGCTGAATTAGAGAAAGATTTGACAGAATGAGTCAGTTATGATATGGGCCAACTCCCAAGAGAGCAGTATAGGAAGAGCAGCATGGGAAGAAAGGAGAGGAGGAGTGTTGTATAAACAGTTTGTGTGGGGGTGGGGGGCGTTTTACAGGAACAGTTTTAGAGACAGGTTACAGAGGATGAGAAGCAGCGAGAAGATTAGAACATATTGCCAGAGTTAGAGACCAAGCAGAGCAATTGAGTCAGAAGCCCAGAGAGAAGGCGGATTCAGTCAGTTTGGAGAGGAGTTTGGGCCAGAACAGCTCAATTGAAACAGCCAGTGAGAATTCAGAAACAGTTAAAAGAGTGAGTTTATTCCGCAGGAAGTCTTGGAGTCTGAAACATTCTAGGCCTCCATTAGTAGATGGGGGCAGAAAGATGAAGCCTTCAAGGCCTGTTACAGAAGATTAGATTAAATGGAGGCTGGAAGCTTCCAGCCTAAGGATAGGGATAGCTAGAAGAGAGAAAGAAATCTCTGTGCTCTACTCGAGATTTGTATTTGTACAATATGGGTCCATTTCTCATCTCGTCTTCTCACGTAAGGAGTAAAAAAAAAAAAAAAAACAACAAAAAAAAAACATTTACACACACAAACACACACAGTATATTTTTCTGCTCTTACCTTTCTTCAGATATTCTCATTTATTTCTACCATATCGTCCTCTAATACACATCCTACTTTCTCTTTATCTGACAGTTGTCTTCTGTCTCTATTTCTTTTCCCATTTGACTCTGTCTACTTTCTGGTTTATATTTTTCCTTAATCTTAGTGCCTACTGTCCTTTTGTATCCATATTGTTCAACCTTACACTAACTGCAACTATCATCTGTCTGCATGAAAACCAGGTCACTTTAAGTGATGGTGAAGTAGAGAAACATGAATTGAGAATAATTCAGGAACAGAATGGCTACTGCTTGATGATTAATTTGAAGTGATGGATAAAGAACAGATTCTGGATGAAGCCTGTCTTTTCCTTAAGCAACTGGTGAAATGAAAAAGGACTTTTTTGTTGTTTTGATAGAAAATAAAATTGTAGCTATACATACGTAGTAGTACCTGCCTGGAATCCCAGCACTTGGCTTTAGCATTGTTTTACAGGGCCTCAGTAATGTGGCTTCTTAAGTCTGACTGTGTTTATTTCTGTGTCCTTTCTAAGCATGTTTGCTCTAACACTTTGGGCTTCTTCACCCATTTTCTTTTTTTTTTAATTTTAATTTTTATATTAAGTAGTTTATTCACTTTGTATCCTGGCTGTAGCCCCTTCCCTCCCTCACCTCCTAATCCCACTCTCCCTCTCCCTTCTGCACCCATGCCCCTCCCATGTCCACTGCTAGGGGAGGTCCTCCTCTCCTTCCATCTGACCCTAGCCTATCAGGTCTCATCAGGACTGGCAGCATTGTCTTTTTCTATGGCCTGGTAAGGCTGCTTCCCCCCTCAGGGGGAGGTGATCAAAGAGCCAGCCCCTGAGTTCATGTCAGAGACAGTCCCTTTTCCCCTTACTAAGGAACCCACTTGGACACTGAGCTGCCATGGGCTACATGTGTGCATGGTCCTTCGTTGGAGTATCAGTCTCAGAAAAGACCCCTGTGCCCAGATTTTTTAGTTGTGTTGCTCTCTTTGTGGAGCTCCTGTCCCCTCAAGCTCTTCTGTCTAACCCTTTTATAATCTTTCATAAGATTCCCTGCACTCTGCCCAAAGTTTGGCTCGGAGTCTCAGCATCTGGTTTACTATACTGAAGGACAGTCTTTCAGAGGCCCTCTGTGGTAGGCTCCTGTCCTGTTGCCTGTTTTCTCCCTCTTCTGATTCTTTGCCCATTTTCTAAAGACTCCCTCCCTGCCATTTGGCTGCCTGCTTCCATGTACCGTGCTACCTTAAACAACTTTGCTGAGGTACAATTCTGATAAAATAGAATTCTGATATCTTCTCAAAATATTTGGCAGCTATACCACCAAAATTATTTTTATTTCTGAATGTTTTTACAATTTATTCTTTGTTTTAATTATTTGTATTCACATGGGTGATGCCTGGTTATGTGCACTTGAGTGTCTGTGCCCTTGGAGGACAAAAGCATTAGCTCTGCTTGTGGCTGGAGATACAGAGTTGTGAGATGTTTGATGTGGGTGCTTGGGGTTGAGCTTTGGTCCTCTGCAAGAGCCATAGTTGCTCTTACCTGCAGAGTCATCTCTTTGTGTGTCTTCCTACCTCTTTCCCACAGAAGTCCACACACTGTTTTTTATTTTTTTTTTAAAGAAGAGGAAGCAGAAGTTTATTAAGGAAAGTGAGAAAGTACTCCTGAGAATAGGAGGGGCCCCAAGAGGGCTCTTCTTCATGATTCTTACCCCATGAGCCTTCTTTTGTAGACTTTACTTAGAGTCATGTAATTTGTAGTCTTTTTGGTCCGGGTTTCTTTCACTGAACATTTTTAAGATTCATCTATGTTATAGCTTGTGGCAGTACTTTCTTTTTTTATGGCTGAATAATATTTGACTGTACAATTATACCATTCATCAGTTGTTTAATTGGGTTGCTTTTCTGTCTCAGCTGTTAATGAGCAGTGCTTTTATGAATATATGTGTAATTTTTTTGCATGAATATATGTTTTCATTAGACTTCACCAAGAAGTAGAATTTCTGGTTTCATTGATTATTCTTTTGTGTGTGTTTGTGTGCGTATATGCTTCATTTATCTGTGGTATTTTATAGTCCTACCAGAAATATATATGGTTTTCAGTTTTTCTACACTCACCATTGTTTTGTTTTGAATTATTTTTATTACTGTTTTATTGGGGTATCTCTTATTTTTATCCTAGATCTTGCATGGATTTATAGGCAGCAAATTTGCTCTCTTAGCTTCCAGAACTATGGCTATTTTTAGGATAAACTGGTATTTCTGAAAAGCAAGCACTGAGAAGGGTAAGCCAGGTGTGAGGATAGAAGAAAAATGAACTTCTTTCTGAGACTTGGAAAATGTTTTCCAGCCTTCTCAGTGACATTCCACTTTATATAGTAAGTGTTACATGTTCTTCAAAAGCTGTTTGCAGAGCTAAAGAGATGGCTCACTGGTTAAGAGCACTTACGCAGTGCTCAGCACCCGCATAGCAGCTTGCACCTACCTGGAACTCCAACTTTAGCAGATCTGATGCCGTCCTGGCCTCCTGCCTGTACAAGGGCCCCATAAATGTGCTTTTTTTTTTTTTTTCATTGCAAATCCAATTACATTTTAAATAAGCTAGATGATTTCTTTACATAAAACCATTTGGAAAGGAGAGCAATTCCTTTGGTTAGTTGGTTGATTTTGTTTCTGTTTTTTTGTATTTTGAGATAGAGTTTCTCTGTGTAACAGACTGTTGCCTACCCTGGCTTATAATTCCTTTGTAGAAATAGCCTGGCTTCACTGAAAGAATGAGCTTTTAATCACTACAGGCAAAACTTTTGAGATTTAGCCAACTCATCACTATGTGTAAATGATTTGAATTGTCTGAGGCGCAGTTTCTTTCTTTCTTTCTTTTTTTTTTTTTGTAAATTGGAATTGAAAACAGCATTTACTTTATTGAGGTTTCACTTATCTCTAGCTGTCTGTATTGTACTGTGTAATGTAGATATAAAATGTTAGTTCTGTTACCAACTATGATGTTATAATAATTCTAATTTTTCAAATTAATTATTTTTATTTTGAAACAAGATTTGTCTGTGTAGCTCTGGACATAGGTGAACTTACTCTATAGACCAGGGTGGCCTCAAACGCAAAGATTTGCCTGCCCCTGCCTCCCGCATGCTGGGATTAAAGGTGTGTGCCACCACTGTCTGCCAGAATTCTAAATTTTATTTTCTTACCTGAAATTTCAGTTACAGTGAAATATTTCTTAATCCTATTATTGTTGTTATTATTTGCGTCTTGATTTTTTTTTTTTTTGCATTTTAGAAGTTTTATGTTGATTTTTTTTTTAATTTAAAATTGTATTTTACTTCTTTAGGAATACTTCTTTGATTCAAGAGTATTAACAGATGGAGAATTGGCTCCTAATGATCGTTGTTGCCGTGTGTGTGGAAAAATAGGTCACTACATGAAAGACTGTCCCAAAAGGAAAAGGTTGGTAAATAATTTACTATCAGCTTTATAGAGAAAATAAATGAGACTAATTTGTATTTATAATTTTATTCAGAAATATCTTAAGTATGAAAGTTATTTTTAAGTTTAAGATTTTTAATTGTCTCTTAAGTAAATATTTATTTGAGTGATATTTATATTTAGTGATGTTTTATAACATTTGATTGTTTATTAATTGAGTTTTTTAAGTAGAAATGTTAATTGACAGGTTATGTGTTTGTAACTTCTAAGATGAAAAGGAGGACTTCATAGTCACACAATCTCAAAATAAAAGTACAGTAAGCTGAGTCCTAGAGATGCCTGTGTTGGACTGTGTCTGTCTGTGCGTTCTGTCAGTCGAGCAGTACAGTTCCTCTATGCTACCTCAGATACACATGCACGCACACTTTATAGATGTGTGGATCTGGGCATGGTGGCACCCAACTTTCATCCCAGCGCCTGGGAGGCAGGGCAGGTGGGTCTCTGGGGCTCAGTCCTGGTCTACAGAGCGAGTTGTGGGACAGCCAGAGCTGCGTAGTGGAGAGACTCAATGAAAACCAAAACAGAAAGTCGAAGGAGGAGGGGGAGAGGAAGACGAGAGGAAAGATAGAGTGTGACTCCTGCTTCCCCAGGTTCTACATGTATATTTAGTCATTATCAAGTCTGCCTTAAAATATTTTTATTTAAATAGAATAAGCTCTAGTTTCTATCATGTTATTTATTAAATTTAGGCAAGGAACTTATTTTCTTTAAACCTCTATTTCTTTTTTAAAGTAGAGCTAAGTATCAGCCTCTAAAAATGCAATACTCCAATTTTTTAGTGTGGCTGGGCATGGTGGAGCACCCCGTTAATTCCAGCAACTCAGAAGGTAGAGGCAGGAAGACCTTTACATTGAGGCGGTAGATGGTGCTTAGCAAGGGCTGCATAGTACAGCCCTGTCTCAGAAATCAGACAGACAGACAGACAGTACTGTTACAAAATGACTACAGCACTTAATTTTTATCATACGAATTAGCTATGTTATAAATAAAGTATCGTTACAAAAATAACAGCATAGGACTCTTATTTTAGTCCATCTGTCATTTTATATGGTGTAGTTTGTTTTATGATTTGATCAATTTGTAAGTTCCTGGCTCCACATTATTGGTATCAGCAGTTTACTGTTTAGACTAAAGAAGAAAGACAGTGAAGAAGAGAAGGAAGGAAACGAAGAGGAAAAAGACTCCCGAGACCTTCTTGACTCCCGAGACCTTAGGTGTTTCATATGTGGGGATGCAGGACATGTTCGTCGGGAATGCCCAGAGGTCAAGATGGCGCGCCAGAGGAATAGTGGTGTGGCAGGTAGGTGGGAAAGATGGAAAGAGTCGAGGCTATTTCCTGGCTTGTTTCAGGGATCAAGCCACGGCTGTCGTGCATTTTAAGTGCATGGGTTACTACTGCGCTGCAGCTTTGGCTGTGTAGTGGAGGCTCGTCTCAAACTTAGGAGCTTCCTGCATCAGCTTCCCTAGAATTTCAGATATAAATACTGGCTTCAGGTGTTCTTTGTTTTTGTTTGTTTGGTTGTTTTGTTTTGTTGTTGTTTTTTGAGACAGGGTTTCTCTGTGTTACAAAACCATGACTAGGTATTCATTTTTAATTAATATGGGCTGGGGATTTATTTAGCTGTATATGGCGCTCTGGGTTTGATGCATCACAGTGTGAAATTTAAATAGAAATGCATAAAAAAAGAAAAAATCAATTCATATTAAAGATCGAAAAGTATATTTTTAGCCCAGTATTCCTGGGACAGTCACAAGAGGCTGGCTTGGGCTATATAACAAGACTGGTTCCAAAACAATGGGTTGAGGACCTGGAGAGATGGCTCAGCATTACTTGCTGCGCTGCTAGGGGACCCGAGTTCAGTTCTCAGCATCCGTGCTAGACAATGGATCACAGCCTACAACTTCAGCTACAGGGGTTGGTGCCTTCCTCTGGCCTCCAAGTACAACCTGAGCTTACATAGCAGGTGTATGTATGGAGTGTGTGTGCACGCATGATGTGCTTGCTTGAACACACACATACACACACAAAATAATCTTTAAAACATAAAGGTGCTAAAGAGGTGATTGAGCAGTTTGCATCGAGTGCTCTTCCAGAGTACCCGTGTTGTGTTCCCAGACTTCACACGGCAGCTCACAGATTGTAACTGCAGCTCTAGGGGACCACTGCCCTCTTCTCGCCCACATGCATCTGGTGTGTAGACATACATGTAGACTTATACACACGACATAAATAACAGTAAAAGTAAAGATCAACAAGCAAGGGGAGAGGGTCCAGCTCAGGTAGAGTGCGTATGCAAGGCCCTGGCTGTGGTCTCAGATGGGGCTGCTGTGGAGAGCACTAAAGGAATTGTTGTGTAAAAGCTTCCTTTAGTCTGATCTTCCGAGGACTCTGTCTGCTGCTTCTGTGTATATTCTTTCACTTCACCAAAATGAAGAGAAGCTTAAGAAAATGTATAGACTTGAAGTTGTTAGGACACTGCTGTTAGGCTTGGGGCTCTGTGTGGAGCACTTGCCATACTGTGTGAGACCCTGTGTTCAGCCTCCAGTGCACGGAAACAGATGCCTTTAAAATCATCTTTAGTTTCACTGATTTTTTTTTTTCATTGCTGTTACTTTCCTATGTCATTTGTTTGTTTGAGACAGCCTCATACTGTGCCCCAAGCTGGCCTGGACCTCACTGTGCAGCTCAAGTCTTGAACTCACAGAAATCCTCTGCCTTAGTGCTTCAAACATTGAGATTATTGATGTGAAACAGTGTGCTTCCTGCTTTTTCTGTATCTTTTGAATTGGTGTTTTTGGGTGTCTTCTCTCAGCAGCCCAGCTGGTCCGAAATCTGGTCAATGCTCAGCAGGTGGCTGGGTCAGCTCAGCAACAGGGCGACCAGTCCATAAGGACCAGACAGTCTTCAGAAGGCGTAAGTACGCTGTGTAAGCATGAGTCTGACAGCTCTTTAAAGGAGAGATCTCACTGGGGCCACTTACCATCTCATGGCTGGAAACATGGCAGCCTGCAGGCAGACATGGGGCTGATCTCTAGGCAGCCAAAGGAGACTGCCATGCTAGGCCTGGCTTGAGCAGATGAGACCTCAAAGCCCGCCTCCACAGTGACACACTTCTTCCAACAAGGCCACACTTCTTGACAGTGGCTCTCCATATGGCCCAAGCATTCACACACACCAGTCAGTGGGGAACATTCCTATTCATACCACCACAACAGTGAACACTAATCATCATATCATGGGTAAGATTGAAAATCACATATTTTGCAGAGTTGTCCTTACGAGGCCCCTAAGCCAAAGTAAAATTTGGGTTTCTATTAATATTAGTGGTATAGTTCCTTAATGTATATGAACCTGCTTCCTTGTTTTTATAATAAAGAAACTACCTAAGATGGAGGGTGAAATAAAGAATAGAAAAGTGTTACTGTTAATAGAAATAGATGTAAAGTTGAAATGTCTTTTTACATTTTAATAGTTGCTGAACCTAGCTGTAAAAATTTGTACTTTCATTTTTTATTTTTTTGAGACAGGGTTTCTCTGTGTAGCCTTGACTGTTCTCGACTCACTTTGTAGACCAGGCTGGCCTTGAACTCACAGAGATCTGCCTGCCTCTGCCTCCTGGAGTGCTGGCAGTACAGGCGTGCACCACTGTACTCGGCCACATATTTTTATGTAGAGTCTTCAAAAAGGTAAAATTATGGCACTGTGAGTTGTTGATTTTTATCAAAAGAGAGGTTGGGAGCTATGCATGGTGATAGATGCCTGGAAGACCAAGGCAGGAAGATCCTGAGTTAAAAGCCAACCTTTTTTTTTTAAAAAAAGATGTATTTATTATTTATACAACGTTCTGCCTGTATACCAGATCTCACTATAGATGGTTGTGAGCCACCATGTGGTTGCTCAGAATTGAACTCAGGATCCTTTGGAATAGCAGCAAGTGTTCTTAACCTCTCAGCCATCCCTCCAGCCCCAAGCCAACCAACCTTTCTTTTTGTAAAATTCAACACATCATAGTGGTGATAGTGGTGTAATTTTCCTAAGACCCTGCCTCAGAAAGGGGGATTGACACTAAATGGAGAGACTGCTCATTTATTGCAATCAGTATTTCCTTTAAATTCTATTGTATGCTCTTTTAGTTAATAGCTTTATTTTTCAAAACATTTATTTGATTTCTTCCACAGTTCTTGTTTTTTTTTGTATTCATAGTGGATTAGTCAGGGTTGTCTAATGAACAGCACTGATAGAGTGAACATGAATGTGTGTTTATGTATAAGGATTTGTTTATTTAAAAAGCAGTTTTTGTGTTTTGTTTTGTTTTTTAAGATTTATTTATTTACTTATTATTTATGCAGTATTCTGCCTTGCATGTGTGCCTAAAAACCAGAAGAGGGCACTAATCTCACTATAGATGGTTATGAGCCAACATGTGGTTGCTGGGAATTAACTCAGGACCTTTGGAAGAGCAAATGGTGCTCTTAACCGAGGAGCCATCTCTCCAGCCCCCAGGGATTTATTTAACAAGAGTGGTTTATAGGCAGTGGTCTGATTAGTCCAACAGTGGCTCTCTCCTGACAAACTAAGGATCTGGTAGTTGTTCAGTCCTTGAGGCCAGATGTCTCAGCCGTCTCAGTCAGATGCTAGAGTCCCAGATAGGTCCAGGGCGCAGCCAGTTTTCAGTCCACTCATTCCAATGGCAGATTCTAATGCCAGAGAAGAAATGGTTCAGGATAGATTAACTTGCTAGTGAGACTGAGGGCAAGCAGAAAAATAATCCCTCACAAATGTGCTCAGCTGCTTGGTTTTTACTTACTTTCTAATATTCAAGTTGATAACCAAAATTAGCCATAACACAGTCATTTTTAAGATAATTTTGGGATATCAACATTCGGCTAATGGGTTCATAGCCCTTTACTTGCCTGTAACTTAACTTCTTTCTCCCTCCTTCGCTCTCTCTCTCTCTCTCTCCCTCTGATCTCACACACTGTTTATCCTAGAACTCAGAGGGTAGGCAGGCTAGCCTTGAACTCCACCCCTGCCACCTGAGTGCTGAGATTAAAGGTGTATGCCAGTGTGCTCAGACTTGCAAATAACTTATGTATATTATTATCACATCATATATGGATATCTGTTAAATGATAATATAGCTTGTAAGAGACAAATCAAATTCAGACTCCTGATTTTTATTAGCTTTGTTAAGTTGTTCTTAAACATTGTAAAGTTTATATTTACTTTACTCCTAAATTAATCATGCTATATGAATTGCTTACTCCAAACCTACTGCTGTGTTTTATGAAGTGTATCACACTAATCACTGGAGTTTAATGTTTTTGGTGGTTAATATGGAGTGGTAGGTGTTAATATGATGAATGTGGGAAAGCTGGGAAGCCTGAACTAAGAGAAGTTAAAAGGTTCCATGCTTAAGCTTTCTAGCTTGAAAGCTGTTAACTGTTTGCTAGCTTTGATGTGACTGATATTTAGGAAAAGCTCTTAAATTAGAAAAATAGTAGGAAGTCTTGGAAAAACATTTAGGGTGTCTACTACCTAGTGTTTAACTACCTATTGTGTACCTGATACTTTCATAAGTATTATGAAATTATTACATTAAACTAAATTATTACATTTAATGTAGTTATCACATTTGTTAAGTGAGGTACCCTATAAATGCGTCTTATCTATTTGTTAATATTTTAAATGTAAAACATATTAAAAAAATTCTATGTGTCATTACCAGTCATTGACACCTTTGAATATTGGTTTTGTTATTTTTTTTTAATGTCTACAAGCTTGGCCCTCATGTATCCTGTTTCTTTCTTTTCTTTCTGAGCCATTCAACTCCTGCTTTCTTCTTCCCTGAGCTTTCCTGAGTGTTGGGATCACAAGAATAGGCCATTGTATCTGACTCTTCACAACCTTAAATTTGGAACCTGTCCATGTCTTTTCCTACCTATAAAGGGCACCAGTAGCCAGGGGCAGTGGAGTATACTGCCTGGGAGTCCCCGATGTCCAGTGGCTGAGCTAGTCTGGTTCCTGAAGCCTAGGAAAAGCATCTTAAAGAGGAAAAAAAAATTCTGAATTTCTTGTTTATATTTTCTGTGTGCACTGTTTAATCTCTATAGAAACATGAGTTAATTTACATTATTATTTATATAAATGGGATTTATGTTTCTGGCCTAAGATCAGAAGATAACTTGAAGTCAGAACTTGAACCCACATGTTCTATATATAAAACTTAGGCTCTAATTATTTTTCTGTTACTTCTAACTTTCTTTGTCAATTGCTCTTCTGTCTCACCTCACATTTCCATAAGAACCTAGTGGATGGATATCATTTTCCTGATACTGAACAAAGCAACTCAACTTTAATGTGGCCAGAATGCACTGCAGCGCTACCCCTTCTCCCAATATTTATATCCTTAATGTCTGTCTCACGATCTAGTTTTCTCGCATTTTTCTTTCCTTAAACTTCTATATCCAGTCAGTCACCAAGTTCTATTGCTTCAGTTTTTCAAAAATAACTCATAATTGGGGCTGGGGATGTAGCTCAGTTGGGAGAGTGTTTGCTTGCCTAACATGTCCAAGGCCCTGGTTTTGATTCTAGTATAAATCAGGCATGGTGACACATACTTGTAAACACTTGGAAGGTAGAAGTAGGACAAGAAGTTCAAGGTCATCGTTTGAGGCCAACATGTACAACATGAGCTTAGAAAAACATGTACAACATGAGCTTAGAAAAACATGTACAACATGAGCTTAGAAAAACAAAAAAATCCTTGCTGGGTTGTTTTTATGCACACCTCTAATCTACCAGCACTCATTTGAGAGGGAGGCTGAGGTAAACAGTATCTGTAGATGGTAGATAGAGACTGCCTCAGATAAAGAAATAAATAATCCTTAAGGTTTTTGTTTTCCTCTCCCTCTGTATTATAATCTCAGGATTGCTGAGGCATAGCAGCTCTCCCCCCAACACACACAGATAGTGTTTCTCTGTGTAACAGCCTTGGCTGTCCTGGAACTTGCTTCGTAGACCAGGTTGGCCTAGAGCTCAGAGAACCGCTTGCCTCTGCCTCTTGAGTGCTGGGACTAAAGGTGTGCACCACCATGCCAGGTTCATTGCACCATTTTAATTAGTTTCATCAGTTTTTTTTTCAAGTGCTTTTTTTCATTATTATTAAATCAGGATGATTATTATAAATTTCATGGTGATTATATTTCTGGTTTGTTTCAAATTTGCAGTGGGTTTTTACTATCCTTTTATAAATTATATGATATCCAAGCCCTCATTGCCTTGTCTGTGCAGTTCTTGAGCCTCAGACATGTCATGTATGGGTACATGAGTACATGTACTCTATTGGTAACTACTTTCAGATTTCATGTACCGTAAACAGTTAAGTGTTTCTATGCCCACAGATCCTAAGACATGTTACTCCTGTTGCTAAATACTCTTCTCTTCTCTGTTTCTTTTGACTTTTACCAGATTTGCTTCTGTTTGCTTTTTAGTTTCAATATAAAGGTTACTTATCCTGGGAAGCTCCTTGGTCTTTACATTCCTTGGAAATTGGAAGTTAGGTGTTTCTGTTTATCATAGTATATTATAAATGATGCTTTAGGGGTGGGGAGTTAATCTCGATTTGTAGCCCAGGCTAACCAGTACACAGGGTCTTCTGGCTTTATCCTCCTGCTGTACAAACTACAGATACAATGCACTACTGTGCCTGCCTGTCCAATTATACAGTCTTCATCAGAATAATAACAATTATACCTAACTTCTTGTATAATCTTTTTCTGCTCACTGATTTTCCTGCCCAATGAACTTTTAAGCTTCATGAAGGCAAAGATATTAGTACTATACTTTCAGTACCTAGCAGTAGTGCCTCGTGCACACAGTTCAGGGGCTGTATGAAAGTGCCTGTGAGTTAGTTATATGTTAGTTTCTAGTTTACAGAGGAAATATGTGTTGTTCATGAAAAGAATGGTGCAAGGTGTTCACTCTCATACTCTCTCTCTCTGTCCGAACAAGAAAAAGGCTTATGAATCATTAATCATGTAAGAGAATTGGGCACCTGGGAAAATTTTACCTTTGTGTATAGGAGATCATATTCCTTGCTGTAATCTGCATCATGTAGTTCTGTTTATAGTGTTCTGATGAGGTAACTGTACTATCATAAGCTTAACTTTTAGAAAGTTAAGATGGTCATAAATAAAAATTTTAAATTGTCTTTTTTTTTCTTCTGCAGTCTGATTCACCATCTTATTCTCCTCAGCCCCAGCCATTTCCACAAAATTCTCCCCAACCGTCTGCTATTCCCCCACCTCCACCTCAGCCAGGATCCCAGCCTAAGCTTGGCCCACCCCAGCAGGGAGGCCAGCCCCCTCATCAGGTTCAGATGCCCTTGTACAACTTCCCTCAATCACCACCAGCTCAGTATTCGCCCATGCACGGTATGGGATTGTTGCCAATGCACCCCCTCCACCAGATCCCTGCTCCATCGTGGCCCATCCACGGCCCGATGCTCCACTCTGCTCCTGGCAGTGCCCCCAACAGTATCGGCCTGAATGACCCCAGCATCATCTTTGCACAGCCTGCTGCCAGGCCGATGGCAGTCCCCAGCTCCTCTCATGATGGACACTGGCCTCGGACCGTGCCTCCCAACCCTCTGGTCAACAGTGGTGCAGTGGGTAATTCGGGTAATTGTCCTTTTCTCTTCTTTTATATTTGGTTGTGGAAAGGTTATTTGTTTGGCATTATTGGTTGAACCTGGGATAACAGTGAGAAGAAAGGGCAGGTAAGTTTTATCTATGGAGATGGAATATAGAATTTAGGGCTCTGGACACAGACTATCAAAAATTGAACCTTGTCTGCCATTTCTTACAAGGTCTTGACATCTAGCATTTGTTCTCTAAAATAAGATTAAGTACCATATAACAGGAATGTTGAGAATATGAAATGAGGTAATAGTTGTAAATGTTGGTCTTGTTTTTCCTTTTCATCGTCACCTTATAGTGTAGATACTATTGGTACTCATTTAATGGATGATAAACGTGAAGGCCTTCAGTATGATACTGCATACTTGCAGTCTCAGCACCCAGGATGATCGAGACTAGCCTGGGCTAAGTGAAACCCTGTGTCAAAGAACAAAAGCCTGAGAAAGTCAGGTTTGTTAATGCATTTGAGGCCAGCTTGAGCTACATGAGATGCTCCCCCGCCTTTTGGGGTATGTAAAACTCAAGAAGTAAGTAAATTAACTTATCAATTAGTTGATCATGGTAGAGTCAAGACTTAAACTAGTGAGGTTTCTTTGCTTTGGTTTTTACTAAACCTTCGCTCTAGAGTGAAAAGCAGTTCATTTATTCATTCCTTCCCTTCTCTTCCTCTCTCTCTTTTTTTTTTTTTAATTGGAGGGATAATACAAATGTCTCAATGTAGGGTTAAACATAGGGTCCGGAGAAAGAAGGGAGCTTGGAATGAAGTAACACAGAGAGCATGAATAGAGGCTTCTGAAAGCAAAGTTGTAGAAAATGAGACCTAGCCAAGTGTGGGCATGGGTTCCTCAGGGAATGGCACCCCTTCCTCCCTCCCTCCTTTCCTCCTTCTTCCATCCCTCTCTTTTCTTCCCTTTCTCTTTATACTTCTTCCTTTCCCTTCTACTCAGTCCTGCATCATAGGGTGACCTCGGACCCATGGCAGGCCTCTTGCTTTCCCCTCATTGTACTGCCTCCTTGCTTGGATTATAAAAAATGTACCATCATGCCTAAAGGGTAATACTTTCAAAAAGTAAAAGATAGCTGCATGTAGTAGAATCAATAAAGTTATTTAATGTTACTAAAATGTTATACTTAACCTATTTAAAGTCGTTCATTTCTTATGTTTGGCTAATGTTATATTCAGCTTTGTAGTGATAACTATCTGCATCTTAAAAACTCATGGGAAATTTCAAACATACAAAATGACAGTCAAATTTATTATCAGTGAACTTCCTTTTGCTGAACTTAACAGTATTTTATATATGTATTTTTTTTAAATCTGACCCCTTTCCAAGGTTTTAAAATAAAGTCTAAGTCAGTTTATCAAGTTTGCTTTTAAACTTCAGTTTGGCATGGTGGGATGGCTAAGGAGGTAAAGATTCTGCCCCTCAAGCCTGATGACTTGAGTTTGTTTTCTAAGATTCATGTGGTGGAAATGAAGGAACCAAGTCCAGGACAGCCAGGACTACACAGAGAAACCCTGTCTCAAAGTTTTTATTTTATCTGTGTATGTGTATGTGCGTGCATGAGTGCATGTGCTCGTGGGTTGACACATGTGACATCTCATGTTTGGAGGTCAGAGTACAATTTTCAGTAGTCCATTTTCCCTTTCCCCTGTGAATTTCTAGACTCAAGCTCAGGCTGTCAGGCTGTTGGGAAGTTTTTATACACATTTTGTCTGGATTACATACATACATACATACGTGTGTATACACACACACACACACACACACACATGTTCGCTCCTGTGTATTTTTCAGAGCCTGTGTGAGCTACTTATTTTTTTTTTTTCAATCATCATTTACAACCTGAGGCTCAAAAAGGAAGCCATAGTAATTTTCACGACTGTGATTTAAACCTATATGTTTGGTTGCAAAACCCAAGTTTTCAACCACAGTATCTCAACCTTTTTTTGTAGAAGCTTCTTCTAGTCATAGGACTCTGGCCTAGTTGACATTATCAAAAGGGCAAAAAAAAGTTTAGTAACGTGACATAAAATGCTCTGAGATGCATATCCCTACCTGCCTGCCCACTTCCTCATCCTCCTGTTGGTTGCGTTGTTGTTTGTGCATATATGTGTGCTGGTTGTTTTTTGAGACCATCTCTCATGTGTTGCCCTGACAGTTCTGGGCTCATTGTGTAGACCAGGCTGGCCTTGATCCTCAGAGATCTAGCTGGCTCTGCCTCAAGTGCTGGGATTAAAGGTGTTTGCTACCATACTAGGCTTTACCATTTCTTCTTTGGTCTCTTTTTTTCTGTTGTTGATTGTTTTGTAGTTTTGTAGAGAGCTTTCTTGCTCTCAGGGTTTTATACATTCTCCTCCTCTCTAAAATACCCATCTTTCACTTTTGCCTGTTCTTAGGGTTCTGGCTAGTCATTATAAGAAAACCTCTCACCTGCAAATTCTAGATTAGAAATCTTCAGTATAGCAGACATATTATTGTATATATCATGTAGATAAGTAATTTGAACAAATAATAACGCTTGATTCTTTACAAGAAATTTAGTACCATTTAGCATAATACATGGTTAATGGTAGGTGCTCAGTATGTCTGTGGAATGAAGGAATATTTAACTTAGTAAACTAATATTTTAAAATGTGGTTTTCTTTTCTTGTTGGAATGCAGAGCCACGTTTTCGAGGACTAAATCCTCCAATTCCATGGGAACATGCACCACGTCCCCATTTCCCCCTTGTCCCAGCTTCGTGGCCTTATGGTTTGCATCAAAACTTCATGCATCAGGGAAATCCAAGATTTCAGCCCAACAAACCCTTCTACGCTCAAGGTACCAATGCTTACGAGTCAGTTATTAATCAGGCTGGATGGGTTTATTCTAAGATGGGGATCTCAGTGGAGGCCAGGTTCTACGAGTAAAGTAACATTGATGCATTCAGTAACACTGGGAGGGCATACTGAACGCTTGTTACCCAAACACGGGTAGAACACAGTGTCCATCCTGAATGCATATTTTAATGGGAGAGGCGTGCATATAAAAGCAAGTAGAAATGCTTACATGAGTTAGCAGTGTCCTAGTTGTCCACCTAGGCAGGGCTTATGTACCAGTGAGTGTATCTGAATTTTGTCTTACAAAAATTGAATTGTTACCCTAGAATTTAGAAGGAAGGAATGTGTTCTTAGTTAAAGGAATACATGTAAAATGCCACTGGGTTTTGGCTAACATAAAAAGAACAAATAATAGTAGAGAGAGGGGGTGCTAGAAAGGGAACGTAGGCTAGAAAGGACTGTGAAGGAGTCTGAACTTAATTCAGTAAAGTGAAGGATCTAACAGTGTTTGAGTCAGATTTGTGCAGTAAACTAGGGCATCAGTGAACTAGAATTAGTTATTTTCTTGTGGTGCTGTACTAATAGCAGTATAGTGCTGTGACTGCTGTAATAAACACTACAGTTCATACATTTTAGGACTAACACCATTTTATCTCAGCTCTTACTTCAAAAGTATCTGTTTCAAGAGCGAGTAACGTCCTGATCTATGAACGGTTGGACACTTGGGTAGTAAAAGCATTGGTTCTCAACCTGTGGGTTGTAACCACTTTGGGTAGTGGACAGACCCTTTCATAGGGGTCACCTAAGACCATTGGAAAATAGATGTTTACATTATGATTCATAACTGTAGCAAAATTACAGTTACGAAGTAGCAATGAAAATAATGTTTTGTTTGGGGGTCACCACAACATGAGGATCACAGCCTTAGGAAGTTTGAGGACCACTGCTCTAGAGTGAATGGCAGTTCTTTGGGTTTATCTCTTAAGCAGACATAAAGCTGAGGAAGTTCTGTCAGTTACAGAATTTGCAGTTTTTATATCTGTGGGGTTTTCCGTGTTTCTTGCTCCATTTCTGGTTTCTGTCTTTATACACCTATGTTTGTCTCGTGTTGTCAGGCTTCTCTTACTATATGGCTTTTGAACACTGTGCTAACTAGTTAGCAGGTTTTTCTGAAGGGTTGTGAGGTGTAGGCAGCAGCCTCAGTCGGCTGTCTGTTGTCTCAGCAGACAGATGTGCCGCTCGCCGCTGCAGAGAGCGCTGTCCCCACCCACCAAGAGGGAATGTGTCGGAGTGACGCCAGCCACAGCAAGCAGCCGTCCTGCTGTCTCAGGGGCGTCTGTACCTCAGAAGTCGGTCATGCTCAGAGAAAAAGTGACATGTAAGGAAAGCAACACAAATCAGGTCCTGATTTAAAATTCTAACACACCTTTAGATAGCTTATTTAAATTCTAAGACTGTTTTTAAACACTGTATTATTTGTATATAAATATGAACTATAGTTTTTACTGGTATCACTAAATTGAGTGATACAAATTTCATCTATTTTATTACCCTATTTTTAAGGGAATTTTATGTTTTGTTTAACCTTGATGAATTGTATAAAGAGAGAATTTTAAAAATTACATTCTTTATTTTCTATTAGCTGTATTCATACTTTGGTTGCTTCAGACTTTATATATATTGTTCTTAAGGATTAGGAAAGATTTCATGTGTTTTAAATTTGTCACTTCTATTCTTTACAGAACCTTGTAGTGCCAAAACTTTTTAAAAGGTTAAAAAAAAATAAAATTACAACATAAAGATTCAAAAAAATTTTCTTTTACATACTTGTATATTGAATATATTCAAACTTGAATGGAAAGTTGCTTTTGTCTGTATTTGAAGTTCTATTTTAAGTTAATAAATCTTTTTGACAAGAGTCAAATTTGGTTAATTCATCTGGTTTAGAGGATAGGAATACAGTGTAATAATTGAAAGATTTTACTCTCAGTGACTATTCTAAATCAGACTCAGTTTTAGAGATTCAAATATATGTTCCTCATTTTACTGGATTTTCACAACCACTGTATAAAGTGATAGAAGCAGATGCCATGTCCATTTTATCATTGAAAATGAAAACTGAAGAGCACAGCAGTGAATTCTAAAGGCAGCAATTACATGCTGCAGTGTGACTCCTCATCCATTTTTTGAGGTTGTGGTTGTATTGCAGAGAACGTTTCTGCCATGTGCAGAACATGGGTCCAGTCGGTAGCAGTGCCCTCCCTCCAGCCCACAGGTCCCCGCCCCAAATCTTTTAAAAGGGAAGTTTACCAAATACAAGTAGCGGAAAATTCTTTATTGAGCTAGTATGTGCCAGACTGTCCATTTCATATATCTGTTCTGCCACCTGGAAAGACACTTGCCAGGATGTTGATTGTTTATCAATACTTGTGATGAGTGTGATCCCTTTCTCTCCTGGGATATATTCTGAGAAATACATCATGGGGCGAGGCTATCATTGTTCAAAGATCAGAGTTTCCTTAAACAGAGGTGATGATGTCATTCAGTTTAGCATATTTGGCTTCTTGTTGCAGTTAGCAGACTGGCTAAACATGAGCTGTGTAAGGCTGCTGGCGGAACATGTCATACTCCGCTAGGATGAAATCGAGGCCAGCCTGGCCTACAAAGTGAGTCAAGACTGACAGGGTACCCAGAGAAACCCTCTCGGAAAAGCTTAACTTTCTAAAGTGTATATTAAGATCTATAAGTGTGGGTGCTGTACCATTTTTATAAGGTACATCAGGACTGATAGAGCAGCCCCACCATGAACCTTCAGGTGTAGGTAGTGCTGCGATCACGGCACATTTTCAGCCACATCATTATCGGCCAGGAAGTTGGTCAGTAAGCAAAATGTTGTTATAAAGTGTATGATGTATTGAAATTCAGACTTGAGAATGGTAGTGGTATATTTTTTAAGCTATTCCTTTTACAGTATTATTTTTTTGTCCTTAGTCCCTTAATTAGATTTGTCCACTGAAATTATAAATATTTGTAAAAGCTAATAGTAGATAAAAATGTATCTTAAGGATAGTATATTATTAAAAAGGAGACTGCCTGGGCTCCTGCCGTATTTTTTATTTGGCAGATACTTGGAAAAATTGCTGAAATGCATGTGGTTGAAGGTATCCCTGCCATAGTAATAGCCCCAAGTTATGGGCAGGTATATATACTGTTCGTTTCTCACATTACAGAGTCAGTACTATTTATGCTCGTAAAAAACAGTGGAGTCAGCTTTTTTTGTTGTGTTGTTTTGTTTCTTTTTGTTGTTGTTGTTAATAGTATTCCTGATTCCCCTGTATTTTTGTGTTAAAAAATCAAGTTGGAGCATTCTGCATTCCTAGCATTAGTGGAAGTAGGGGGATCAAGAAATTCGAGGTCTGTCTAGCATGATGGCACAGAACTTTAATCCTAGTTCTTGGGAGGCAGAGGCAGGCAGATCATGAGTTTGAGGCCAGCCTGATCTACACTGCAAGTTCCAAGCTAGCCAAGGTCATACCTCAAACAAACAAACACCAAGAGATTGAAGGTCATTCTCAACTAGAGTTTGAGGCAAACCTGAGCCTACAGACTGTCTCAGAAACAAACAAAAAGATACGTTTTTTAAACATTCAGATTTGTCACCTGGGATTTAAGAGGATGATACTCTTTTCACTGTTCTTTCTTCTTTTGTGTATAACAGATTTTCACTGAAAACAAAAGCCAAAGAAACCCTTAAATAATCTGCAGCAAGCACGGGACGAGGTGTAGCACACCTTGGGAGGCATAGGCAAGGGGTCTCTGTGTAATCTGAGGCTAGCCAGGGCTACAGAGCAAGATCCAGGACCGCCAGGTTATAGAGAGAAACCCTGTCTTCAAACCAATAACCAGTCCAAAAGCTGCAGCGAGGGAGCATGCTGGAGCTCAGCCCCTTTCCTGAGGGTAGCATGTCGTTAACCCAGGCTTTACTTAGATGATAGTGTTCCATTCCATGGGTTTGGACATAGCTGCCCTTCCAAAGTTAGCCAAGCTCAATAACCTGTAACACTGTTCTAAGCTGAGGAACAGAATAATCTATAATTTACATCATAGCTTAGTTTTGTTTGAAAAAGTAATTAACAGCACAAAAAGTTATCAGTCCTAGAGAACACATACACTCTTAAAAACTCAAAATATTTTTGATAATAATTTGTGTGACATTTGATGTGGAGGTGGTTTTACCTTGTCCCATTAATAGTTGCAGTATTAAATGTGACACATGCCTTTAATCTCAGCACTCTGGGAAACAGAGGCATATAGATCTCTTTCTCACAGCCAGCCTGATCTACAGGCTAGCCAAGGCTGCATAGTGAGACCTTGTCTCAAAACACCAAAACAAAAATATTTCAAGATGTGTAATTTAGCTCTGTATCCCATTTTTTTAATTGGATTACTTGGTTTGTTGTTGAACTCCTTAAGTTCTTTATATATTCTGGATATTAGCCCTCTGTGAGATATAGGGTTGGTGAAGATCCTTTTCCAGTCTGTAGGCTGTTGTTTTGTTCTTTTGACAGTGTCCTTTGCTTTACAGAAGCTTTTCAGTTTCATGAGGTCCCATTTATTGATTGTTGCTCTTAGAGCCTGTGCTGTTGGTGTTCTTTTCAGAATGTTGTCTCCTGTGCCAATGAGTTCTAGGCTCTTCCCCACTTTTTCTTCTAACAGGTTTAGTGTGTCTGGTTTTATATTGAGGTCTTTGATCCACTTGGATTTTAGTTTTATGCAGGGTGATAAATACGGATCTATTTGCATTTTTCTACACGTAGACATCCAGTTAAACCAGCACCAACAACCTAGATGTCCCTCAACTGAAGAATGGATGCAGAAATGGTGGTATATCAAGGAATGATACTCAGCAATTAAAAACAAGGAAATCATGATATTTGCAGGCAAATGGATGGAACTAGAAAAGATCATCCCGAGTGAGGTAACCCAGAAGCAGACAGGCATGATATACACTCACTTATAAGCGCATATTAGACATATAGGATAAACTTACTAAAATCTGTAGTCCTGAAGAAGCTAAACAACAGGGAGGACCCTAGGGAAGATGCTCACTCTTTCAGAGGAGCAAACAGGATAGACATCGGTAGCTGGAGAAGACAGGAAACAGGACAGGAGCCTACCACAGAGGGCCTTTGAAAGACTTTACCCAGCAGGGTATCGAAGCAGATGCTGAGGCTCCTAGCCAAACTTTGAGCAGAGTGCAGGGAATCTTATGAAAGAAGAGGGAGATAGAAAGACCTGGTGGGGACAGGAGCTCCACAAGACCAACAGAGCCAAAAAATAATCTGGGTTTAGGGGTCCTGCAGAGACTGATGCTCCAACCAAGGACCACACATGGAAAGGACCTGAACCCCTGTTCAAAGAAAGCCCATAGACTGCTCTGTCTCCAAGTAGGTTCCCTAGTAAGGGCAGCAGGGGCTGTCTCTGACATGCCTGCTCTTTGATCACTTCCCCCTGGTGATGCTGCATTGCCAGGCCACAGAGAGGATCCAGATAGTCAGAAGAGACCTGATAGGCTAGGGTCAGAGGGAAGGGGAGGAGGACCTCCCCTATCAGTGGACTAGGGTAGGGATGAAGTGGGGGGAGGTGCGGGGGGCAAGGGATTGTGAGAAGATGAGGGAAGGGGATACAAAGTGATTAAATTGTAATAAATAATAAAAGTGAAAAATAATAACACAAAAATGTGTAATTTATTTGTCCAGTCTTCACATAAACATTCTTGCTGTAAGTTTTTTCCTATAAATATAATAAATAGTAATGGCAAAACAGTGCTATTTGTTTGTAAATGTATTCTGCTGGGGAGCATGGGCTTGAAGAAAGGATGAAGGTTTTTTACATTTGTAATTGTGTCTATTGCTGAGAACGTATATGCATGTGAACAAGTGCCGTGAGTCTAAAAGAGGGTGTTCTCAACCCTGAAGCTGGAATTACGGGTCGGTACAATCTACTTGAAGTGCCTGCTAGGAACAGATCTCAGCCTCTGCAAGGGCATATTCACTCTTGACCACTGAGCCCTCTCCAGGCCCAAAAGGACAGAAGTTCTAACGTTGGGCTGGAGAGATGGCTCAGAGGTTAAGAGTACTTACTGACTGTTCTTCCAGAGGTCCCTAGTTCAATTCCCACACCCACATGGTGGCTCACAACCTTCTATAGTGAGATCTGGTGCCCTATTCTGACCTGCTAGCATACGTACATGCAGACTACTGTATAAATAATAAATAAATCTTTAAATTTTTTTAAGAGTTTCCTAACAACGGTTCCTAGCTAAAACTCAAAACTCCCTTTTTCTTGTAAATGATAATGGACTGTGTTTAGTAAGGTAAAGTTTTAAAGTAGGCCTAGCAAGATGGCTAAGCAGCTAAAGTGCTTGCCGTTCTTGTTGATGGAGGTCACTCTTCCCTTGTACACACACAAAATAAAATGTAAAATACAGAAGTCTCCCAATTAAGAATCTAGTATTCTCTGGTGAACTTCATTCTACCCTATTAACCATATATGCACAAGATGTTATAAAAGTGTGCTTATGTTTTAAAAAACAACTTAGGAGGGAACTGATGCCATATTCTGGGCTAGTGAGGTACTTAAATATAGGATATTAATTTCATCAGACTTAGAAGAAAACCAGGAAACTGAAATGTTTTTCCACATAAAATTTCAAGACTGCTCAGAAAACTAAGGACAATTCTGTAAGGCGCTGAGGGAACATTCATTTTTTTATCCTCATGTTTCTTAGACATAGTATGCTTAGTACAGAAGGAAATGAGCAGCCTGTACTGTACAGTTTGTACTGTAACGTGAGTAGCATGGTGCATGTAGACGCATGTTAAGATCGAGGAGTGGACCGGTTTCTTCCCTCATTAATGCAGGACTCAGGGAGCGAAGTCTGACCATTAGGCTTGATATTTTCTCATTTTTGTTTAAAATCAGAATATACTACTGAAGAAACAGGAGGAGGTTAATTAGGCTTATGTTAGGTTGTTTTATTAGGACCTACTAACCAAAGCCTATTTATTTGCCCTGTAAAAACATCTTAATGTCTTAGTGGTAAGGTCATGTAAGTTTTAAGGAAGGGGGTTTGAAAATCGTGGAAAGTGAAATCCATCTAGTGGGTTAAAATCTAACTGCAGGAGTTGGAACAATAGCTCAGTGGTTAAAAGCATTTGCTGTTTGATCCTGAAGAGTAGTGTTTGCACCCCAGCACCCGTGCTGGGTGACTCACAAACACTGTAACTGCCAGCTCCGAGGGACCCAACACCTTCTGGCTTGTTAGCACCTGGACACTCAGAGACATGCACATATACACACAAAATTTTTCAAAATCTTAGCATTTTGCATATTTTTTTTTCCTTTTGTTTCTTCTTCAAGGTGGTTCTCTGTGTAGCTCTGGCTGTTCTGGCCCTCCCTCTGTAGACCAGGCAGGCCACAAAGAGATCCACATGTTGTCTGTCTCCCGAGGGCTGGGATTAAAGCCATGTGCTACCACTGCCCAGGCCACACAATTTCTTAAAGCCTGTTCAGCACAAATACAGTTGAAATGCAAAAAAATTACTTCTCAGACCATGTTTTAACCAAAGAATCTTAGTGCTACCATTCAAAAGCCTTTTTAATGAGATAGATAGAAAAATGTTTTTAAAATGTCATCTCTGCAAATTTGTGGTTTGCCAAAATAGTCTGTCATGTTGTATTCACCCTTACCTCATCATGTAGTCTAATTAAATAGGGATATTGTGCTTCTTGCTGCCCATTGATCCATCTTTAAAATTTGGGAAGGTTTCTCTTCAAATACTGTTAGGGGTCTTCTGTTGTAGGTCTTTGTTATTTCAATCAACCTTAGTAGGAAATTTTATTTTAACCCAATACTGATGGTACTTGGTTAGCCATGGGTCATGTAGGCAGAGGCACCTTTCTACTTAAATCATCTCAGAAATAACTGCTAGGAAATCTCTACCAGACTTGAATGGAGATACTTGATTTTATTTTTAAAAGTCACAGTATATAGTTGTATCCATAAGCCACCATAGGACTTACAACTTGATTAATTTAGGTATCAAGATTAGAGGACTCATTGAATATGAAAGTGCAAATTGCTAAAAACTCCTTTAATGTGGCTACAAAAGTCCTCCAGGCAACAGCAGACAACAGAAATGTTTGTTTGTTCAGTGACCATTGCATTCTGGAAAGCTGCTTATCTTTACAATTTCTGGGATTAGAGTTGCAGGAGGTCAATCATTTCTCCCATTTTAAGGGAAGAAAGGTTAAGTGCAGGCAAATCTTAACCCTCTCGATTCAGTGCCTGTGGACTTGTCGTAGCTACTGATTCCTGCACCTTTGCGAGAAGCTCGTTCCAGTATTTACTGGGGGAGCTGTATCACAAGGATTGGCATTGCCCGAGGCGCTATTGTTTACTCTTGTCTACACATAACTCCCCGAGCATTGGAGTCCTTCACATTTCTGGCCTAGATCACTATGCTGAACTCTGCCAGGCCCTACTTGCACCCATGTAGAAATGTCACATTGGTCTCAACCTTGCTAACCTTCCCCTGAGTGTGTCACTTTTTAAAAAGTTTATCACTTTCACTCCTCCCATAACCGTTTGACTTCCACAGCTGAAAAGCACTATATTCTGTTATGTAACTCGGGTCTGAACCAGGAATAATACCCTGCACTGCAGGGAAAGTTGTGATCCACCATGCCTGGCTTGTGTAAAGGATGTTAAAATAGTTAAGTGGAATCGTGCTGAACTGTTTAATGAAACTGAATTGAAAATACAGAGAAAGAATGTGTTCTGTTCCTGTAAAACTGCTACCTAGATGACTGCTGTCTGCGGTGGGTGAGAAGGTGGGAGCTGCTGTGCTTCCCTAGCTGGATCGTATTTACACAGCAGCATGCACAATCTACACGATTCTCAAAGCACGTGATCGTAGAGAAACCAAGAACTAGAGGAAAATGACAACTCTGTCTGGTTTAATTACAAACAAGAAAAGGATCACCAAGTGGCTACATCTTTTCAAGAATCTCGCCAACTCCCAGGTCCTCTCGACCCTTATTAAGTATGAATACCCATAGTTGTTAGGTCAAAACCTGACCTTCATTTGGTCAAAACACCCTTTAAAGATGTTGATAATAATTCAAAGAGATACAAAACTTAGCACCTCTGTAATATGAAAATAAAAACAAAGGACAACCAAACAAGAACTTGATTTTGAAAAATCCAAAATATTCACAGCTGCCTGAGAGGAGATCTTGAGCATTCCACTTAAACAGATGCTCTCATATTCACAGGACGCCATTTGGACTAACGTCAAAATGAATCCATTACTCATTTCCTCTCCGGCTCTTCTTGTGGCTTTTCTTAGACCTGAAATGGAATACATATAACTCATGAAGACAGTGACACTATGTTGACGCTGATGAGGACAGAACATTAGGTGCACTGTGTGTGTGTGTGTGTTGCATGGCTGCATACTTGTGCAAATGCACTTGAGTGCATATGCATGTAAAGGCCGGAAGCTGTGACACTCCTGTCTTCATTTATTGAGGCAGGATGTACTTGCTGGTCAGCGTTTATTGTCAGGTTGACAAAACGGAGTCACTTGGGGAAAAGGAATCTCAGTTGAGGGTTTGTCTACAGCAGAGTAGCCTCTGGCCATGTCTGAGAGACTGTCTTGACTGATGTGGGATAGTCTAGCCCGTGGGGGCAGCACCATCCTGAGGTAGTTGGTTCTAGGCTGTGTGAAAAAGCTAGCCAGTGAGCACTTAGGGAGGGGGAGGCAGGTGGATAGCTCTGAGTTCACGGCCAGCCTGCTCTACCAAGCAAGTCCAGGATAGCCAGGGCTACACAAAAAAAAACTGTCTCAAAAACAAAATAAAACAAAACAAAAAAAAACTTAAAAAATAAAAAAATTGGGCCTTAAAGCCTAGAAGAGTATAGATCTTTCCCTGTCCAAGGCTTTAATTCTCTAAAGAAAACAATGTACAAAAGAAACTGAATTCTGGGATTTATGGAAAAAAAAAAAAAAGGCCTATTTGTCTTTTATCAAGGAACTACAAATACATCAAACCAAATTCCCCATCTTAACTGAAACTTTAACTATTGAATGAAGACTAAGTGTGCGTGCATGACTACGCGTGTGCATGCGTGAGTACGGGTGTGTGTGTACACACCCCTGCATATGCGTGCACACATGTGGAACAGACGTAAACACGGAAGTGTCTTCCTAAATCACTTGACGTTTTGAGACACGGTCTCTTACTGATTGGCTGGTCTGGCTGGCCAGCAAGTCAAGAGGTGTTCCTCGCCAGCACTAAGGTTTCCGGCGCGCCTGGCTGCTAACACAGCTGCTGTGGACTGAGTTCCAGTCCCCATGCTTCCACAAACACAGTGTTCAATTTGTACAGCAGAGCTTTAACCCTTACCTTTCTGGAGACTTTGAGTGGCTCCTATGTCTGTGACTACGGTGGTGCCCTGGAAGAAAAGGCCACTGGGTGAGTTTCTGCTCTCCCACTCTCAGGCCAGCATTGTCACCTCCCCCAGTACCTCTCAGTCTCCTATTACTGTTTTAGCCTGTTCTGGGGACACCACTCAGTACGACACCTCTCTAACCTGGTCGATAGTTGCAGGGAATGCAGAAACAATATCATATATCCAGAGTGTTATGGCTTATGTCACAAAACATTAGCTTAGGCTTTAACATTTATTATACTGGGCCTTACTTCTGTAATTTTGGATTAAAAAAAAAGAAATCCCATTGCCATAGAAAAGTCCTAATAGAAGCTCAGAAAATCCTAATGTAACCCCTACTTTTTAATTTGAGGTCCACCTTTTTCTGCTAGGTAGGCCACCTTGCCATTTCATGCTGCTGGAGTAAGAAGGAAAAGGCCCAAATACTACACCTGGGGACTTAGAGCGCGATCTGTGTCGTCTGTCTCTGGACCTGCTCCGATGGCGCCGTGGACTCTTGCTCCTGTGCCTTTCTCGGCGGGGAGAAGGGCTATAGAAAAGGAACAGCTCAGACATGCTTCGCAATAAACATTTACTTGCCCTCTCAAACCCTTGTCAGAACTGTCTAAGGACCCACCTTCTTCTTTTAGGGGATCTACTCCGCCTATGGAGAGAAGAGATGATTAGTGCGCTGAACATTACACTGCAAAGAGTAAACCCCCCCACACCCCCACTTTTTGTAAGAGAGAGGAATGCTGGGCACCAAACACTTCTGATTCTTAGTAGCTCATTTCTAACACTCTGACCTTGGAACTTTTTTTGACCCATAGGAATAATAGTAAATACAACAAATAGACAATGAAAAAAACACTTGAATGAAAGGACCTGTTTGGCTCTTAAATTATGCCACTATCTTCAGAACTTAACCAGTTTAACCTGCTCAAGGATGGGAGGTACAGAGAAGCTGCCCCAGTCATCCTAATTAATACTACTCTATACCACGGGAAATACATTATCACAACAGGCGAGCAGACATAACTGTATATCCAAGCCCTGCTTGACTCACTGACCACAAACGAAATGAACTGAGAATCTGCCTGCCTCTGTCTCCTGAGTGCTGGGATTAAAGGCATGCTACCAACCCCAGCACAAATGAGGTTTTTAAGGGTGATGGTTCAATAGTAACAGGCAAACAGATACCCTGGCAAACATTCTCTGTAGGCTAATAATTTTCCTTCCATGAAAGTCAAAGTTCCCGGCTGACATGCTGCAGCCCTACCTTCTGGGAGAGCGACTCCGGCTCCTCCTATACCGCAGTGCAGGCGAGCGCCTCGGCTTGTCCAAATCTCGGTAGCTTCTCCGTCGGTGGTCAGGTGAGGGCACTCGTTCCAGCTTGAAAAGAGATACTGGCTTTTAAAGGCCGGCACGCGGAGCAGTTACAGGCCCCCCCCCATTCTGCCCACTGTCCTCTACCAAGTGACTCCACAACAGTGACTTTACTACCTAGTGACGGAAAAGGGGAAGAATACACAGTTCTCAGGAACCTTTTCACTTTTATCAGCTGCCTCCAACTGTGAGTACAATAAGAATAATGTTTATTTCCTTAAGAATGCGAGAGGAAGAGTTAGAAGTAGGTCAGTAATGTTAAATGCAAAGTCAGTGGAATTTAATCTAGCTCTACAAAAAGTGTATGTAACAGCAGGAGTCGGGCACAGTGGCACACGCCTTTAATCCTAGCTCTGGGATGGCTGAGGCAGGTGGATCTCCGTGAGTTCCAGGCCATTCTGATATATACAGTTCCAGGACAGCCAGAGCCACATACGCTGTTTAAAAAAAAAAAAAAAACAACAACAAAAAGAGAAAGCGTAGCAATACCCAGATGGTTATCTACATATAACCTGCTGTTACTAGAAATAAGGACTTCTTGGACAAATGTCTACTTTCATGTTTGCAGCAGAAGTAGACAAGAGGAGTCTAGAACACACCACCATCATATTGCTTAAACTATGACAACAAAGCATCACCTTGGGCGGACACTAAAGAACCAACATGACTTTGTGTCTGTCTTACTGCATGAGAAATTCCAGGCAGACAGTGTCCTGGACTGTAGCCTTTTCATTATGAAAACATAAATGCTGATATAGAAAATTTCCCCCTTACTAAAATTCCAGGTAAAGGAAACGAAGATATAAAAGTTATAAGTAAGATATATCACCAGTATATAACCCACCTAAGCACTGACCTTCAGTGGACCCAAATATTACAGGGAGACAGGGCCAGGGGGATGGCTCAGTGCTCACACCACGAGAAAAAAGAGAACATGAGCATGAGAGAATGAGACTATGCCAGCCAAACATGGCGGCTCACACCTAGCACTTAGGAAGATGGAAGCAGGAAGAGCAGGAGACTGAGGTCACCTTAGGCTATGCAGCGTGTTCACGGTCTGCCTGGGTTACTCAAGACCCTATCTAAAAAGAGAAACAACTATAAAAAGCCTGTATTTGTTCATTTCCCAGAGAAGAGCACACCAATCCTGCACGACTTCTGGCCACAGAGGCTAGCCTCTCCTCTTGTATTCACTCTAAAGGGAACTGAGACACCTCATTTGCACTGTCCGGGACCCATGGCAACATCTGTACTTCCTCTCTTGCTTTTTAAGTGTTTTATACTTAAAGCATTCTTTTTTTAATAATTTAATTAATTTTATTTTACGTGCATTAGTGTGAAGGTGTCAGATCCGTTAGAATTGGTATTACAGACAGTTGTGAGCTGCCATGTGGTTGCTGGGAATTGAACCCAGGTCCTTTGGAAGAGCACACAGTGCTCTTAATCACTGAGCCATCTCTCCAGCCCCTGAAGCATTCTTATTCTGTGTATATGTGTTTTGCTCTGCATGTGTGTCTTGTACACTGTATATGTACAGTGCTTACAGAGGCCAGAAGACGAACTGGAGTTAGAAAAGATGCCATGTGGGCGCTGGGAATTAAACCTCTGTCCTCTGGAGGTGCAGCCAATGCTTTTAACTGCTGAGCCATCTCTCCAGCCTGTGTATATTTTTAATTCTCTGAGGCCACAACAGCAAAGTGCCTGTCCGAAATGTTTACCTTCCAAGACCAATTACCGATTTTGGTACCAATTTGCATAGACTGAAATGCACTGTTCTTTTTCTTCAAACCGTATTAACTTTAGGTTGCTGTTATAGGACACAAAGATTTCCCTACACAACACGTATGGCTATGAACACAGGTTTACTGCAGTAGCTCTTACCTATAAGCCTCTTGGTGTTTTTTTCCTGGAAACATATTTTAGATTTTTCCAGAGAGGACAGATACACTACTTAATCTGAGAAAGGGTTTACTATGCTCTCCACATACTAAATTACTATATGTTTTGGGATTTTGTTGTTTTAGTTTTCTGAGGCACGGTCTTGCTAAATATAGCATCAGGTGGTCTGCAGCCTGTGTAGCCCAGGCTAGACTTCAGACTCCTAATTTGTGTTTATCTCCTAGGTGCTGGGATTTCAGACAACCACACCCACTAGATTTAGGAAACTGTTTTCAGAAACTGTTATTGTAGTATGATTTGACTGCCCTTATTTTCTAAACAACATGAAAGCCATGATTTTTCTTTACTATTGTGTATGTGTACTAGAAATTGAACCTAGGGCCTGAAGCATGTTAGGTAAGTATGCTACTACTGAGCTGGAGCTTAGCTTCATAATACAATTTTTTTTTAAAGATTTATTTATTGTTTATACCGTTTTCTGCCTGCATGGCAGAAGAGGGTGTCAGATCTCATTATAGATGGTTGTAAGCCATCATGTGGTTCTGGGAATTGAACTTGGGACCTTTGGAAGAACAGTCAGGGCTCTTAATCACTGAGCCATCTCTCCAGCCCCCATAATACAATTTTTAACAATTTACTTCCCAAACTTTTCCATGATAGTGTTTAATTGGTTTGTTACATTCTGTAGCACATTCCTCTACAAGTAATTTATCATTTCCTTTACAATGTTTCTATTTTCATGATTTCTCTTAATTTTGTTTCATCTTAATGGTATTCAAAACCTGTGACATTACTCTGGATTAAAGGTGTATGTGGGGGACTAGGCCTGGAACAAATATTTCTAAAAAGTTTTTTATGCTTGGTGTACTAGACACAGGCCTTTAATCCCAGTACCCAAGTGGATTTCTGAGTTTGAGGCTAGCCTGCTCTACATCGTGAAACCCTGTCTCTTAAGAAACAAAACAAACAAACAAAAAAACAAACAAAAAAACAAAACACCCCATAAAACCATGTCTTTTATGTTAGCAACAAAAAACCAAAAGGGATTTAGGAATAACGTAACAGGAAGTCTAGAAGAACTGAGTGTAGGGAGCCCGCACAAGTCTGAGGTAAACCTCTAATAACCCGTTAAAGCCTTAGCCCATGTTTGTGGATGTTGATGCCATTGCCATCTCTGTTCCCAGGGATTCAGTTACAAACTAAACGGAATTTTTCTTCTTAAAAAAAGATAATAATTCCTGCTGAATGTGTGTATTTGTGAGAGTGCACAGACACACTTGCACGTAAGGGTCGGTGCCCTTAGGGGCTAGAGGGTGTTACACTCTCCTGGAGCTACAGTTGGAGGCTTGGTGAGCCATCTCACAGGGGTGCTGTGCAGACTCCACTGCTTTCGTGACTGAGCGGCTACTGCTCTTAGATGAGCTGGATCTCCAGCCCCTCGGCAATTGTACCCATAATCCCAATAGAGTTCATCGTTTGCATCAGAACAGTGGATCTCAGGCTACAGAGACAGCTTAGTGGTTAGAGCACTTGGCTCCCAGTAACCTGTAACTTCAGCTCTAGGGTCTCCACGCGCACCTGCACTCGTGCACATACCCACACACAGACAAACACAGAGACAACAGACGATGGAGCAAAAGAGCAAAGCTCCTACTGAAGAAGAGTAAAAGCAGCACGTGGTGTCCTACGTGTCAAGACTTACTATGCAGCTGCACAGTTGGGCAGGGTCCTACTTGCACACATTGGCCAGCAGAAGAAACTGATCACAGACAGAACATTTTCAACTGAGAATTTTTGTAAAGATGGCAAAGCAGAGAAGAGGAGGAAAAGAAAGAAGAAAAAAGGAAGACCACAGGGACAGGGATTCCATGTTGAAGAAAAATAATTAGATTACCTTTTCACCAACACAAAAACCTAACTTGAGGTTAGCTTTTTAGTTCTGGGGACAGGACCTCACTGTGCAACACTGGCTGGCTTTGCCTCGGGAGGGCTCCAAGTAAAGGTGTGTGCCACTCTGGCCATTTCTTTCTCATTTCTTGCATTTCCTTCTGGCCCTTTATTTAATCACAAATACTGTAGAAATACTTCATTATAAGCACTTCTACATCATCACTTTTACTATGAGCAGTTCCACGTTATCATTATTTTAATGACTGCTTAATAACCATGTTAATAATCACGGACTCCTCAGTTCTTGACAGCTAGGGAGCTTAGTTATCTTCAACTTTTCAGCATAATTATTAATTCTAACGAAACATGACCATGCAGCACGAAACTTCGCTCCTTAGAGTATGTTAAAGCATGACAAGAGTCTTATCCAAGGTTTTTATTACCTTTGCTTCACAGACAAGGTAAGTGAGTACTGCAGCACAGCAGGGTCTGGGTACTTCAGGGGCAGAACATGCATTTAGCACAGGCAAGACTGTGGATTCAACCCCAGCACAAAGGGAGAGAAATCAGGACTGTTAAGGTCACAGCACTGCTGTACTGACCTTATATAATGTTGACGTTTTCAAGCCAAGAGGGATTTGACTCTAATGCTCATCATTTTAGCAAGAATACAGTTCTTCATTTTTTAGGCATGGGCCTTTGATCCTAGCATTCCTTAGGCAGATATGAAATCTAGCCAGATCCACACAATATGGCCTTCAAAAAAAAAGGACCTCCAAAATCATTAATTAATTAATTCATTCATTCACAAAAAATGTAAAAAGAAAAGGTTATCATTAACTTAAAAACTAAAGCATTGGGTGGAAAGGCAGCCTTACCAGGCCACAGAGGAGGACAAAGCAGACAGTCCTGATGAGACCTGATAGGCTAGGGTCAGATGGAAGGGGAGGAGGTCCTCCCCTATCAGTGGGTTAGGGGAGGGGCATAGGGAGAGATGAGGGAGGGAGGGGAGGAGACAAGGGAGGGAGCTACAGCTGGGATACAAAGTGAATAAATTGTAATAAATAAAATAATTAAAACAGAACAAAAACAAACTAAAGCTTGAAAAATAAGGGCTACTTCCTTTCTTGCTAACCCTTACAGCTTTCATACATGCCTTACCTTCTCATCTTCCTCTTCCTCCTCTTCACTAGACTCCACGTCATCCATGTCCTCTTCCAGAGCACTAACTCGAGGCTCTAGTTGCTCGGCTTCCTCTAGCACATAACGTTTCTAAAGAAGACACAGTGAAAGTTAAAAGACACTGCCATTTCTTCCATGTTTGGATCCTAACACTGAGCTTCTGGGGTTGACAGAAAAGCCATGGAAGCACAGCTTGGATATGATATTACTTTCCTAAGTAGTCAATATACCTGGAATCCACGTGCTTTTTAAGTTCCCCTACAAGTAGAAACAGAATGCTTAAGAGAACAAGTTCATTTTCAATTGCTTCTATTTCCTGTGTTCTTATACTATAAGGTCAATGCATTGTCAATCAGTTTGTGTGTAGTCAAAAATGTTAACTTCAGGGCTGGAGAGATGATTCAGCAATTAAGAACACTTGTTGCACTTGAAGAGGATCTGAGTTCAGTCCCCAGGACCCACATGGTAACGCACCAGTTCCAAGGGAACCCAGGTCCTCTTCTGGCACTCTCTGGTGGAAGCTGAGAACTGATTCTCAAAGGTTGTCCTCTGGCCCTACACACAGCACGTGCGTACACGCACACATGTATGCACACACGCACACATGTATGCACACACACCAATGATTAATAAAAATAAAATCTAAAAAGCAAATGTTTTAATTTAATTAATTACACAGCATTCTGCCTGCACACCAGAAGAGGACACCAGATCTCATTATAGATGGCTGTGAGCTACCATGTGGTTGCTGGGAGCTGAACTCAGGACCTTTGGAAGAGCAGCCAGTGCTCTTAACCTCTGGGCGTCTCTCCAGCCCCCAAATGTTTTAATCTCTTAAAGACACATTTGTTAATTTGCGTGTGACACATGTACACGAGTGTGCAAATATATATGCCCATGCTTGCCCATGGAGGCCAGAGCAGGACCTTGGGTGTGCTTGGTCTCTACCTTACCATACTAAGGCGAGTCTTTGCCTAAACTGGAAGTATATCATCTTGGCTATGCTAAGGAAGTTTGGAGGATTTGTCTATCTCTGCCTGCCAAGCTGGGGTTACTCGCACTTAGAGCCATGCTTTGTAGATGGGTGCTGGGGACTTGAACTCAGGTCCTCATGTTTACAGAACAAACACTAACCCACTGAGCAATTTCCTCAGCACTGGGTGTCTTGTTTTTTGTTGTTGTTTATTTTGAGGGAGTTGGTAGGTTGTTTTTGAGACAGTGTCTCACTATGAAGGCTTGGTTGTCCTACAACTAAACCAAGGTCTTTCAAATTCAGAGACCACTTTCTAAGTGCTAGGATTAAACCCTTGCACCACAATGCCTGGCACAATAACCTTTCAGTAAGGGTGTTTAGTTTTTTCACATATGCCATGGAACTCATGTGGAGGTCAGAGCACAATCTTAGTGTCATTTCCTGCCTCCACTTTGAGGCAAGGTCTCTTGCTCACTGCTGTGTAGGCCAGGTTAGCTGAACTGCAAGCTCCTGGCAATTATCCTGTCTCTGTCTTCCATCTCCCAGAAGTGTACTCTGTGTAGGTTCTGAGGCTCTGAACTCAGGTGTCAGGCTCGTGCAGCAATAAGCCATTTGCTCTGCCCTAAGGATTCTTCCTTTTTTTTGTAAATAAGACCTCCTATGTAGCTACTGGCTGTCCTGAAATTAACATCTCCTTGCGTCAGCCTCTGGAGTACGAGGGATTAAAGATGCACCATCCCATTCAAGTTGCCTTTTTTGACACAACAAACATGGTATATTTAAAGTAGAAAACTTACATTTTAATATATAAGTACATGCTTGAAATTGTCATTACAATCAAGATAGTAAATTTCTTCCTCTCATTCCTTTAAACTGTCCTGAAGGTCTACTTTAGAGATGGAAGGAGAGGAAAAAGTGGCTAACAGTCACAGGTATCACAACCCGGCTGACTTCTTTCCCTACAGTTACACATTAGGCAGAACAATTTCTTGATTCCTTCATTCCTTCCTTTCTTGTCTCAGTATGGAACCCTGGCTGGCTTGGAACTTCCTAGGTAGACCAGGCTAGCCTTAAACTCAAACAGAAATGCCTGCCTCAGCCTCCTAAATGCTGGGACTGAAAGCATGCACTACTACACCTGGCATAATTTCCTTTGAGTCCAGCCCTCCCCAATCCCGAATCTGACCTCTTTTCTTCTCAGTAAGAATTTCTCATTTTATACATAGGCTCTACAATAACACAGGGACTTGGGCTACCTGCTCATTCAGTCAGCTCTCCCCTACAGCACACTCCATTTCACTTCAGGTTATCCACCATATCTTTTTTCTCGTGATAGGCTGCAAAGTAGTTTTAAAACTGAAAATCATATCTTAGGCAGGCATGGTGGTGAAAGCCTATAATCCCAGTTTGTGGAAGACACAGAGGAGGTGAGAGGGCAGCCTGGTTTATATGGTCATTTCCAGGCCAGTTATTGTTATATGGCCAAGACCACATCCAAAAACAACAAAACACCACCAAGCACTGCACAAACTCGGGAGGACTGAGGTGCTTCATGGATAATCATCACTTGGGATATGAGCCAAGATGATAAACAAGAAGTTTAAGGGATTGAATGCCTACCTTCTCATTCCAAATTACCTTTTTCTGTTTCATAGCCTAACTTACAAATTTGAAAAGACAATACTCCAGCTACAACATCTGTGATAATACATCCTGAAAAAACCTTTTTTCTATTCATTTTCAAACCCAGCAGGAAACATTACCTGTTTCTATCCATTCCCATCCTCTATAAATTTTGCTGTAAGCACTTATTAAGACATCCTTAAGGCTTCTGTGTTTCAGTAAGCGTTTGTGTGGAGGTAAGAGGTGACTAATGATAGACCATTGTCTCTTACCTGCAGCCGTGGCAAAATGATATCACAGACTCTCTCACTGTGCAGTAGGTCATCAATGAACTCATCCACATGCATCAGTTCAAACTCTGGAAGAGAAAACAATCAGTTCAAGCACCCTGGACATGACTCTGTTAACTAAAAAGTAGCAAGATCATGAAATTTTAATATGAAGTGCCCTATAGGCCATGTCTATTTATTATTTATTGACTTTGGAGATGAGAACTGAACCTAGGGCCTTGTGCTTGCCTAGCTACTGCTCAGCCAGAGCTCATCCCCAGCTGTAGCACTGTGCTCCTGGGCTAAGTCTCCAACCCCCTTTAAAAACTTTTAATTACATTTATTATTTATTGCATGCGTGCACACACAAGCATGTACGTGTGCACATGCTTTGGCCACAGTATGTGTGCAAGGGTCAGGGAAAAGCCTCCCAAAAGCCTTCCTCTCCTCCCACCTTGTGGGACCCAGGCTTACGTCAGCCTTACAGAAGGGATCAGCCCAACCAAGACTAAGAGATGAACAAGTCTGTTCCATGTAACAGAAGGGCGGTCAGTATAGTTCAATGGTAGGGTGCTTGCCTTGTATGAGCTTATAAAGTCAATTCCTACCAACACCACCAGAATAACAAAACCAAAAACAGGAGACACAAACATAAAAGTTAACCCACAGTTTTGAATTACGTAGGATAATCTTGAATAGATGGGTAACTCAAGATTATATAACTCCAGTTAATTTTAATAGGTCACCTAATTGTAATTTCTCTCATTAACTCATAATGTCCCTGAATATACAGCATTTCTATTATAGGGCCTGTGGTCAGCGCAACAGGTAAAACCACTTGCTACACAAGCCTGATGGTCTGAGCTGGATCCTGGAACCCACAGCGGAAGAAGTGGACCAACTCTCAGATTCTTTTGTCTTCTGCCCTTGCACCACAGCACACATGTGCTTACAACCACACACGCAGACAAATCAGTAAAACAAAGAGCTATTTTTATAGTTTAAAAGCAGTAGTCTTTAGAATGTCCGTACTAACATTATCTTAGTTTTACGATTCTCAGTTACAAGTGCCTCTGCATGCCTCTGTCACCCTATTTAAAAAGCATCTACTATGTTCATCAGGGAGTCGACGGGGCGCACTTAACATACCCTCATGTACAGAACTACCACAGAACAAAAACTTACCTGGCCTAAAGAGTCAACACTGTGAGAAACACCATCTTACTTAACCTTGTTCCAGAATGACCACAGTAATGCCCACCTGTTCAGCATGCTGCATCCAGTCCATGACAATAACATCTGGACCATCACCAACTCTCGATATATACTGTTTCCATGAAGATATGCTTTGTTCTGTTTTTTGTTCTTCTTGTGTACTAGCCCTGGCTGTCCTGGACTTGCTTTGTAGACTAGTCTTGAATGAAGATCTGCCTGCCTGTGCCACCCAAGTGCTGGAATTAAGTGCATGGGCCACCACAGCCGGCAAAGATATGTTTGAGAATTCTGAGATTGAGAATTTCTGAGACAAAAATCTTAAATCTGAAACAATCTCAAATCTGAAACTTTGGAACATGGCCATCATGCTCATTATGCTTTGGATTTTGGAGTATTTGAGGTTTCTGGATAGAGATGCTATACAACGGTCCCAAAACCTGACATGCCCTGAAACCTGCAGCAATCTGGCCATTTTGAGTAAGGGATATTTATCTTATACTAAATTGCTACTTTTTTATATCCCAAAGAAGGTGTGTCTCTGAGAGGTTCTGATTATATCACCACAAACCCTTCCTCAGCACAGGTGTGTCTCCGAGGGCAAGGTCTGTAGCTCAGTGGCAGAACACTCACCTCACATGCACAATTCTCCAATACTCCCTCCCTAGGCTCAGTTCTCCAATACTCTCCCTCCCAAGATGACAGGCATGTCAACGCACACCTGTAATTCCCATATTTGGGAGGCAGAGACCAGAGAACCAGAAGTTTGAGGTCATCCTCAGCAACAGTGTTGAAGGTCAGCCTGGGTTATGTGCTCTCAAAACAAGACAAAAGAAAACAAAGGTATGTCTATAAAATGCCTAGAGATGTCTCCTTGCATATGCTTAGCATTTTTCAGTGGAGTCCCTACATGAATAACACAAGTTTGCTTAGGCCAAAAAGTACAGCACAGCATGGAATACAGTCCTAGAGAAGAACCCTGCAGGGGAGAAAAACGTGAAACTGTAGTACTTGGAAACTGATCTTGGGCAGGCTAAAACAGTTTTTATAAAGAATCCATCTACATCTACATCTTGTGGATGAAGCACGTGAGGAAGCTCTATCTGATGTACGTCAGTGTTTAACCAAAAATGGAGCAGAAAAGAGAGGCAGCCGTGTTCAAAAAGCTCATGTTTCCAATGAGGGAGACGGAAAATTCGATTGAAGACAGCAACAATACAGATGAAGAGAAACATTTAGTGTATGTGGAAATGAGTAGAGAAGCGAGTAAAATATAAATGGCTGAGGAATAACAGCCTAGAGACTTGGCATCATACTCACCTCCATTTCGGTTCTGGCTCTTGATTTTTCGGTAATCATTGTACAAAGGCTCCAAGTACTTGTAGCAATCAATTGCAGTTCCTGTCAGCCTCATGTAAAGTGCCCCCAACATCCGGACATACCTAACAGAGATGATTGTGAAAACAATAGGCCATCCTACAAGTTCCAGAGTTTTATAACTGGCTTTTCTCATGACAATGTTGAATAAAAGTGTTCTGCTTTGTTTATTTCTTATCAGATAAAGTCATAATTCTAAAGGTTGTATAGAACAGATGATGACTAAATTATGGAGGTGTAATCAACTTTCTAATCTTACAATTACTAGCTGTTCAGGGTTGGTACATGCTGCTTAACTTTAAGATAGATCACCTGTAAAACCTCACAGAATTAGCCTCAGATTTCAAAAAGTCAGGAAGTTTAACACACTAGGCATAATGTTTTATAACAATACCAGAGCACATATACATAGGCACAAATGTAGGTTCTGGAAAAAGGTGAAAGCCATATACGTTAAAATCCTTTGCAATGCCAGGTACATGCCTGTAATCCCAGCACTCAGGGAGCCAGAGGCAGGTAGATCTATCTCTGTGAGTTTGAGACCAGCCTGGTCTTACAAATTGAGTCCAGTACACCCAAGACTACACAGAGAAACCCTGTCTTGAAAATAAATAAATAGATAAAAATTAAAAACCTACTTCGTAAGTTACCAACTTTGATAACAGACATTTACCTTGTTTTCTCAAGCTCTAAAATGGAGAAGCCGCTACCTAACTCACAGCCTTGGTGCGACCAAATAAATGCAAGGAAAACTGTAGTGTTACAAAGAACATGGGCATGTGTTAAGTCTTTATAAAGTTAGCTGGGTTTTTTTTTTTTTTTTTTTTTATAATTTTAAATTTTTTGGTAATATCTTTTTCTTTATCTCATGTTTCTAATTCCTTACTCAAATCTCCATTTGAAATCCAAGCTAAATCGTATGAGAAGAACAGTATAGCAAAGAATAAGCATTCTGACAGGAATGATATAGCTGAGGTCTCACACTCAAGAGGCAGAGGATGGAGAATTGCCATAAATACAAAGCCAGCCAGGGCTACATTGTAAGGCAGATCTCAATTAAAAAACAAAACTCACAAAAGGAAAATGAACTCTGAAGCCAGCTCTGCCTCCCCAGTTCACAGCCCTGCATTTGTTCTACCAGTGTTTACCTCTGCCACAGATCTGACACTTACTAGTTGTCTGACCTTAAGCAAATCACTTACAATCCCTGTGTCTCAGTTTCTGCCCATGTATGATAAGCATAATATTTTTAAAGCAGTGGTGTGAAAACTGGATGAATTACTATATATAAAGCCCTTAAAACACACCATGATTCACAGTCAGCATAGCCACCTCCTACACTGCCTCTGAATTCCTTGAGAATGGCTAACAGGGAACAGCTGATGATTTTACCATGCCCTGGATAAGATACAGCGCTAACCTGTGAACTAACACCCTGGGTTATAGGACTCCCACCTCTGGTGCCTACCAGCATATCATTCGGATGAGACAGTTTGTGTTTGTGTGTGTGTGTATGTATACATACAAATATTATATGTGCATATTTATTTAATCTGTGAAACCCTTTTGGGGGAGGAGGAAGTTACCAAGATAAAATAGAAAGTCTACATAACCACACAGACAAAATCCAAGTTCAAGGGCCTGTGGAAATGAGACACATAACATTCAGTCCTACTAACAAAGCCAGTTCTGAACCACTAAAATTTTTGTACTAGTTAAGATTGTACTCAGTTGGGGGCTGGAGAGATGGCTCAGAGGTTAAGAGCACTGGCTGTTCTTCCTAAGGTCCTGAGTTCAACTACCAGCAACCATATGGTGGCTCACAACCATCTATAATGAGATTTGGGGTCCTGACAGGTATACAAGCAGACAGAACACTGTATACATAATAAATAAATCATAAAAAAAAAAGATTGTACTCACTTGAAATCTTCATTTTTTATGAACTCAACAATGATATCCTTCTCAGGCTGAATTTGAAGCATCTTCAAAGTTAAACACAGAAAAGGAGTTGGCTTTATGTTTCCTCCATACACACCGCCCACGAACCTCAATTCCATGGCTTTGTCGACTACAAGTTCAGCTAAAACAACCAAAAACAAACAGTTGACATCTCAGACATATTAAAGGCCTTCGCATTCTTGTTTAGAAGGTTAAATAGCCAACAAGAATTTAATATTAGAACAAGAGCTTATTAATAATAGTAGTAAAAATGACAGCCTGAAAAACAAACCGAGCATGGTGGCACATGTTTTCAATCCCAGCACTCAGGAGGCAGAGGCAGGCAGATCTCTGAGTTCGAGGCCAGCCTGGTCTACAGAGAGAGTTCCAGGACAGCTAGGGCTACACAAGCCTGGAACTACCCCATTGAAGGAAGAAACACCCCTTATCCCAGCGCCCACTAATTGTTTAGTTCATCAAAGAAGGATAGGACTCAAGAGTCCTTATACAACAATTCCTGGAGAAAAAAAGTCCTGTCACTACCACCAGATGCCAGCGGGTAATGGCACGCGCCTTTAATTCAGCACTTGAGAGGCAGAGGCAGGAGGATCTCTGTAAGTTTTATACCAGCCTGTTCTACAGATTGAATTCCAGGATAACCAGGGCTCCACAGAGAAACCCTTTCTCAAAAATAAAATAAAATAAAATAAAAATAAAAACCAACCATCCAACCAACCAAACATTTCCTATCAATTGTCCTGATTTCCAGCGGGGGGAAAAAAAAAAAAAAAAAAAGTTAAGTGATTTATATGCTCAGATCCACAGCTAGATTCCCAGCACATGAATTTGAACAAAGGTAGGAAAACTGCTAAGACATACTCTCAAGCACTTATATAACCCAGCACACAGGAGCCAGCAGCACATCACTGCTGAGTTCTGAGGCCAGCTTGGTCTACAAAGACAGCTTCAGGATAGCCAGCACTTCAGAGAAACCCTGTCTTAAAACACACACACACACACACACACACACACACACACACGAAAAAAAGGAGGAGGAGGACAAGGTAGAGGTGGTACATAAGGCAAAGGCAAATGGATCTTTGTATGTTCAAGGCCAGTCTGGTCTACACAATGAGACCCTGTCTCAAAAAAAAAAAAAAAATTCCAAAAGAAAAAGTAGAACTTGTATTGGAACAGAGAATATACCTCAGTGGTACAGCGCTTCCCCGGCAAGTGCTAACTCCTGCGTTCAAGTCCCTAGTACCCCAGTAAGAAAATAAATTAACTTGCATTAGTAATCAAGAATGAAAATACTACGCCATTTAAGAATTTGGTTACAGGCATGGTGACGCTCCTTTAGCATCGTCAGAAACTGAATACAGTTCTAGGAGCTGTATTCAGCCCCTGAGGTCAATAGTTTGGGAGACAGCAGGCTATCAAACAACGGAGCGGCTCAAAGAACCTAAAGAAATCCTTCAGCATCAAGACCGACCCCGTCAGCCAGACGGATCACTGTGAGTTCGAAGCCAGTCTGGTCTACAGCGTGAGTTTCAGGACAGCCAGGGCCACACAGAGAAACCCCGTCTCGAAAATACAAAAACAGACAACAACAACAACAAACAAAACAAACAAACAAAAGAAACAAAAAGAAGAAAGAATGAAGAAGAAAAGAAAGAGCGTGTCAAATCCGTTTGTGTCCTCACTCACTGTGTAGTGCAAGTGTGGGTACGAAGCAGTTTGCGTGAATGGGTGACACTCTTCTCCAGTGCCGCCCCCGGGGGAGGGTTCTACCCTTCCTCAGCCAGAAGAAAGCAGCGCCCGCCGCCACTCACCCGTGAGTCCGAAACATTCTTCCTTCCAGTACTTGGACTCGTAGATTCGTGTCCGGATGATCTTCTCCACCAGATACTGAGGGTTGGTGCCGTGGATGCTGTGAGCATCCTTCACCGTCCGGTTCGCCATTTCAGAACGCCTTCAGTTATACTTCCGTCGGCTTTCTCAATACGTCACAGCCAAGTTAAAAAAAAAAAAAAAAAAAGTCGACGGGGGCTGGGAGAAGAGCGAAGAGCGACCGGCGGAGTAAGCGGAAGCCGCGACGCGGAAGCCCCCTTGCCCGGATCTACGCACTGGCCTTGTGAGCTACGGCTGCAGCAGCTTGGCGGAAGTGCGTCATGCGTCGGCGGGCGGGGCGAGGGGGTTGGGTAAGACCAATCAGAATCGGCCTGTGGGCGGGGTTACGGCTCGTGGCGCGAAAAGTTTGCTCCGCGGACTTCCCTTCCCGCTGGGCTACGCGGTGCGGAGCGCGGTTCCCTGAGGAGACCGGGCGGCGCGAGCGGGCGTTGAGCTGCTCCCCCGGGGCCTGGACTGGACGCGGCGGGGAGCGCGGGCGGCGGGCAGCTCGGGCAAGCTTCGCCGTGGTGAGTGCGGCTCGGTTGCCACAGACCCCACACACGCGGCCCGTTCAGTGCCCGGCACCGCCCTCGGCGTGCGCGCTGACCCCTGGCCGGCCTGAGGGGCTTCGGGCCTCGGCTTCCCACGAGCGCGTCGTCTGGAAAAGACTCGCACCCTTTTCCCCCGATGCTGGTAACCCTGGCGATGGCGCCCAGGAGAGACTCTCTCTGAGCCGCGTCTTGTGGCTTTGGGGTCCCCGACACCTCACTCGGGTCCCCTCTCTAAGTCGGTTGCCCTCGGGTGGACGTTAATCCCGGGTCGCGGACGAGAACGTCCTTCTGCTTCCGCGGGTCTGGCCTTCTCGTAACAGTAGGAGAAAGTGGGAGCCCTAGGGCTTGCGCTGCGAGAGTCCCGTGATAAGGACATTTTAGTTTCCCATAAGAGGTGGATAATCGTAATTTCCTCGCGAATGTATTGTTTCTTAGAGACGGGATTTCTCTGTGTAGCCCTGGCTGTCCTGACACTCACTTCGGACCAGGCTGGCTTCGAACTGGAGACTGCGTCTGCCTCTCAGGCGCTGGGATTAAAGGCGTTCTTCACCACACCCCGCTTTTTCAGAATTAGATTATTTACTTACTTGTTTTTCGGTTTCTTTGTGTAGGCTTGGCTGTCCTGGAACTCACAGAGATCCGATGTATAATTTTTAAAAAGCTGTATGAGAGGGCAATATTTGGATGCTAGGAGGTTTCTGAATTCCGTGGAGCCGAGGGCAGTCTTTTGCATTGAATTGTGAATTGCAGACCATCGACGTATGCTTAGGATATAAGTAAAATGCTGACCTCTACATTTGAATGCAAGAAAGTAGCATTATCAGACTTAGAATCACTTGGCCCTAACAAGCCAAGTTCTGGCACTTGTCCTCAACATTCCAATTAAAAGAGTCAAGTTAGGATCTGCATTATGATCCAACCAATATGGGCCCTTGACACCCAGCTGGAAGGGAAGAACCTGCTTCCTCAAATTGTCCTCTGCCTCCACATGTGTGCTGTGGCACCCGGCGCACATACACACAGGGACAAAATTAGTGTTTTTTAAGGGCCATGTTAATGAGAAGCAGAAAGAAATGTTTCTTCAATATTGCCATCTGGAGATGAGAGAGCTCCAGTGTCGCCAGCCCTCCCTCATCCCATATTCCTTCACCCACATATAGTCCTGATGTGAGGGTAAGGTTTAAATGAAGGGCAGTGATGGGCCTTAACTACGACCATGGGCTCAGCTTCCTCTCCTTGGGGGCCTTCTGACCTGTTGTTGCTAACCCTTCCTGGAGACAAGCCCCTCTGGCTTCTCCTGGCTTCAGCCTTCTTCAGGATGAAATTCCTGGAACAACTAAAATTTCTTGGGGTCCATTATTTCAAAAGTTGGTAACAGTAGGATGGGCATGGGTTTCTTGTACTGTATTTTCTCGGCTTCTTACTGATTGTCTTAGAACAGTGCTGAGCACATAGGCCTGAAGTACTATTGGTTGAATAAAAAAGATACTGCTGTCTCCATCTTGTGGATTAGGGAATTTAGGTCTGGTGGACCTGTCATTTTGTGGTTGGGAAGCCTAACTTACTGTGATAAACTGGCAGAAGGACATGCTCGCAGACATAATGTTGTCCAGTTTCACACTTATTACTATCTATAAGGTAGTTTAAGAGCAGTCATTGGCTGTTCAGAGTTAGGGCTGTGTTCTGAAAAACTGGGCCTGTTGCCAAGGTAACTTTTACCTTTCATGAGCAAATACTTATCATCTACTGTGGATTTCAGCACATTGTTCTGGGATTATTTGAAAGAATTAAGTGAGATACATATGTCAGCAGTATCTCACTTAATTCTTTGGCTCTCGGCTTGCAGGAACAACAGAGGAAGCTGGCAGAACACTGGCAAAGCAGTTTTCTAGGAGAGGGAGCTAAGGAGCTCTCATGTCTGTTCTCCCCTGCGGTAGGGTCACAAAAGCATTCCACCATGCCTAGTTGTTTCCTGTAGTTTCTGAGAAGTTAACTTAGGTTCTCATGCTTATATGACAAACACCTTACCAAATGAGCTAGGTCTTTATCCCATAATTTTTTTTTAATGTAAGTAGAACGAGACACTTGATAAAATTCATCACCACTCCCTCAAATGCTTCATTACACATTCATGCCTCTATTTATTTGTTTGTTTGTTTGTTTGTTTATTCATTTATTTATTCTGTTTCTTTGTTTGAGACAGGGTTTCTCTTTGCAGCTCTGGCTGTCCTGGAACTCTGTAGACTAGGCTGGCCTTGAACTTACAGAGATCCACCTGCCTCTGCTTCCCCAGTGTTGGAATTAAAGGCGTACACCACCGCCACCTGGCTTGTAAGCATTTATAATTTATTTTCTTACATATTGGGCCTCCAGTTTCCTTGGATTTAATTTCCAACAAGATTGACTGTTTCCCCAAAAGAAAAGTTACTGAGTGAGGCATGGTGGCACATGCCTTTAATCCCAGCTCTCAAGGGGATCTCTTATAAGTTTGAGGCCAGCCTGTTCTACATAGTGATTCCAGGACAGCTAGGGCTGTGTAAAGAGACCATGTCTTGAGAAGGGAAAAAGAGAGACAGATAAAAAAGAAAGTTATCAGTTTAAAATGTGTGGGAGTGGGGTTGATTAAAAAAGGCTGAACTAAGTCAAGGCAGAGACTGACTATATCTTACAGCCTGTCAGAGCCATGCCATCCTATCTCACGAGGCAGAAGACGAGACAAACTTTCTCATGGGTTGGCAGGCCATTGCCAGATCGAAAACAGCACTGCCAAATCTACAGGTAAGTAATGAAGCTCTTTGATTGGACTGCAAAGTGTAGCTTCTCAAACCATACTGTTAATAGTTTATATTTAAACTCTTCTACTCACTGCAGATTGAGGTTTAAGGGACAACAGAAGAAGTCTTTGTGTGATACAGAAAGATGGCCGTTAGTGAAATTTGATGTGTACCATAATGCCATCTACGTAGGGTGAATTCTTTGATATTTTAAAAAGATGTTGGTACTGTGTCCTTTCCAACTTGCTTGAGCACACTCGTGTGGGTGTGGTGTGTGTCTGCATTTGTGCGGGAGCAGGTGTGTGTTGCACTACTTTTATTCTTTGAGAATTTCATACTATGTATTTTGATGTTCATCCTCCGCCCACTCCTCCCATCACCACTCTCCTATCTCATCTCTCTCTACCCACTTTGAGATTTCTTCTTTGTCTTCTTTCTCCTTTACCAGACAAGTTAAATTTGTGTTGTGCAACTAGTCATGAGAGTTGCTATGGGGATCACATTATTAAAGAAGACCAACTCTCTCTCTTCCAGCAGCTGTCAGGTGCTAATAGCTACTTAGCTACCTTCCCTCTCTATGCTAGGGTTTTGTCTGTCTAGAGTTTGTGAAAGTCTTGTGCATGCTGTCACAATCACTGTGAGTTCTTATGTGCCCCTGCCCTATTATATCTGGAAAATACTTTTTCCTTGATGTTATTATCAACCACCTCTGGCTCCTGAATCTTTCCGTTTTTCATGAAGATGCTTGAACCTTGTAGAGACCCTATGCTTTATTGCTGCAGTTCCTTTTGCTGAACCCAGAACTGGCCACTTGCAGCTAATCTAGCTAACGAGCTTGCAGTGGGGATTCCTGGATTCTACTTCCCAAATGCTGGATTCTCGGTGGTTGCCACACTTACCTGGCTTTTTCCACGAGTGCTAGTCTGTGTGCTTGCTTGCTTGCTCAGCAAGCACTTCATCCACTGAGCCATCTCGCCACTGCTTAGCAGTTTAGATGTTAGTATTATTATCGGGCAACTTTCCAGCCTCCTGAGGCCTTCATTACTCTGTGTCAATAACCGAGGTAGTTAAAAAACTACAGTGATTTATGCTAAAATAATTTATTGAACCAATTTTGTACTTTCACTGGATGCATTGTTTTCTCTGTAAGATAATTGGGGAGTTTAGAGAAACCAGTTAGAGGATTTTCCAGTTTAAGAATTATCTTTTAGCTTGAGAAATGGCTCAGTGGTTATGAGCACTGGCTAGTCTTTCAGAAGACTCAGGTTTGATTCTTGCACATACATGATGACTCCCAGTGTCTGTGAACTTCAGTCTCAGGGTGATCCAGTGCCCTTCATGAGCACTGCACATACATGTGGTATGCAGGCAAACATTCAGGCAATGAATGAATCAAGAAGTTTAAGAGGAAGCTAGACAGCCATGTCCTTTAAAAGAATATTGTCTCCAGTGCCAAATTCTAAAAATCTTTTCCCACTTTGATGATCATGTTTCTTTGTCACTTTCTAGAGAAATGTGTATGAAAGTCAACGATTGTTCCACTGAGATTCACATCAAGGTTGGACAGTTTGTCTTGATTAAAGGGGATAATAATGAAAAACCCTATGTTGCTAAACTGATTGAATTATTTGAAGATGGTGAGTTTGGGCCTAAAATGGGAGCCTTATTTTATGGGGCATGGTTGCAAACTATGCAAGAGGGGGTCTGCTGAGTTCTCTTTGTACAGGTTCTGGCAGAACACTGTAGACTATGAGGCAGATCGTGTAAGGAGTGCACTTTAGATGTTTAAGTCATAGGGAGGTTTGTATAGAATTTGGCAAGGTGGGGAAAAGGTATGCTTCTTTCCCTTGCCTATAATCCTAGCACTTAGAGTGCTGGGGTAGGTGGATCCCTATTTAGGAGCTGCCTACTGAGGGAGGCTTTCTAAAATACCAGCCCCTACTCACAGCTTCTTTCTGCTGTCTGGGAAGGTAGGAACTCTAGAGGGAGGATCAAGAAGCAAGAGGGCTACACAGAGAAACCTGTCTCAAAAACAGAGAAGAGCGCAATTTGAAACTGTATAAAACCATCTCTCCCTAGGGATACAGTTGAGGGAGTCCTATAGAGGTTTATATGCCTAAAAGGGACTATGAAGAACAATAATGACGTTTTTGCTCAACGCAGATGGGAGGAGGAATGTTTGACAAGCATGCAGAAAAACTTCAGGCTACAGTTTACTAGAGAGGAAGCATGTCAGCAGGCGTGTGAGCTTGAGGTGTGAAGACTTGAGAGGCCTTATGTGGAACTTCAATTGCTTACTTACTGTCTCTGCAGAGTATAGAGGACTGTAATGATACTCTTGAAAGTCCTTTTGTTTTGTAGTGTTCAGGATGGTAAATTATGTTTACCTGGAATGTTCAGGATGGTAAGAGTAAAGCCAAAGCTTAAAAGCCTTGTGAGAACTCACACCTTTTGTTTGTTTTGTTTTTACATTTATTTATCTCCTTTATTTACTGTATGCATGTGTGTACAAGTTCATTATAGTCTGCATGAGAGAAATCAGCTTGTGAGAGGTGGTTCTCTCCTTCCACTGTGTGGGTTCCAGGGCTCAGACCAAGTACCTTTACTTTCTGCGTCTGTGTACTAGCCCAGCATTTTTTGTGTTGGTTTAGGCTTTGAGACAGTTGTGTATCCCAGCCTTTAACTTGTGATCCTCCTGCCCTTGCCTCCCAAGTGCTGGAGTTAGATATGAGCCACCACACCTAATTGGTGGCCTTCTTAATAAACATTAATTTGTTAAACAAAAAACAGTCTTTGATAAATTAAGTGGCTATAGTAACTCTGTTTTCCATCCCTGGAGTGCTGGTAGACACTATAAAGGAGAGCACTGGGCTGGAAAGATGGCTCAGGCTTAAAATCACTTACCACTCCTTCAGAGGATCCAGGGTCTATAACTCCAGTGATGCCCTTTTCCAGCCTCCGTGGATATGGCATACAAGTGGTGCACATACATATGCAGACAAAACACTCGTACACATTCAAAAAAAATAAAAAAAATCTTTTTTATAAAATGTGACACTCACTTTTAATCCCAGCACTCGAGAGGCAGAGGCAGGTGGATCTCTGAGTTCAAGGCTGAGTTCCAGGACCGCCAGGACTACACAGAGAAACCCTGTCTTGAAAAACCGAAAAAGAAAAAAAAGTTGAGTGATGTAAAAAGTGTGTTTGTTGAGTCACTTTGCTGCTGATTGGTCCTTTGATCACTGACAAATTATATTCGGTCCTTGAAGCTTGGTTTCTTAGCCTGAAAAGGGTATAGGTATAGCACTTGCTGTATAGAATTACAGGGAATAAATATATATATTGCATAGTGTTTGGCACATGGGTAGTATTCAATGACCACTTGTATTGTTTACCTTCCTATTTAATCTCCCCTTTCCACTTGATCATTCTAGGATCTGAAGTTCCTCCCAAGAAATGTGCCCAAGTACAGTGGTTTGTCCGATTCTCTGAGATTCCTGTGTTTAAAAGGCATTTGTTAGGCCGGAGGCCTGATGCACAGGAGATCTTCTGGTATGACTGTTCTGACTGTGATAACAACATTTTTGTGGAAACCATCATTGGCCCTGTTCAGGTAGGTGGTGCCTTAAGTCCTGGATTCTATCTGAAGTTCCTACACTGTCCTCAGAAATATTACTAGTTCTAAATGTAAAATTTTTCTTATCCTCTCTGTTTAGCTGCTTGCCCCATCACTGACAGCACACAAAGCATATGTTCTGGACCTTCCAGAGAAAGTGACATTTGAGTTATGACAAGAAGAAAGAGCAGGAATTAGAAAATGTGCCTCAGTGAAAACTGATAGGTAGCTATAATTCTGGTGAGCACAAAACATTTGTAAGGCTGACTGTAAAAAGAGGACTCACCTTGAATAACACAGTACAAAGAGTGCTGTAGCAAACTTTGCTACTGTATTTTTGTATTCAGGAGCTGAGCTGCTGAATTTTATTTCTAGAGCTGATTTCACGTTACAGAGTAGAAGATTGTACTCTCCTGTGAAGTTTGGCTTTTGGTTGGGGAATTGGCTTAACAGGTGGCCAGAGAGACTTGTCGGACCTGGCTGTAGTAATCTATTTCGAGGTTAAATGAGTGGAGGCAGGGAAGGTAGATGTTGAAGTTGAAGCAGCAGGGCAGGTAGGTGTGGAAAGTGTACTGGTCCACTTCTGTCGCCTTGACATAGTGACAGTTGTTTAGAAATACCTCAGACTGGCCTGTAGGCCTGTGAAACTTTTTTTTTTTTTTTTTTATGAATGATTTATATGAGAGGGTCCAGAGCACTGTGTGTGGAGCACTCTCCTGGGTGGTAAAAACCTTAAACAGCATTCATTCTTCCATGGCCCCTGCTTCAGTTCCTGTCTTCAGTTCCCCCAGTGATGGACTGTGCTCATGACTGCAAGCTTTAAGGTGGATTAAACCCTTTCCTCCTTGAGTTAGTTTTGGTCAGTGTTTTATCATAGTGACAGATAGAAGCAAGAAAAGAAAGGCAGAAAAGAAGAGAACATGTGTTCAGGGAACATGCATTGTTGCGAGTTAAGCAGGACTCTTATTAAAGCCAGGTTCTGCTTTAGTGATATAAGGTCTTTTCAGGAACACCAAGCACTCTGAAAGTGAGGTGGGGCCTGATCTTAGAAGACAAGGAAAAACACTTTAAGGGCCCGGTGGTGGTACCACATGTCTTTAATCCCGGCACTTGGGAGGTGTTAGCAGGTGGATTTCAGAGTTCAAGCCAACCTGTTATACAGAGTGAGTCCAGGATATCCAGGGCTACACAGAGAAACCATGTCTCAAAATCAAAAAAGAAAGAATAGAAAAGGTTTCAGTCAGCTGAGCAGTGGTAGCACATGCCTTTAATCCCAGTACTTGGGAGTCAGAGGCCAGCCTGGTATATAGAGTGAATTCCAGGACAGCCAAAGCTATACATAGAAAACCTGTCTTGAAAAAAAGAAAAAGGAAACTTTAAATCAGCTAATCTTGTGAAATCACTGTTAATGGTTTGACATGTTTTGGGAGTCAGGCCTAGGTAAATAGATTGGGGATGGCGATCAAGCAAGGAATGGACTAATGTTTGCTTGAACTGAGATAACAGCAGGCATGAGGAGGAGAAGCCAGGCTCGGGGTATAGTTCAGTTAGTAGAGCACCTGCCTAGCATGCATGAAGGAAGCCCTGGGTTCAGTCACCAGCACTGCACAACCCCACTATGATGGTACAATCCTGGAATCCCAATACTCGGGAAGTAGAGTTAGGAGGATCAGAAGTTACAGGAGACCCTGTCCAAAAGAAGTAAAGCCAGTGAGAGAAGGGAAAGAATAATTTGCTAGGTGTGGAGATACACAAGGGCTGGTAGATCTCTAGTTTGAGGAAGGCCAGGGCTACATACTGTCTCAAAAAAAAAAAAAAAAAAAACAAAGCCAAAAACACCATAACAATAGCAAAAAGAAAAAAGAATAATTTAAATTCCATCAAAATCCTCGAACTATTCATGGCTTTGTAAATGCTCAGCTTATCAATGTGCTATATAGTATCTCTCTCTCTTTAGATATAAAGGTGGCATTTCAGATTAAGATGTGAGCCTAAATAGATTTCACTGCAGCCATGATGGTTCTCCTTGGCTGTGTAGTCTTACTTTTTTCTTGTTCAACTCACTTCCACAATTCAGGTAGTGGCGTTAGCCCCAGAAGAAGTAATCCCTATGGACCAGAAAAACGAGGGGACACTGTTCGTGAAGCTGTCCTGGAATAAAAAGAGATTCACGCCGCTGGCACCTGAAGTACTTGCAGCCCTGGGAAAGCTAGAAAATAGCCCTGATTGCAAGAAACCTTTGGAAGCCAAAATTAAGAATTTAAAAAGGCGTCCTTGGACCACAACAAAACAAGTGCTCAAAAGGATTAAATCAAGTCACTCCACCTCCAAATCTCATGAAACTCCTGTTCATCCTGTCGCTCCCAATTCAAGCAAACCAGTGAAACTTCGTGGTGAGTGTGGTTGTAAATAGCTTTACCTCAGTGTGCTTATACCCTTTTGTAATAAATCAGTCTTCTTCCCCGATCCCCTGCTGCCCAGTGATGTGTTTGCTGCCTCTCTAGTTGGCTTTTTCTGGATGTCATATTGTTGGAACCACAGTCTGGCCTTTTGTCTGGTTCTCCTCTCTTAGATTTCTCCATTTGGGAGTCATCCCTATTATTGCCCTGTTGTTGATTTGTTCTTTTTTATGGAAGCTCCATTGTATCCATGAGCACAGCTTATTTCTCTTAATAGAAGACATCTGAGCGGTCTTGGTGGTAGATACCAAACTCAGATATCTGCCTACCTTGGCTGAGAGCTAAGATTAAAGGCCTGTGCCACTCCCCCCCAGCAAGCTCCTCATCATGACTGTAGCCATTCCTGCCTGCCATCTCCTTAGTTAGAGCATTACGTCCTATGGAAAGTGTCACGGTTTAATATTATTCACCTTTTGTTTCTTGCTAGGACCTAACATACCTTGCCTTTTTTAATAGTTCAGCTATATCTATGAAGGGCTGTGATTTCTGTTCTCATAATCCTGGCAGGAGTAGAGCAGATCTGCTGGGAGGCACACACTTTTAACCCCAAACCCCCGGGGAGGCAGAGGCAGAGGCAGGTGAATCTCTTGAGTTCGAGGCCAGCTTGCTCTACAAAGCGAGGCCAAGACAGGCAGGGCTGCTACACACAGAAACCCTATCTTAAAAAAACACCTACCCCCCCCCCCCCCAAAAAAAAAATGAAGCAGATCTGTATGTAATGATTGCTTTCGGGAATCCATCCTTTATCTTGGCAAATACAATGTGGGTTTAAAAAGAAAGGGAAAAACTTGGGGTTGCGTGCTCTTGCAGTGTTTCCTTGGGAGGAAAGCTTGAGTATCTGTAAAAGCTGACCTAGAAGTCAAATTCTAGATCCTGCAGATGCAGCTCAGTGGTGGTCCTGGGTTCAATTCCCAGTACAGAAATATGGAAACAATATATAAAAGTTCATGTATATTTCTAAATAGGAAAAGCCTATGTGAAGTTTAGGAAAGAGGCCTCTTGTCCTAGAAGAGAACACTATGGGCTGATTCAAAGTGTGAATAATTTCTTTTATGATGCTTCAGTTTCATCATGAGATTGGGGCTTATGTATTGCCAGGTATAACATTCCACATTGTCTCTAGGTTTTCCCAGGAAGCCTAACACGAGGCTATCTCGGAAGATCTTATGTGACTCCTTGGATTCTCAAAAAACATCTAAACGAAAAGCACCCTTCTCTGAGACAACCTCACCACCTAAAAGGTCTCGGCCTGGTGAAAAGAAGACCTCTTCAGTTTTGAAAACTCTAGGAAAAAATGGACAGGCTCAACTCTTTTGTGCCAAAGGCAGGATGACTCAGGGAGCCCAAGGTCAAGCTATGATTACCAAAGAATTCAGGATGGAAGGGCTGCTCAGCCCTGTCAGGAGCAAGCAGAGGTCCTCAGTGGTGCCTTCTGTGGTTCTGACGCCAGAGTACATTGGGAGGTAAGCAGGACCATTGCACTGACAGAGAGCAGCCTGAGATACTTTTATGTGATGAGAAGTGAGTGTTGTGGGAAACTTCTTAGTCTAACCAGACTAAGAGAATCTCAGGGTCTTTCAGAACCTGGATCTTCATGTCTTGGAGCCAGGAATCTGTATTTTGGGATGCTCTTTGAAGGTGGGTGTGGTGACTTATTCCTGTAATCAGGAGGCTGAGGCAGGACTGGTGTGAGTTCAAGGTTAGCCTGAGCTACATAGTGACACTATCTCCAGAAAGAAAGAAGTGCTTTTCTCTTCAGGTGTCATTTGGGAATATTGATAATTATTTCTGAAACTGCTGCTTCACAGTCCTGGATTTCATTTGTTGGCTGTGGCTTTTTGCCACAACTTAATGAATTTTTTTTTCCAATTAGGTTGGTTCTTTTATTTTTGGTTTTTTAATGGACTCTCCCTTAAGTATAGTAAACGACAGTAGCTTGAACACACTTTGTAATCTGCTACTTTTGAGAGTTGTACAATAAAATTGTGACAGACTAGAAATAACATGATTTTCAATGTTTCTTAAATAGAAATCCCTAGCACCGTGCATATAATAGGTTGCTCAATAAATATTTTACGCTGAGTGTGTTTCTACTAGCTTTGAGACTTTGTAAAAGATGACAGAAAAAAAAACAGACAAAATATATTGGAGAGATTAATCCATTTTGATCTACAATAGCAGTGTGATAAGTCTGATTTAAATGATGTGTTAAAAAGCTTTGAGCTTTTTAGCAAAGTTTGATGTAACTGGGTCCAAGGTTGCTATAAAAAGAATAGGAGCCAGAGAGACCTGACTATCAGCAGTACCAGCAGTACCTTCTATGATCCTTGGAGTTGCAAATGCCTTCTTTATCCCCATGTGATCACCTTGCAGGGAGGTAAAAGAACAAGAAGCTCACCAAGAATCCACCCTTACCTCTCACCGTGTCCATCGACGGAATTCTGCCTTGACTCTGAAGCGGATTAGGCAGCAGCTTTGGTAAGACTGCCCCTGACAAGCAGAGCAACTCCGCTTCCATTTGTGGCCACATCTTGTCCCTTAATGTTTCTTCTACTTGAATGGGACTTGCTTTTTCACCTAGCATTGTTTTACAGGTAGCCTAGTTTGAAAAGGACAAGAAAAGCTAGCCTAGTCTTGTGGCCCATCACTGTTGTTCCCACTAAGTCTGGGAGTGTGGAATGCCAAAAGCATTAAGTTTAAACTTGATAGACCTTTGTTTAAATGTGGGCTTCTGAAACTGACACTTGGGGAAGATTAACATTTCTAATCCTTATTTCCTTATGAATAAAGTAGGGAAGATACATAAGCCTTAAATTTGTTGAGGGATTTAGTGGAATGTGATGCTTTTAGCAGAAGTGAAGCAAACCCTATCGTGCTGACGGTGAAAGAGATTGTAATACCTCTATGCACACTTTTATACAGTACTTATTAAGGCTTGAACATCAAAGAATAGGAAATAATTAGTCTCCACCACTCAGGCTTCTAGATGGTAAGAAAAGTGACCACGAAGAAGAAGAGCACATGTCCTCAGCTGAGGTGTCAGACTCCATGAGTGAGGAGGAGGAGGAGGAAGATTTCATTTTCTCCCTTCCAAAGAGAGGTCCCCAGCAGCAGTCCAGGAACCGAAGAATGGCCTGTAGGCCATCACTGCAGAGCCCCTCCACGACACCACAAAAAAGTGTAAGCTTCTTGTGGGTTTGTTTTCCAGTGATGTCTCCCTCTTATAACTGGGTTCGTAGCACAGTTAAAGCAGTCCATCACCAGACAGCGGGCATAAATGGACTTGAGCAGTGAAGATTCTTTCCTTGTGTTATTTTGTTTTACTTTTTTAGCCCAGGCTGGCCCCAGACTCCAAGATGGGCAAACTGCATGTGCCTTGCTCAGGGTGATTTGGTTCAAGTTCCTCTTAAGAGCCAGAGTCCGATGGCCAAGAGCCTAGCCTCCTGAGGGAAGTACAGACACTAACCAGTCTGGTATTTGCATTTCCCTTGGCACACAAAGGGAATTGAATCCCAGGCTGTGCTTGATGCAGCTGAGAAACCAGGAGAGCTGCCTAAGTGTGGTAGTGAATGTGCAAGAGCAAAATGGAAGGAAGTGCCTGTGGAACTCTAACAGCATTAAAGATGTTGGTGTTCTCATGCAGAGGTGGTGTGAGAAACACTAGGGTTACACCACTGTAGAACTCTAGTATACAGTTAGGAAATGCTTGCTTAGAGACTGTTCTCCATTTTTCCAGATCGAGATGGAACTGAGGCTGAAATCTGAGAACAGGCTCTAGGGAGGAGAGTCTGCTAGATCCCATTTGAATACAGGTGCAGAAGGCTCCCTGTTCTGATTGTTCACATTTCCAAAAGTCTTCTAGACTTCTGGTAATCTTCCTGTGTGTAGGCCCTATGTTTTCTCCCCAGTTAATAGATGAAAGACCTTTTTAAGCAGTAGAAGTCTGTGCACAGAAAATGATTGCTGGTATGGACATCCTTTCAAACCAGGAAGAAAAGTGAGACAGCATTGGTCTGTTCCATAAAGTAGCCATCAGGAGTGAGCCTGTGGGGCTGGAGAGGTGGTTCAGAATGTGAGAGCAGTTGTTTGTCCAGAGGACATGAATATGATCCCAGCTCTCAGTGGCAGCTCACAACTGGCTCTAATTCTATTGGTGGCAAACTCGGTGCCCTCTTCTAGCCTCTTTGACCACCAGGCATGCACATAGTGGACAGACATACATGTGATAAAACACCTTGCATGTAAAATAAAGGTTTTTGTTTTGTTTTGTTTTTAAAGAATAGGCCTGTGAGTGGGAACAGTGACCAAAGGATTTGTAGTAAAAAGATCTAGTGATATTTTTTTTTTCTTCCAAGTACTGGTTGTAGATTGAGGAGTTGCTGAGTCAAAGCTTGACCATATTTTCAAATAAACAAAAAGATCTCCGGAATCACACATGACCTATGGCTCCTCTTCTTGAGCAGAGTAGCTTGAGTTTCCTAATAATTTTTAGCTTTGAAATATTAGTGAAAGGCCAGGGATAAAGCTCAGTGGCAAGACACCTGTATAACATCTATGAAGCTCTTGGGGTTTTGTTTTGTTTTTGAGACCATGTCTAACTGTGTAGGTTTGGCCTTTGTCTGCTTCCCAGGTGCTGGGATTGGCGTGCACTGCCAGTCCTGGCTGAATTATATGAGATATATATTCATATGTGTTATTCTTTCTTCAAATTAACTATATTCAAATCCCAATTCCATATAAATATTAGAAAATACGGGTCATGTTTGGGCCATGAAAAAGATGTTTAATGTGAGAGAGTGGGATACAGAGTAAATAATTTTTCTAGAATGAATATTGAAAATAATATTTGTCCGTTTACCAGTTCAACTTGTTGTATCCTGGGTGGTTTGTTTATTACAATTTTGTAGTTATTAACTGATGAAAACACCAATAAGGCCTCAGGATCCAAAGATGGCTAGTTCAGAGAGGCAGAGAAAACACCCAGCTGACCTTCATTCTCAGCTCCGGCCCATATAGAAAAAACCCAAAGGCTCACTGGTACAACTGACAGCCTAGGAGGAAAAGACCAAAAAAACCCAATGTCCACAGCTTGCTAGTTCAAAGCCCAAAAAGCCAGGGAGCTGAGGAGCTAAAGCCTAAAATACAGAGTTTGAACTAAAAGCTCTTCTTCTCCGTGCTGTCTTAAATACCCCTCAACTCAAAGTCCCTCCTGCTCTTTAATCGCTGTCACCTGGTTTCTTGCTCAGCCTCTTGATGTAGGGTTAACTTTATTAGATCCAGTGTACAGAGTGCTCTTAGATTACAAGCATGTGCAAGGGCTGCTGAACCATAATCACCTGGTTGCAATAAACAGGAAGTTCTTGGATTAAAGGTGTGTGTTAGGGCTCGACCACACCTAACAATAAAGAGGGTTTTACAGTTCACAATTTTTGGGTTCACAATGGGATCAAATATCCTGCAACACAATTTATATTTTTAACTACAGCGTAATCCTAGAACACCTCATCATGCCATTCCTCAGATCCGAGACAGAAACCTTGCTGTCCAGGAGCCAACTAGTGTGCTTGAAGAGGCCCGGCTCAGGTAACTGGGGTCCTACTTGGACAGATAGGGGTGATGGGGCTTCCTCTCTTGGGCTAGTAATATTAAACATGCTGATGGAAGGCACTAAGACCAAACTCAGAAAAACCTCATAAACGGCTTCTGGCTGAGCTAGTGCAGACAAAAGGAAGCACCTCCAGGGCTGCGGCCATCCTCTCTGGGGTGGGATGTGTTTCTATGGCTGGTGTCGCTTAACTCCAGCACCCTGAGCAGGAGTTCTTCTAAGATGCAAGATCCTAGATCCTGTCAGAGATGAAGGTTTTTGGAAACTAGTAGATTTAGGTCTACCCAAGTGGTTTTATTGTCAAAAATGGAGGTTGGGTGAGGCACTTAGGAGAGAAGTCAGAGGTGAGGCATTTCCTTTCATTCATATAGATTCCATAGAAGAGTCCTTCCCATTCAGTTGGGTAGATGGTGAAAGACTTTTAAAGCCTTCCTTTTCTTCTATCTACCAACTGTAGGCTGCATGTTTCTGCTGTGCCTGACTCTCTTCCCTGCCGAGAGCAGGAATTCCAAGACATCTACAACTTTGTGGAAAGTAAACTTCTTGATGGGACTGGAGGGTGAGTAATGCTGAGTAGCCAGGCTCCCCCAGGGTCACCAGGGTGAGCCTAGAAGACTGGAATTCTGCCTTTCAAAACTAGTGAGGTCCCTGATGCTGCAAGGCACTGGGTTTGATCCCCAGCACTACATAAACTGGACCATGGTGGGGAGGCAGAGAGAGGCAGGAAGTTCAGGAGTTCAAGGTCATCCTTGGCTACATAGTGGGCTTGAGACTAGCTTGGGCTTTTTGGGATATTTCAATTTAAGTAGGAGTGGCTTTTGGGTAGTCAGTTTCTCATATAGTCTTGACTGTAGAACGAATGAGTGTCTAAACAGCTCCAACTGTGATCGTTTTCCTAGACTAGTCTTTCACTATCTTTTCTCTCAGGGTTCTTGCTCCTTAACATGCTGTGGATGGCATGGACCTGGCCTGTGTGCATTGTTTTCTTGCTCTAGGTGTATGTACATTTCTGGGGTCCCTGGAACAGGGAAGACAGCCACTGTGCATGAGGTCATACGCTGTCTGCAGCAGGCAGCCCAAACAAATGATGTTCCTCCCTTTCAATATATTGAGGTCAATGGCATGAAGCTGACAGAGCCCCACCAAGTCTATGTGCAGATTTTACAGGTAGGCAAAGTTATTTGGGGTTTGGGGAAAGAGTTTCGTACAAACACATGGAATAGGAAAGGCTTACTTATTTTTACGTGCTCTTCATACATTTATACATAGGCGGCAAGGGTGAGCCAGGCAGAATTTTTAAGACCTTGGTCTAGCAGGCTAGATATTTATTGATATGTTACATGCCAGCCAGGAAGCAACTTCTGGCTCAAATGACATGCGTAGTGTCCTGGCATTGAGTGAAAACCTTGTTCTTTCATTAGCTGTCACCTTGGAACAGGTAATATCCCTCCAGGAAAAGGGACTAGAGTAAGAGGCAGAGTATATGAAGTGAGTAGCTTCCTTTTATAGACTGTATTTTAAGATCAGGGGAATGGAATCATTACCATTTACTACAACAATTGCTTTTCCCCTATGCAGAAGCTGACGGGCCAGAAGGCAACAGCTAATCATGCGGCAGAACTGCTGGCAAAGCGATTCTGCAGTCGAGGGTCTCCACAGGAAACCACTGTGCTGCTTGTGGATGAGGTGAGGTACCCCCAGGATGACAAGAGAAGGAATGGCTGCGCAGCTTCGCTGTCCCAGGAGCAGGTGGCGCATAGGCAGAAGTGCTGGCTCCCGCGTCCACTCAAGTCTGTCCATTGATCTCCTTCCTGATTTTAAAGTGGGTGGGGGCAACACATGGGCTAACTCAGTGGAGCCGGCTGTCACTTACATGTCCTGGCTCACTCTGCCACCGTATGTATGTCCTCTTCTTTGGCAGCTTGACCTTCTGTGGACTCACAAACAAGATGTAATGTATAACCTTTTTGATTGGCCTACTCACAAGGGAGCCCAGTTGGTAGTCCTGACCATTGCTAATACCATGGACCTGCCAGAGAGGATCATGATGAACCGTGTGTCCAGCCGGCTGGTAAGCCCAGGGTATTCTGCAAAAATAATAATATAGAAGACCAGGAAATATGACTTCTGCCATAATTATATTTTTTATGTTGGAATAAAAAAATACATTGCCATTTTCTACAAGTACCATACCACACCTGCACAGAGAAACCCTGTCTTGAAAAAAACAAAAAAGATAGAACTGAGTAATTTTGAGAGCTACTTTGTCCTGCAAGATACTCAAGTCACTTAGGCAGCAACTGAAAGGAGAAATGGGAAGAAACTAATAGATTATTATGTGGGACTTGAGAATTCAGCTTTGGGACCTGAAGGTGATCTTCTTCCTCCCCACTCTCCCCGCTCCAAATCTGGACAATAAAACTTATTAAAACTTGTTCCTCTGTCATCTTGGCTCTTCAGGGCCTCACCAGGATGTCTTTCCAGCCCTATTCTCACAGTCAGCTGAAGCAGATCTTAGTGTCCCGACTCAAACATTTAAAGGCCTTTGAGGATGATGCCATCCAGTTGGTAGCCAGAAAGGTAAGTCACCTTCAGGGAGCTCCTTACACCTCTAAGCCCCTCAACAAGTCCTTACTGAGCACCTGTTGTGTCCTGTGCTGAATGAGGAAAACTTTAGGAAGTGCTATAAAATAAATACCAAAGGGCCAATGGTGGGGCAATTCCAGGACTTGGAGGACAGAGGCAGACAGATCCCTGAGTTCTTGTCTGTTCTGGTCTACATAGGAAGTTCTAGATCAGCCAGGTCTAAATAGTCAGTGACTGTCTCGGTGGATGGAGTGATGGAGTCAATAAAGAAACAATTATGAAAAACTCCTTAACCTTATTTTTGTTATATGATTCTTTAGAAGGCCACAATGGATTCTGGGATCATGTACAAACTAACTAACCTTAATACAAGGTACAAGCTGTTTTGTATAATTAAAAGGATCATTTAGTTCCATGACAGCCATCTAGGAAGGACCAAAACCCTGAAATAATGCGGTTGAGATAGTATAAGTTCAATTCTTAGAAAGAACCTGGTCAGTGTTAGGCCTGTTTATATGGAATGACCTAGTCTAAAATGCAAGGCTGTATGCACGCACTCACTCACTCTTGTAGTCGGTCCTCAAATCTAGGGCTCAGGGTGGAACTGCTTTAGGTGTTTTCTTGTTGTCAGTGTTGTCTTTAGGCCTCAGCCTAAGCTCTTGAATTCATACTGTTCACCATTAGGGTGCTGTTTTACATACAGGGTGAGGATGGTGATAGTAGGCAGGAAGTATTTACAAGAAACCTTTATCTGTAGAATGTAGTAAGCTAGAGAACGGGAAGACCATGACACTTATGTCTCTGTTATTAGAAGAATGGCTTTGGTATACTCAAAACATTAAAAATAGCTTATCATTCCACTTTACAGAAATAAGTGCTTGCTTTGTTTTTTGAGACAGGATCTCACTTTGTAACACTGGCTAGCTTGGACGCTGTACAGATGATACATCTGTCAAACTCACAGAAATCTGCCTGTCTGCTAGGATTAAAGGCATGTACCACCATGCTTGGCTGAGATGACTATTTGTAATATTTTTGTGTATTACATATATAGTTTTCTTGGTTTATGTGCCACAGTTTTGTAGGAATGGATCCTTTTAGAGGTAATTTGGTGCAGTCCGATGACAGGTAAATTTCAGGTTGCTAATGAGTACTAAGAATATAAGAACTGAGAAAGAAGTCTTTATAGGCTTCAGTGATTCTGAGAGGCTCAAGTGATCTGGGTAGGTATGGCAGTATACTCCTATAAGCACTTGGGAAGGTGAGGCAGAAGGATTGCGAAGTCAAGGCCAGCTTGAGCTACACTGGGATATCCTATCAAAACTAACAAGCAAGTAACAATGAAACATCCAGTGTTATTCTAAGTCAGTATTGGAAAGAGTGGAGGGTTCCTTGAGAGAAAGGCTTGGAATCCATGGACTTCTAAGTAAATGAAAAGGGACAACAATGGCATGTTTTGTTGGCATTATGCACTGGTCTCATTCACCTGTTCCCACAATTTTGATTTCTTCCTTCCCTCCCCCATTGTAATTCTCTTGGGCATTGGTCAAGCTGTTCTCCCAAATTTACTACATACTGCAGGAGGTCTTATCTCCAAATATGTCCTCCCTCTCATCTTAGATAACTGCTTCTGAGGGCACACAGAATGAGATGACTTGGGTTCTGGTTTTTTGTTTGTCTTTGATACTGGGTCTCTCTGTGTGGCCCTTGCTGCCCTGGAACTGTGTAGACCAGATTGGCCTTGAACTCATTGATCTACCTACCTCTGTATCACCTCTCCCAGCTGCCACAGAAGTCAGAAAAGGGCTTTAGGTTCCCTAGAAACTGGTGTTACAGGTGTTTATGACCACTCTGTAGACGCTGAGAAAAGAACAAGTACTCTTAATAAGCATCTCCTCCTTAAAAACAAACAACAAACCCCACTTATTTCCTGAATACGAACACTGGGTATTTCTGCCCTTTCCACTGGCGTTATCTCTAAAATCATGGGATATCAGTTTGGATGGAGTACTAGTGTTCCAGACATGGTACAGTGATGTATTCCAGCTTCCACAGGTTCCCAGGCTGCCCTTAACTTTGTTCTAAGGCCATTCTCAGCACTACCTTATCTTTTTAGTTATGCATAGAGCCAGTGGTTGTTGACCTAAGTTGAAATGGCAAAGGACATTAGAAATAAAATGTTCCCTCTTATAGGTAGCAGCTCTCTCTGGAGATGCCCGGCGCTGCCTGGACATCTGCAGGCGTGCCACAGAGATCTGCGAGCTTTCCCATCAGCATGGTGACTCCTTGGGCCTGGTGACTGTGGCCCACTTAATGGAAGCTATAGATGAAATGTTCTCCTCGTCCTACATTGTGGCTATCAAGTAAGACATCTGCCTGCTGCCTGCACTTCTGAGAGGGTCTGAGGAGAGCTCACAGCCTTGGAGCTTTGGAAATATGCTTGTTTCTCATATTTAAATCATTCTATCCACCATGAGCTCACCATGAGCTCGAGAACATCTTTAGAGCTTTTAGGAAGGCAAAACACCATCCTTGAGTAACAGCTGAATGCTTATTAACTTTTATTTAAACATCTGTTGAGTACAAACCCTACAGGAAAGTCATGTCTATAGTCCTGGCACTTGGAAGGCTAAAGCAGGAAAACTGTCACAAGTTTAAGGGCAGGCTAGGTTAAATAGTGAGTCCCTTTTGGGAGGTGGGTGTTTTTTGGTTGGTTGCTTTTTCGAGACAGGGTTTCTCTGTGTAGCTCTGACTGTCCTGGAACTCATCAGGATCTGCCAGCCTGTGCCTCCTGGTGCTAGGATCACAGGCATGCACCACCCACCCAGCTACACAGTGGGACTCTCAGGGAAGAAAGACAAGAGTGACAGCAGTAGGGGGAGAGGTGGGTTAAAAGCACTTGCTACTCTTGCAGAAGACTGATTCAATTCCCAATATTCACATGTCAGGTCAAAACTGTCTGCAACTTCAGTTCTAGGGATCCGACACCCTTTTCTAACCTGCATGCACACGTGCACACACACAAAATCTTTTTTTAAAGGCTACATGGATAGGGAGCATGCCTTAATGAGGCATGCTCCACTCTCAAAATGTGTAAATGCATTTTGTTTCTATTTATTTTTACCCATTCCTTTATTTTGAGCTGCAGGTATAATTCTAGTAGTTCCTGTCTTCCATTTCCAAAAGAACATTTTCTGTGTCAGCCTGGGACTTTGGGAAAGCTGAGGAACTTTGTCACGTGGTGCAGAAAATGTTTCCCAGTATTTTCTTTCCTTGAAACCAGTGGTACATGCAGCCTGTAGAATTCATATCTCTTGGTTCCCTTTAAGAAACTGTTCCGTCCTGGAACAGGGCTTCCTGAGAGCCATTATTGCGGAATTCCGCCGGACAGGACTAGAGGAAGCGACGTTTCAACAGGTAATTGGTTGAATGCCATTTTTTCTGAAGCTTCAGATATGGGTCCAGAGTTCTTAGAGTAGGTGGGAATTTAACGGGCTGAGGTTATATATGCTTCAGTAAGTAGAATGTTCACTGGACTGAACTGGGTTCAGTTCCCCAGTTCCACATAAACCAGCTGTGGTGAGGCATACCCCTGGTACAGGGCTTTGAGGCAGAGGCATAGGTCTCTACATTTAGTCATCCTAGGCTACATATCCAGTTTGAGACCAGCCTGGAATGTGCAAGGCCTTGTCTTTTAAACAAAGCAAACAAGCTGCAACAAAACCCAAGAGTTACTGTTAGCAGTTCTATATTCCAGATGCTGTTCTGGCTTTTTTAACCCTTGAACTCTCACTGCCTGGAGACCACGTGGCTCTGACAGTTGAGAGTCACTTCATACTGATGAACTGGTGAGGTTGTGCAGTACATTTAAAATGTTAAGCAGGCACATGGTGGTTCACACCTATAATCTTAGAAGATGTGGCCGGGGGGGGGGGGGGGTACCAGAAGTTTGAGGCCTGACTGGACTACATAGTTCCCATCCAGCTTGACCTTGAAAAGACTAGAAAAGAGTGACGTAGCTTGCCATGTCACGTAGACAAATGAAAGAACAGCAGGGTTCGGAGCAGCCCTGTCCTGCTGCTTGTCTGCCATCACTTGCATTTGTGCAAGGCCATCTACTGATAAAGCATTTGGTATCTAAAGCACCAAGTGCCTGACTGGACAGACTTACTGACTTGGGGCTGTGTCTTACTGTAACCTTGGTTGCCTTGGAACTTACAAAGATCTGCTAGCTTCTGCCTCTAGGTGCACAATTTTTGCAAAAGATGATCAGATACAAACTTGGGGTGTTTTTCCTAACCTTTGCTTTACTTTTGCTGTCTAGATATACAGTCAGCATGTGGCTCTGTGCAGGATGGAGGGACTGCCTTACCCTACCATGTCAGAGACCATGGCTGTGTGCTCACATCTGGGTTCTAGCCGCCTCCTTCTAGTGGAGCCCAGCAGGAATGACCTACTCCTTCGAGTGAGACTCAATGTCAGCCAGGATGACGTTCTCTATGCTCTAAAAGAAGAGTGAAGGGCTTCTCGGATTTCTGCTATTTCTCAAAGAGCCTTATTTATTTATTTCTTCAGAGTGTTTGAGAACTTTATGATTACATATATATATATAAAGATATATGTATTGCATATTTGTATCTATGTAAAATAGTTCTGGTAGATTTTTTTATGAACTTGGGTACGCTGGCTGCCTGTGGGAAATACCTGGCAGTTGGTCAGGGGTGAGAGGAAGACTTCACTGTATGCCATGATGTACTAGATTTTAAATGACAAAGTAAAACTGATTTTACAGAAAACAACTGGTGGGGTTGGATGTGCGTCACAGTGACAGCTCCCCTTGCATGCAGGAGGCACTGGGCTCATCTCCCAATGTTAAATGCAAGCCAGATGCCTTTAGCCCTTCTGTGGCGGCATACACCTGTAACCTCGAAATTTGGGAGGCTGAAGCAGGAGGATTGCTGTTGGCTTGATTCTAGCCTGGGCTACCAATAAAATACTATGTCAAAGAAGCAAATAAAGAAATATTATAGAAATGATAGGTAATATATAAAGATATAAAAGTTACCACTCATAGCCACACACATGTCTAAGTGGTTAAGGAGACTTGCTCTTGTAGAGAATCTGGGCTCAGTTCCCAGCACCCATTAGCAGCTCAAAACCATCTTTAACACCAGTTCCAGGTTATCTGACACCTTCCTCTTGTCCTCCAAGGGCACCAAACATGTACATGGTACATATGTATGCAAGCATACATACATACATAAAGGCAAACACTCAGATGTTTTTGTTTGTTTTGGTTTTTTTGTTTGGAGACTGTTTCTCAGTGTAACAGATCCCTTGCTGTCCTGAACTCATTTGTAAACCACTCTGGCCTTGAATTCAGAGATCTACCTCTGCCTCCCAAGTGCTGTGATTAAAGGCATGCAATACTCAGATTTTTAAAGCAAACTTAGCACTTATCAATTCCTACTGACAATAGAAAATAGAAGCTACTTGTGCATGGTGGCACACGCCTATGATCCTAGCACCTGGGAGGCAGAGGCAAGGAGGATCTCTGTGAGTTCAAGGCTAGCCCAGTCTACAAAGTGAATCTTGGACAGCCAAGGCTACACAGAGAAACCCTGTCTTGAAAAAAACAAAAGGAAGCTACTTAATATATCCAATAGATATGCTTGGAGGCTGGGGAGATTGCTTTCTGGCAAATGTTGAAGCCCTGTTCATCCCCACACTACTATAAACTAAACAGGTGGTCATGCGCACCTGCAATCCCAGAGCTTGAGGTAGACACAGAAAGACTTATTAAGGTTATCTTCAGCAAAGCAAGTATATATAGTCACCTCTCTTAGCTTGCTTTCTATTGCTGCAACTAAGACACTATGACCAAAAGCAACTTCAGGGGAGAAGGGTTAATTTGGCCTACATATCCTACTCACAGTCTTACTGAGGGCATGTCCTGTTGTGCAGAGAGCCAGAATTGAGTTCCTTGCGCCTACAGATATCTGGTGGCTCACTACTGCTGGTAAGTCCAGCACCAGGGTATCCACACCATCTTCTGGACTCTGAGGGCACTTGCACTTGTGTGCATGCACACGTACACATAGATCCACTCATAGTACAATCAAAAATGTTGTTTAAAAGTCTGAAACTTGACTGGGGAGGTAGCTCAGCAGAAACTGTTCACCGCACTGCATGAGAGCCTGAGTTTGGATGTAGGCGCAACTTTTTCTGGGACCCTCCATTGACAGTTTCTAAATTATAATAGAACTGTCACATGATCCAACAATAGTGCTCCTGGGTATACACCCAAATAATTACCCCACCATAGAAATGTTTATACATTACTCATGTCGGGCTGTTCTGTTCAGAGTGGTAAATAAATGTAATTGGCTTAGATGTCACCAACTGATGCAAGGTGGTGCAGATACACAAAGGAATTTTACTCATCTTTAAAGTGAAACGAGATCTACAGGAAATGGATAGAGCTACAAAATGTATTAGGTAAGGTAATCTGCACGTTGTCTCACAAAGCCAGCGGTGGTGGTGCACGCCTTTAATCCTGGTCCTAGTGCTCTGGGCACAGAGGCAGGTGGATCTTTGTGGTCTACAGAATGAGTTCCAGGACAACCAAGGCTACACAGAGAAGCCCTGAATTGAAAAACCAGAAAATAAATAAATGGAGGAATCTGATACCTTCTGTGGGCATGCAGGTGTACATGCAGACAACATACCTTTAGGTAGACAGAAGCTGGGCATGATTCCATGAGTCTAATCCCGGCATTGGAATGACTAGGGAATTCCAGGAGCTCACCAATCAGCAAGTCTAGCTGAAACAACTTGCAGTTCTGTGAGTGACCTTGTCTAAGAAAATAGGGTGGAGACTGGAAAGCTATGGAAAAGGACAAGAGGTCCTACATGAGCATGTATACTGTACCTGTCAGCATTGTACACACAACTCCAAACTCACCTTTCTCAACAGGACAGCAGCCCTCAGGGAAACTGTAGAGACCTACAAAAACTGTGGAGCTTATCTTAAAAACAGTCACAAAGGTGCTTGTCAGTATCCACTTACTTTTGGAGAATTTTCCTTGAGACAGGGTTTCTCTGTGTAGCCTTGGCTGTTCTGGAACTTGCTTGTGTAGACCAGGCTGGCCTCCAACTCACAAAACCCATCTGCCTGTACCTCCTGAGTACTGGGATTATATGTGTGGGCTGCGACACAGGGCTTGGCTGGCTCTCCTACACTTGTCCCTCTGCCATTATCCTTCTTTGCTCTGTTATACACTATCTTCTATGTTATACTGTGTCTCATTTGAGTTAGTTACATGGAAAACGTGTGGTAGCCATTGTGAGATTCCCATAAGAGGACAGATACTGAACAGGAACTGTTGCAGAATGGGAGATGTAGTCAGTGGTCACAGCTTGTGTTCATTTACATACACAGGTACTACTAGAGCTGGGTGGTAGCTGAGTTAGAGTGCTTCTAGCACTAACTCATATTTGGATTCTATCCCTAGCACCTCACAAGTCCCACAGGTATATTGCCTGCACTGGGGGAATGCAGACAGGAAGACAAGTTCCATGTCATCCTTAATTACAAAGCAAAGTCAAGGCCAGGCGGGATTACATGATACTGTTTCAGAACGGAGGGGTGGTGGTGGTGCACACCTTTGACCTCAGCGCTGGGGAGGCAGACGCAGGTGGATTCCTGTGAGTCTACAAGGGGAGTTCCAGGACAGCCAGGCTGTTACCCAGAGAAAACATGCAAATAACCAACCCTGTAGGAATGAATGAATGCTGTGTATTTATTATTTGTGTGTGATGATGTGAATGTCGGGGTACAGTTGGGACTGCAACTGTGTATAGGAGCGGAGGACAACTTTTGGGAGCTGCCTTACTGGGCTTTTTATATACTTAAAATTATTTTATGTGGATGAGCGTTCTGACTGCATGTACACCTGCACACCAGAAAAGGGCATCGGACCTCAGGACAGACGATTGTGAGCTACCATGTGGTTGCTGTGAACTGAACCCAGGACCTCTGAGAGCAGCCAGTGCGCTAAACCACTCGCTTAATTTTGAGACCCGGTTCTCACCATGCAGCCCTGCCCGGCCTAGAACTAGACCAGACTGGCGGCAGACGAGAGGATCCGACTGCCTCCACCTCCGCAGCGCTGAGATCAAGGCGTGCGCCACCACGCGGGCTGCAGACCTGAGGCCTCGGTCTCTGCACCAGGTGGGAGTGCGCCCGCGGTGTCAGGAATCTTAGGGTTCAGTCCATCTGCAGGTCCCCTCCATCCACCCCGAAGGAGAGGGCTGTCACGCAGACTGCAGCGATCCACCGGCCTCAGTGTACTGAGGGCTTTGGTGCCTCTCAACTGAAGTTTCGTCCGATGCTGGGCTGCGAGGAAGCCCCGTTCTCCCGGAGCCAACCTAGGGACGCGGCCGGCAAAACAGCGAGGAGGGAGGAGAGAGCGAGCTCGCCAGGAAGAGCGCCGGGCGCGAGGGTAGAGCGCCGAACGCCAAAACCCACGGAGGCCCGCGGGCCAGTCTCGCGGGACCTGCTCCTCGCCGGGCTACGGCCGGCCAGTCTCGCGGGACCCGCCCCGGACGCTCCCCAGCGCACATGCGCACTGCGAGGCGTCGGCCGTGCGGTCACGTGCGGACGCGAGCCGCCTCCTCGTGGGCGGGCACTTCCTGTGGCCGTGTCCGCTGCCGCCCGGGGCCCGCGGGGAGCCGGGCGGTTCCCGGCCGGAGAGGGCCGAGTTTCGGTACGGATCCGCCGCGAGGTATGCAGCGTGCCTTCCTCCCGGCGTGTGGAGTCTGGGGGCGGCCGGGCCTGTCAGCGGGAGGACGCGCGGGTTTGGGGAGCCCGGCGTCGCCCTTCGACGCGGACGCGCCTGTCCTGAGCCCCGCCCGGCCCCGGAGCGCCTCCTTCCCCGGAACTCCTTCACTTCCCGAACCCCACCCCGCCTGGCGCCTCGCTGTGGAGCGGAGTCGAAATCTGACACTTGGAGTGCCGGGCGTACGGGCGCTAACACCAGGGGCCCTCGCAGCCCTGTCGAGTCCAGCTCCGAATCCCCACGCCACCCCGCCTCCTTCACAGATTTGCAAGAGGTTTCCCGCCCTGTGTGACCTCCCACTCCCGGTGCACCTTCTACACCCCGCGACACGTCCCACTGCTGTCAGGATAACGCCCGAGCACCCTTCGCCCCTGGCTCCTGTGTCCATTTCTAGGCTCATGGTTTGGTTTATGCCTCCGTGGTGCCAGGTCTTTCTTTTCCTTCTGTAGGCCAAGCCGTTTCTCACCTCAGAACTGATATCAATGTTTGTTTGATTGCTTGGAATCCTGGTCATTCCCCCTCGTCCCCCTGCCCCCCCCCCCCCCCGTGTGCAAACCTTGTGACCCAGCACAGACACCATCCTTTGTAAGATGCCTTTTTTTGTATCCTGGGTAAGGGCCCACCTCTTGACACCCATGGCTCCTGCAGCTGCCCTGTGCTATTTGTCTGCCCGTGGGTCTGGTTCCTTGTAGCCTGAGGTGGGCGCAGATGAGTTTCTGTACTTCCGTTAGTGGGCAGGTTGTGTTGCAGTACCAGTGATCACTTGTGACATCTTTCAGAGCATCTGAATGCTGAGTGTGGCCCAGAGTGTCCAAGGAGACTGATGATGAAAGCCATTTGTGTCTCTGCTGCCTAGTGGTACCATTAGCCATGTGCAGCTGCTGAGCACTTGAAATTTTGTCTCATATGACTGAGGAACTTTTAAACGTAAACACACAATTTCCAGAACGGGCATCCCTGTTTCTAGAAGCCT